GGCCGAGATGGCCACTGGATGGAGCGTCGTGCGCCTCCATCAGGATGTCGTACTTGAGATCCTCGTCGTTGGGCACGACAATACGGGGAGGATCCTCGGGCTCGACCCTATAGCGGAGCAAACCGTCAGCCCACTCATAGCGGTGCTGCCTTGCACGTTGTCGGGGCGTGAGCCACTCGGCCTTGGCTTCCGAGCCAGCGGCCAAGAACCGCACAAGAGGTCCGAGACTGGCATCGTCTCGGTACCCCAGCCTGATGCGATCATACAGATCCGTCGTGACCCGACTAATATGAGCAAGCTCGTAGTCGGGTCGGCGCGACAGCGCGTCGGCAAGCACGTTCAACTTGCCCGGCTTGTACTCGACACGGAAGTTGTATTCCGCGAAGAATGACAGCCAACGCGCCATCCGCTGTGAGAGATGCGGCGTGTTGACGGCAGTCCGCAAGGACGCGTGGTCTGTATAAACGACAAAGGGCGTCGAGCCCAGGAGGTGCACTCGGAACTTGACAAGAGCGTACTTCATGGCAAGTAGCTCCTTGTCGTGGACTGGATAGTTCCGTTCGGCTGCCTTGAGCTGCCTGGACTGGAACGAGATGACCCGTTCGCGGCCTTCATCGTCGGCCTGCAATAGCGCACAGCCAATTGCGTAGTCAGACGCATCACAGACTACGCTGAAAGGCTTCGTCTCGTCCGGCAATGCCAGGACTGGCGCGCGCTGTAAGCTCGCTTTGATGTCGTTAAAAGCATCTTGATGGCGACGCTCCCAGCGCCAGTCGACATCCTTCTTCAGGAGATCCGACAAGGGCCGTGCCAGCTCGGCGTAGCCTGCACTATACTTGTGCAGGTAGTTGGCGAGGCCCAACCACTGTCGTAGGTCCTTCTGCGACCGAGGTGGCGGCCAAGCCGCGATGGTTTTCACCTTCTCCGGGTCCGCCCGGACCCCGGCGCTGCTGACGAAGCAGCCCAGGACCTTGATCTCCTCAGCTGCGAACACACACTTGTCGATGTTGGCGTACAGCTTGTTCGCCCGCATGACTTCGAACACACGTCGAAGGTGCTGGAGATGCACCTCCATGGCCGTCTGGCCTGCCTCGGCACGGCTGTGGACGAAGATGTCGTCAAAGTACGTCTGTGTGAACGCACGCAAAGGTCGGAACAGTTGTGTGACCAAGCGATTGAACGTTGCCGGGGCGTTAGAAAGCCCCTGAGGCATGACCAGCCACTCCCAGAGCATACCGCTCGGCGTGCTCACAGCCGTGAGTGGGATGTCGCTGTCGCGCATCAGGATCTGGTAGTATCCGTCCACCAGGTCCAGCGCGCTATACAGCGTGCAGCCGGTCATGTTGTTGAGCAACACGTCCTTGCGCGGGATCGGTGTCTGCGCAGGCACTGTCGCGCTGTTCAGCTTGTTATAAGCATGAACCAGACGCCACTTTCCGTTCGGTTTGCGAACACAGAAGGTAGGCGTCGAGTGCGGGGACTTCGACTCCCGCACCATGCCTGCCTTCGCCTTGGCGGCAAAGAAAGCATCAATGATTTCACACTGCTCCCGGGGAAGAGGCCATTGCCTCGTGACACAGTACTTCGTGCCCGGCACGAGATCGATCTCGTGCCTGATTCCCCTGTCCGGAGGGAGATTGGACGGTGGATCCTTGGACACCACGTCCTCAAACTCCTTCACCAAGGGGTACACCGGGTCCCGGGGGTTCTTAAGAATCTCAGAGCCCATGCGCGACGCGCGCTGTCTCTGGAACTCCTCCAGGACTGCCTGGTCCATGACCGAGGACGAGTTCAACTCGGCCGACGTGGACTCCGGTCGGAGGAGAACCAACTCTGCGATCTCCCCGGCCTTTAGCTCGGCCAAGAAGCCCTCCATGGCGAGCTCCTCAAGGTTCAGCAACTCTGAAACCTCGGGCAGAGCTGTAAGCTCGACAGCTCCTGTCTTGATCCGACGACCGGTCACGCCGTTGAAGATGTGATAACACTCTTCGGCGGCTGGAGCCTTGGCTGGAGGCTCGGAGTCGCTGGCGACTGGCGTCGTCGGCCACACGACTAGGCCCGGCTTACGACGTGACCCTCGGGTGTCTTCGTCTCGTGGCGCCGCCTTGACGGCACCACCGATCTTCTCGATCTCGTGCGGAACGACGTTACCCGCCTTGTCCTTGAGCGGAACTTGGTTACCCGCCTTGTTCTTGAGCGGAACTTGGTTACCCGCCTTGCTGGGTGGAACTATGTTACCCACCTCGCCGTGTGGAACTTGGTTACCCACACCAGGAGCGCTTCCAGCGACTCCCGCATCAGTTATGGTCTGAGTGACCTCCTGTGGAACTATGTTACCCATCGGAAGCGCCTGCAGTGCCTTCCTCATCAGTTACGGTCTGAGTGACCTCGCGTGGTACTTGGTTACCCACGCCAACGCCAGCGGCGCCTTCTCCAGCAGCCCTTGCTGCCTGCGGTACTTCGTTACCCGCGTGTGGATCTCCGTTACCCACCTGGTAGGTGCTGTCCGGCACCTCCACTCTCAGGCCTTGTCCGGCCCGGTCGGAGTCGTCGTCAGTCTCGACGGACCCCAAGAACTCATTAGACGCTGCTGCGCCCTGGCGGCCCTCGCGGGCGCCCCAGCTGCTGCCAGAGGTGGGAACATGACTCACGAAAGCTCTGTCAGAGCGTGGGGGACGGCGGGCCCCGATGGCCTTGCCGCGCCATTCGATCCAAGGCTCGTGTTTCTCCAGCCACGGCATGCCAAGGATCAAGTCGTACTTGTCCATGTCTAGGACCAAGAACGGCTCCGTGCTGTCGAAGTCCTCGAACTTGACAGTGAGGTCCATGTGGACCCGAGGTACTTCTACCACCGTACCGTCGGCCAGTCTTACCGAGACCAGCCCGTTGCCTTTGCTGCCTCGTAGCGCATCGGCGTACTTGTCGCGATTGCGTGCGACAGTCTGGCGGCGCGCAAAGTTCTTGGACGCCCCAGAGTCGATCAAGATTCTCAAGGGATGATCGTATCCCGGTACACTCGCGTGCACCACAAGCAGCCCACCGCTGTCCTTCTCCGCTTCGAGAGTACAGAGACTCTCAGGGGCTGAGTCCCCATGGCGTGCGCCACCCGCACGCCCCTCATGAAGACTTAGTGTCTCCCCAGTAGGGCGCCCCGCGCCCCTACTGGTGTCCGGCGTTCCCCTGGTTCCTGGGGCGCGGCTTCTGCCAGCGACCCCTAGAGCCAAAGGGCTTCGAGGAGAACTTCTTCTTCAGTCCTCCCGCGGGACAAGCACGTTTCATGTGCCCTAGCTTGCCACAGCCGTAGCAGCGAATGTCGCTCTGCTCGGCCATGCCCAGATCCATGGGAACCGGCCCGTTGATCGCTCCATTGCCGGAGTTACCATTAGGCGCACCGCCAGAGGCAGGGTTGCTCTGCCATACCGTGGCGGGGGTACGAGCCTGCTTGTGGCTGTACTCCTCCTGGAGGGCGATCTGAATCGCCTCCTCCATAGTACACGGAACAGTTGCGTGCGGGCAGGACCGACACGCAGACCGTCCTTGAACACGGTCACCTTGATGTTTTCAGGCAGGAGGTTCCCCACCAAAGAGGCAGTGAGCACTCGCATCTCCTGGATGTACTCATGCAGCTCGCGCCTTCCTCGTTTGCAGGCGAGGAAGCGCGAACGCTGGCGGTACTCGTAGTTCGCCGGAAGAAACGCGGCCCGCAGCTGCTCGCACAGCTGGGACCATGATGCGAAGCATCCAGGCGTCGTCGCTTCGCGCGTATACGCCCAACTCTTAGCGCGACCACTAAGGTTGGAGAGCGCACAGGCGACACGGAGTCGCTCGTCCGAGACGAGAGCCGCGTCCATCGCGAGCTCAACCTCTCGAACCCAGAAGTGAAGGTTTTCTCCTTCCTTCCCTTCGAAGGGGTGAACCTTCAGCCGCAGGGGCTTCGGTTGCACCGGCTTCGGCGCGGCCGCAGTGGCCTGCAGCCCTTGAACGTGGGCGATGAGCCCTCGCTCGTAGGTGTCGAACGCGTTGATACGCTCAACCTGCTCAGCCGGCGTCGCCGCCGCTAAGCTGCGCAGGGCATCTGTCCGAAAGATGCCTGCCATCTTACGAACGGACTCGTACTGCGAGTCGTTCAGATGGGGAAACTCCGTACGATCCATCTTGGCTCACTCGATGAGACCACAGAGGATTCAGGTAGTCCAATCTACCCGCGTAGGCGTAGGATTGACTACAAGTGCTACCTAGTGTGACGGGGCACACAGCACTTCTTAACAGAGGAAGCAGGAGTATACAAACTCCAAGTGAACAGCCGTACACGTGTCCCTGGTCTGAAGGGGACGACTTGACTTGAAAAGCGGTAGATCTAAGACTGAATGTATTTATAGGTTGGTACAGATTTGGCCTGCATACAAATCCTAAGTTCCCCATAGTTTGTGTCATACAAAATGTATCTGTTGGCTCTGAGGCCACTTGGGTCACTATCCAGGGGAGTGACCGATGTAGCCATCCCGGAATAGTGATAGGGTCACTATTCCATGTAACCCCGTTACATTTTGTTATCGCAGGGGAAATTCGTGCGAGTGGCCAGAAGGGAATCCTACGTTCCGCAGCGTCGTACACGCGGTGCCCAAGTCCAAAGCTACCGCATTGATCGACACCACTGACGGAGAGAGTGAGTACTGGCTACTTAAGTGTTGGCGCGGCAACTGAGGTCACAACAAGCAAACGTGCAAACAGATGCGCCTAATATGGTCGGAGCTTTGTCAGTAGACGTATGCGAATCTATGCGCGGTGTATTAAGCGCATAGACCTTAAAAGGTCGCTACGGGATAGGGGTAGCTGGTTGCTACGCCTTCTGCATCTAGAACCCATGTTCATACGACTGTTGTCATTTTCCCCAGCCCAGTATACCATTCCGCAGTTTGGTGTAATCGCACTTTAGTTGGTGTGCCCACACTTCAGTTTGCAGATCCCGAGGTTGGCGAGCGGCTAAGCACCAGGTCGCCATGAAGCTCGTCAGGTTCGTGTCGCGGCGCCACTGTCCGGGCCAGAAGAAGGGCCGGGCACAATCCCTCCGTGAGTTAGACTGGTGCACTCGCGTCTGGACTCACTCGCGTCTATTTCTTGCTTCCTGTCGCGTAGGTTTTTGATGAAGTTGTCTAATGAGACGGTCACCATCGAGCTCAAGAACGGAACGATTGTCCACGGAACCATTACTGGTGCGACTGCGCTGTATAGGTGCTTTCGCTCTGCATTGGCGTCAGTATGGACTGATTTGAATGTCGTTCCTGTGTATTTGCTGCCCACAGGCGTGGACATCAGCATGAACACACACCTGAAGGCGGTCAAGATGACTGTGAAGGGCAAGAACCCCGTGAATTTGGACTCGCTGAGCATCCGTGGCAACAACATCCGCTACTATATATTGCCGGACTCGCTGAACCTGGACACGCTGCTGATCGACGACACCCCGCGCGAGAAGGTGAAGGCTGGCGCACCAGCGGGCAGCGGGCGCGGCCGTGGCCGAGGCCGCGGTCGGGGACGCGGTCGTCCGTAATAGAGGCGCGGAGGATGAGCCTTTCCCCGTTCGTTGGGCGAGCTACTCGAGGAGGGAGGATGAAGAGCGTCGGGAAGAAGCGCAGTAACGCACCGCGGCAGGTGGCGGCGACCTGAACTCGTTGGGGCTAGAAGGAGACCGACCACGCGCATTCGACGCAGCAGATAAACAGCTTTCTTTTCTAAGTTAAAGGGACTTCATTTGAGCGCGGCGACGAGAGAGGAAGTGCGTGCATGACTGAAAGATCATGAGGGGCTGTACGTAGCAGGTCAGCGAGCGGAGACAGACAACCTGCTGGACGGTTCGTCGGCACTCGGCTATTAGCAGCAGCGTCAGCAGCATTGCAGCATGCCCATCTCTATGACTCTCGCGCAAATACGTATCTAGGCGCATGCGAGTTGGCTCATGCGTGTGTCATCCCCAGGGTGCATGTGGACGATCGAACGCCATGCCGGTGCCTACCAGCCAGGCAATGCAACTTGCTCGTACCTAAGTGAATGTACCAGCTTCACTATCCACAACAGTTGCAGCAGCCGAGATGCCGCAGCAGAACAAGCGCAAGGCCGAGGAGGACGCCGCCGCCGACGCGGACGCGGACGCCAGCAACTTCCTGGAGGACGCGCAGCGCTCCGTGGACTTCCTCTTCTCGTCGGTGGTCGTGCTGCCGGGAGACGACGTCACTGCCACGCTCACCAAGACCACGCGTCGTGTCAAACTCGGTGCGTTTGGCTGAATCGGATGGATGAGGAGGGGCTGCTCGAAGACTCACTCGGCATTGTACGCACTGGCACAATGGATGGATAGGTGCTGGACTGAAGCAGCTGCCGGACGAGCGGATCGTGTGCACGAACGCCGGCGTCCTCCGCTACCGCCCAGCCAACCGCTACTGGGTCGAGTTCAACCACAAGCGTGTACGTAAGATGATAGTGATGCACCAAGTGTCTCCCGCACCGCTAAACTATGCTTGTCCTTGTGTGCATGTGCTGCTGTCGCTTGATGTACAGTATGTTGCGTCGATGGACGACGGCGTCATCGGCGTCGTGACCGACCGCAACGCTGAGTTCTACCGCGTGAACATCGGGGCTGCGTACGTGAATGAAGTTTGCATGCCCGTGGTGGTCAAGACCATAGCTGACTGTTTTTTGTTGGTGATTTATTCAGTGCTAGTGCTACCTTGGGCGCCCTGGCGTTCGACGGCGCGACGAAGCGCAACCGCCCCAGTCTTCGCCTCGGATCTCTCGTGTATGCTCGCGTGAGCAAGACCAATCCAGACGTCGAGCCTGAAATTACCTGTGAAGGTGCGGCTTTGTAGGCTTGGCAGTCTATTGTATCGAGTTTTGCTTGCTAAACTCATAATCTGTTGTTGCAGCGCCCCCAAGCGTGACCAGGAAAGACTGGATGACCGGCCTCGCCATTTACGGCGAGCTAAACGATGGCTACGTGTTCAAAACGTCCATCGGTCTAGCCAAGTCGCTTCTACACGAAGATTGCCAGGTGCTAGCGTCTCTGGGCAAGAAGCTCGCGTTCGAGGTGGCTGTCGGCGTGAATGGCGTCGTGTGGGTGAACGCGAAGACCACGAAGAACATCACGATCATCTCGAATGCCATCATGAACTCGGAGACGATGTCTCCCAGCGAGGTCGACGCTATGGTGTCGCGCCTCGTGGAAGACGCGGACGACGCGTAATAGAGAAAAGAGCAATACATATAGGTACGCCCAGAAGCAAGCGATCAAACGGTGCGTTTTTCCTTTTGTTCTACCTACCACCTGATCTCGGATTGTTGCGACGACGCCAGACCGACCTCCATAGTACTGTTACACTTACCTTGTTTGGGCCAAGAACGCGTGCTCAGCGAGCTCTTCTGCCGTTGCCCGCTCTGTCACCATTGGAACCATAGTTAGTCGTGGCCCCAAAACTTGTGGATCATTCAGCGCAATTACCTTCCGGGTCGATACAGAAGCAGCGCCGTAAGAAGGACTTTGCATCGGCAGATAAATGATCTGGTAATGGGGGCGGGGCGGTCGCCATAGCGATCGTGTACATGGCTGCTAGGCCGTTATGGCAGTGTGGCCACGGGTGTTTGGCCGTAGCCATTTCAATAACGGTGGCTCCAATACTCCAAATGTCAGCCTTATACCCGTGGCCAGTCTGCTTCACCACCTCAGGGGCCATCCACGGAATCGAGCCTCGAATGGAGCGCAGAGATTCCTCTAAACTCGTGGTTAACATCTGCGGGATCTGCTTCGAGCAGCCAAAATCTGCGAGCTTCGACACGCCTTGCTCGTTCACCAAAACGTTTGCACCTAGCAAACGAAATTGGATTAGTATGAAATGAAGGGGGTACTCAGCTCCTTTGCTCTCCAACGCTGTTTCGAACCTTTAATATCGCGGTGGATGATGCCCATTTGGTGCAAGTAGATAACACCCTGGACAATTTGTCGAATGAATATCCGGATGAGGTCCTCACTAAAGGCGTCGAACTGCTTAAGCATGCTGGTTGGAGGGGAACTAAGAAGGTCAGATGAGAAGCAGGAGCGACCGCTTTTTTCTATTGACACGCACCTGGCAATTGACCCCCCTGGAACATACTCCATGAAAATGTAGAAATGGTTTGCAGATCGGTGGCTCCCCTTGTAGCTAGACACAGCACAAGGAATTCCCATTAGCGCAGACCCCACTAAACTCGTGCAATGCGTAGGAGTGAAGTCCAACAGACCGAACAATATGCTTGTGGCTGAGATTATTCATGAGCGCGATCTCCTCGCCGAGCTTCTGCATCTGAGTGACCTGGTCGGCATTGGGACTCGAGTGGATTTCGATCTCCTTCAGCGCAAAGAGTTCTCCCGTAGAAATGTTCAGGCCCTTGTAAACCTAGTACGCAAAGTGCATCGTCAAGAAATACGCCCTCAAAAGGTAACAACCATAGACGCCAATACCTTTCCGAACGTGCCCTCTCCAATGAGCTCGCCTCGCTTCCATTGTGTGATTGGATTGCTAACTTCGACTTCGATAGTCGAGTTCGCTTCTGCTTCTGCTTCTGCCTCGGCTTGCTGGTTGTTGGAATGTACTGCTGTCGCTCGTCGAAGAGAAGTATCGGGCAGCGACGAGAACCCCGGGCGCCCGATCCGTGGCGACGTTGACCGTGTGAGGGACATGGACTTTGGAATATCCAAGGCGGAAAGTGCTGCTAGGTGCGGGTGCGTAACATGGAGCTGAGAAACCATTTCACTCGCCGTTGGAATGTTGACAACGTCACTGCCGCTGCTGCGCTTCGACTCGAGGGGCTGGATCTTGCTAGACGCCGACGTTAAAGATGAAGATGACGATGGCTTTGTGTCTTCAACACTGGAGCCGGCGAAAATAATGGCGTCCGGCATGCGCTTGTTCCTGGCAGCTTTGCCCCATAGGCCAAAGTTCGATACAGCCTTCTCTTCCACCTGTGTGGGCGGTGGTGCTTCGTTAAGACGGCGATGGACTTCCAAGTTGTTACGCGAAATACCGTCATGCACGTCCCAGTTAATTTCTTCGCTCTCGTCACTGCTATCCTCTCTCTGATGCTGCTGGTGGTCGTCGTCGTCCCTGCATCTGGGCTGTTGATACTCTGGTTTCTCGCACAGCTCTTCAAGACCTTCCGGGTCAGTAGCTGATCGACTCCTTTCGTGGTCTTTCAGCGCCCGGACTGCGATCGAGAAGCTGCTGCTTCGTGGTAAGAGACTGTCGCTGCTGCCGGGTCCGTTGTTGTTGCTGTTGTTGTTGTTGTCGCAATCGGCGCTGTAGAGCCGCTGTCTGCTCTCGGGTCTCCTACCTGAAGGCGCTCGGGGAGTCAAGGCATTTGGCGCCGAGAGCAGCGCCCCGTCAGCCACCGAGAGATGTTTGAGCCGCAGATTTCGTCCACTCGAGCTGCGATGCATCTCCACCACTGGCGACTGACGCAGTGCGTCCACCGCGCGATGGCTCAGTGGAGCAGCTGCAGCACTGTCCTTGGTCGAGGCTTCATTGTCCGAGGCCAGCATGGCACCCCTTCGACTCGAGTTGGATTCTGCTGCGTCGCTGCTGGAGTCGTCGCTTTTGGGCGTCGGTTGAAGCTCGACTGGTACCTTTGTGTCGTCTTCATCTGCGGCCGGGCTCTCCAGTATCGCTTCACGTCTGGATTGACTCCGCATCACGGATACCAGCAGCGAACGCTCGAGTTTACCTGCGCGCAGCAAACAGGCGAGTGCCTTGCTCGACTTGGCAGCTCGCAGTGATCGGCCGGGCGGGCGCGTCGCTTCGAGCACATTTCGGTTAGGCGAAGCCATGCCGTCGTCCGTCTTGACACGCATCCCTCGATGTTTGACGGACCGAGGAGTGGAGTGGCCCCACTAGTTCCCCTCGCTAGGACGGAGTCGAGATGAAGTGAGCTAGCACTTCCACTCGATTGATCACGAGCGTGACATGGCTCTCTCTACCTGGCGGAATCGGGGCCTTCAACACGGAGATTGAAGGATACGAAACCCTCAGACCCCAATGAGTGTACACATGTGGAAAACTGTATGATATCGACTATCAAGAATCTCTCGACAACTACTTGAGTACGTGTCGCTGCGGTTCTTCTTTTCTTGCTCGCTGTTCCAGGTTGAGCTAGATTGAGCGGAAGATCGATGATGATAGCTCATCGATCTTATCTTACGCTGCTAAAAAAAAGTGTTGGGGCGAGCACAACAACTCCCCCCAGCGCTGCACAATTGAACTGACACCGAGGCCAGGAGGCCTGCTTAGCACAGCGAAGATGATGTCTGCCAACGACGACGCGAAGGGCATGATCGCCCAGGAGGAGCGCGAGCTGCGGCGAGTTTTCGACCACTTGAGCTCGTACCGTCAGAAGAAGCGGCTGGCTCACACGATAAGCGACTGCAAGGAGCGGCGCCAACGCTTGGAGTCCAGCCGCAACAACCCCGAGGTGTCGGCTCTGCTCAACGAGAAGGGGGCCAAGATGACGCGCGAGGAGATCGAGGACGAGCTCCGCAAGGTCGACCAGGCCCTCGAGAAGGCGGTCGCCGACCAAACGGCCGTGCAGAACAGCAGCAGCCACAGCCGCGTGGTCAAGAACGAGGATCTGTACGAGGCTATCAAGGCGCTGGGCAAGGTCTGCTCCAAGAAGGAGATCAGCGACATGATCTGGGAGGCCGACGAGAACTTGGACGGCGTCGTGGACTGGGAGGAGCTGCGCGCCATGTTCAACCGCAACCTGCTCGACAGAACGGAGCTTGAGCCGGCCAACCTCTTCAACGTCGTCCAGTTCATGACGTACGACAAGAAGAACTGCGGGGTCATCACTGCGGACGACACCATGGCCATCCTCTTTGCGCGCTACGGCCAGTCGCAGCTCGAGATGCGCATGAAGCAGCTCTTCGGTGACAGCGACGAGCTCACCTTCGTGGACTACCTCGAGCGTGTCGGCAAGCAGCGGCGCTCGAATGTGGAAGCGCGGGCGAAGGCGTAGGTAGCGCTTGCCACTCCTCTGCTAAGTAAATAATACAACCCGATAACGCTAGATAAGCTCATGTTGAAGTTGCTGGAAGTTCGCTCCTGATAGGGCTAGTGCCGGCATATGCTGCAATCGACAGATGCAGGAGTTGGAGAATCATTCCCCAACTGCTACCTGAGTTGCCACCTCAGCTGAAGCTGGCCAGCAGTAGAATTTTTCATGCTCATACGAGAGAGACTCCCGTGAATAGAGCCTATCTCCCAATGATAGGCTTTCCCGGTGGTGCTTGAAAGTGGGCGGCGCGTGTCTAATGCGCACTGACATCACCACAGAGACGCAATTGCCGACGACAAGCAGCGCGGTGCTGAACAACCAAACAATGGGCATGGACTAAAGTACTCCACAAGAAACGTGCTCTCATCTGCTTATGTCTCTCTTCTCCTCTCGCCTCTCCTCCCGATTCTCTCTGATAGACAATGGCCGGATCGGCCGGCGGGGTAAACAGACAGCTTAGCCCAGCGTCAGGCCCAGGCCGAACTTGTGCGAGTCGCCCTCGAAGTTCTTGGCGTCCACGTGCACGCTCGTGGTGAGCGTCACGTACGGGCGCACCTTCTGGATGGAGGCCAGCGACAGGAAGCCCTCCGAGTCGATCTTGCCGCAGTACGTGGTGTCGGCGTCGGCCTTGTACCGGCCGCCCACGACCAGCGTGTTGGAGGCCGACTTGAGGTCGTAGTCCAGCACGGCGGCGTACACGGTGTTGTGCGACAGGTGGTGGTGGAACGAGGCCTGGACGGCCGCGAAGTTCTTCTTGGTCACGAGCGACGTGACGAAATCCGCGCCCGTGTAGCTAGCGCCCACGTTGTGCTGCACGATGGCCGACTTGTCCATGTTGAAGGCGGTCTGGCCACCGACGGCGAAGCCGCCCTGCGAGAGCACGGCCGCGGCCGAGACCGTGTTGGACACGAAGTCGGCCTCCGAGTTGACGGCCAGGTTCGACTGCTTGTACTCGGCGCCGAGCACGCCCACCTGCTTGGCGCTCGTGTTCTTGGCGACGGAGCCGTCCTCGAGCTTGAAGGTGAGCTTGAGGCCCTGCGTCAGCACGTTGGGCAGCTCGGCCTCCGTGACCACGCGGCCCTGGGTGGTGATCTGCAGCTTCTTGAACACCACGCCGCTGGCGCCGTGCGTGAAGCCGCCCGAGACCTTGGCCAGGATCGACTTGTTGGCGTTCAGCGCGCCCTCGGTCGTGAACGACACGCCGTTCGACGCCTTGCTCTTGATCTTGAGCTTGCGCGAGAAGTCGTAGTCGTCGCGCAGGACGTTCTCCGCCGTCTTGGCCAGGTCCTTGTACAGCACCACCATCGTTTGCTCTAGGTCTCTTCTTCCGCGCGCTAGCTCCACTTCCGAAATGAAACGCGAGCCGCACAAACACACCGCTGTATCGGCTGGCTCCACACAAAATCTCCCCCTCCCGTCGGACTTAGGCGGGAACCCCCTTTTTGGCGGGCTGGAGCGTATCTTTTCGCCCCCCTCGAGCGGGGGTGTTGACCCCCGCCTGAGTGACGTGCTACCGCAAGCGGTCAAATCTTGTCCGCCGTGGCAAATCCTGCGCCGCCGGCGCTCGAGTCGAGTCGAGGCCGTGCGGCAATGACGTCGCAAAACAGCCGGTGGCCGCCTTCAATGCGGTGCGGTGGCGTGTTTCGGGTTGCCGAATGATGCGGGTCGTTTGACAGACGGCGGCAGCAGCAGCAGCAGCACAGACGCAGGCTTTCTCCCGCCAGCTAGCTCTAGCTATATCAAAAGTTTGCTGTTTAAAGTAGTTCGCAACTCTGACCCCTTAGAGCGACATGAAGCAACTGAATGGAGGGGCCGAGGAGCGGAGAATCTCGATGGCCTGCTTCGTGCAGGGGCAGGGGATTGCATCACGTTGCACCGAGCCGGGATTTGACTTGCTCTGAGTATGCCCCACAATTTTTCGTACTTAGCCTGGTGGCGTAGATTCAACCCCCCCCCCTTCCTGCGGCTCGGGCCCAGGTTGCCATTCGCGAAAAGATCAGCCAGTGGACACACACGTAGGAAGGAGCTCAAGATGGTCGTGCTGTACAAGGACATCGCCAAGACGGCGGAGAACGTGCTCCGCGACGACTACGACTTCTCGCGCAAGCTCAAGATCAAGACCAAGGCCTCGAACGGCGTGTCCTTCACCACCGAGGGCGACATGGCCAGCAACAAGGCCATCCTCGCCAAGCTCTCGGGCTCCTTCACGCACGCCAGCAGCGGCGTCGTGTTCAAGAAGCTGCAGGTGACCACGCACGGCCGCCTGATCTCCGAGGCCGAGCTGCCCAACGTCTTCACCAAGGGTCTCAAGCTCACGGCCAAGGTCGAGGACGGCTCGCTCGCCAAGAATGCCCACGCCAAGCGCGTCGGCGTCTTCGGCTGGGAGTACCAGCAGTCCAACTACTCGGTGAACGGCGCCATCGACGTCGGCGCCAGCACCGTGAGCAAGGCCGCCGTCTACAGCTTCGACAACGTGCTGGTGGGCGCCCAGGCCGCCTTCAACTACAACAAGTCGGCCGTCGTGGACCACAACGTCGCGCTGAGCTACCGCGGCAACGACTTCACGGCCACGCTGCAGACCAAGAAGAAGTTCAACACGCTCTCGGGCTCGTTCCACCACCACCTGTCGCACGACACCGTCTACTCGGCGCTCTTCAACTACGACCTCAAGTCGGGCCAGAACACGCTCAGCGTGGGCGGCCGCTACAACGCCGACAAGCTCACCACGTACGCCGGCAAGGTCGAGTCGGACGGCCACGTGTCCCTGGCCCTGGTCCAGAAGATCCGCCCGTTCCTGGCGCTGACCACGAGCGCCCACGTGGACGTCAAGAACTTCGACGGCGACGCCCACAAGTTCGGCATCGGCCTCACCCTGGGCTAAGCAGCGAGGGGACGAGACGAAACTCAACGTAGTAGACGTGCGTCTGGCTAGTGCTGGATGGGGGGAGGTGCCCTGGTGCCCGCGCAGGGCTGAATCGAATAAACACCTCCGTTTGCCCATGTAACCTTTTGCTTCCTTACCCATCTCGACGTCAGAGTGGTGTGTGTGTGTGCCACATGATCCTATGTAAGCTACACACCGCATCCATAGATACCTGGCCGTCGGCACAAGTCAAAGCGACGCACACAAGTGACAACCATGAGCGAGACGGACCGCTTCGACAGCATGCTGCTGACCATCGCGCAGTCGCAGCGCGGCATCGAGCCGCTGCTGGACACGGTGTTCTCGTTCCTGCGGCGCAAGACCGACTTCTTCACGGGCGCGGAGCCGCAGGTGATCGAGGACACGATCCTCAAGAGCGTGCGCAAGCAGGCGGCGCTGGCCGAGAAGGACCAGTTCCACAAGAAGCAGCAGGAGGCCGAGAAGCGCAGGAAGCAGGAGGCGGCGCGCAAGGCCGCAAAGCTGGAGAAGAAGCAGAAGAAGGAGGAGGAGGCGCCGCGCTTCGAGGAGATCACGGACGACGCCGACGTGGAGACCAAGGAGGCCTCACCCGAGCAGGCGTCGCCCCAGAAGGTGGACGCGGCCGCGAATGAAGGGGACGAAGAGGAGGACAACGGACCACGTACGTGTTGGCTGCTGTGCTGACCTATATTTCTTCTATTAACGGTGCTCTTCTCTTTTGTTGTGGCAATGTGGCAGCGCTGGTTGGCAATGGAGGCCAGACGGACAAGTACGTGTGGACCCAGACGCTGCAGGAAGCCCAGGTCAACTTTGCCGTCCCCGAGGGCACCAAGTCCCGACAGGTTGACGTGGAGATCCGCGCCGGCAAGCTGCGAGTGGGTCTGCGCGGCGCTGAGCCGTTCGTGGATGGCTCTCTGTACAACAAGGTGAAGGTGGACGACAGCTTTTGGACGCTGGAGGACGGCAACCGCATCTGCATCTACTTGCAGAAGGACAACCAGATGGAGTGGTGGAAGACCATCATCCAGGGTGATGCAGAGATCGACACCCAAAAGGTGCAGCCAGAGAACTCCAAGCTCGATGACTTGGACTCGGACACGCGCCAGACCGTTGAGAAGATGATGTTCGACCAGCGTCAGAAGGCGATGGGTCTCCCCACCAGCGACGATATGCAGAAGCAGGAGATCCTGCAGAAGTTCATGGCGCAGCACCCCGAGATGGACTTTAGCAAGGCCAAGATCAATTGAGCAGCAACCGGGACTCGAGTTTTGCCAGGATAGACCCGTACCAACGGCTTTGCTTCTCTTGTACTCGCTGAAGCACTGCTACCGCTATTTCGGTGGTCTAACTCTAATAATACTGCCTGGAATGCCCGATCAGATCAGTTCTTGTGTCTTAGCAGGTGGAAGCTTTCAAGCTGGAAGGTGACGGTGTTGTGAGCTTGTCACTTGTCTTTTGCTCAGGAGCCATTGCGTCCGATCATCTAGAAGCAGGAGGAAATGGCTCGCGGTCGCCACCACGTCGTGTCAGTTGTTCTCGGGTCGGATGCCATCGAGTACCAGAGCAGCAGCGCAGCCATGAACCAGCACGTCGGCGAAAAACCGGCAGGCACGTCCAAGAAGGCTTCTGATAACCTCAACAAAGAGTGTCATGTGCAGTTCGGAGAGCCCGGCAGCAAGCGCGACTTCACTACCTCCAGCAAACTCGCAGACCCGACGGGGGAAGTGCTGAAGTACCGAGGGGAGCTGGATGTGGAGGCGATGGACATGCTCACTCGCACATCTTCGTGCTACGGCAACGACGTAGTGCCGTACGTTTCGTCGACCCAGCTCGCTACTCAATGGGACAAGAAGGCAGTGGCGGAAACCATAAGGCTGCGAAATGAGATTCGAGCTCGAACGGGTCCACGCCCAACACGGGGCATGTCCTACGACGATGAGGTCGAGTACGTTTCGGAAGCCAAAAGCGCCTTCGAGAACAAGTTCAAGACGCACAAGCCTTCGATCATGGCCGCGTCAGTGAAAAATGGTGCGTTGGTTTTGGTGATCCCAACGCGTCTCGTTTGTTTATCGCTGCTAACGCTTTGGTGCTTGCGCAGATTTACGTGCAACGCACTTCTCTTTGGGGCACGAGAAGCTCGACTACAAGACATCCAGCCACATCGATCGCCTCTCTCCGGACCAATTCACCACTTACGCAACGCGACCCTCGCCTCTTCACGACCTGAAGAAGTCCACGGTAGAAATCTCGTAAAGCTAGCCCAGTCCGCTACAGCAACAACACTGAACAAGCAATACATCGCGTTTGAAATGATGATATTATTGTTCGGAGCTTCGAAGCACCGCAAATATGTTCACGTGCGCCAGGGCGTGTACAAAAGTCTTGTCGCCAGGCAGGCGGGGCGTGGCAGGTCAGCTAGACGTTGAAGCTCTCGCCACAGCCACAGCTGCCCTTGGCGTTCGGGTTCTCGAACACGAACTCGGACGAGACCGGAGTTATCTGCAGAAACCGACACCATACGTTAATTTAGCCTGCCTGCATGAATGAATGAACCTTGTTCCGATGGTCGAACCTGGAAGTCCATGGTCGTGCCGACCACGTGGAATAGTGCCTTGGGCTCCACGAACACACGAACTCCTAAGCACACATAACAGGAACCACTGTAAGACACACATCCAGAGAACGCAGCATTCGTGCAGGCGTCCTCACCGTTCTTGCTCACTTCCTCCTCCATTTTCTCCTTCTTGTCCGCGTAGTTCATGGTGTACGACAGACCGTTGCAACCACCTACAGTTGTACCACATCAGCAACTCGTCAGTCGTCTTCTAAATGAGCCCGCACCACCAGGACGCACTCCGTCAAACTCGATTGAGGCTCTGCACACGTACGCGTTCTAACTCCTAGGCGGATCCCGATGGCGTCCGGTTTGCTGGCCAGCAGCTCCTTTATACGCGCCGCAGCGGCGTCCGTCTGCACGAGGAAAACACGCACGATCGATCGATTAGACGCGGACTTCGGGACCTCAGTCTCATCTCCGTCGACGCACCAGGTTCAGCGGCGGCGGCAGCTCGCGCAGGCGTCGGCGCGTGGGCGGCGTCGCGTGCTCGGCCGCGGTGGACAGCAGGCGCGGCGCATGGGCGGCCCGGGCGCGCGTCACAGAGCGGAAGAGCGGAGTCATCGGCGGCGTTCCGGCGGCTGGGCTTCGCTTCGTGAGAGCCGCTCGAGCCGCAACGCAAAATGCCTTACCCAGCACGCGAGAACTGGACCGCCTACGCGGATTGGTCACTAATCGCGCCCGAAATAGCTGAAATAGCCGCCTTTTCGACGAATCCGGGCGCGTGCCCATCCCCGTCGCATTTAACAGCGCAGCTTCAATGACGCAGCGGTGGTGGGCTTGCTTGGTAGCTGCTGGTGTCACCTAGGTAAGCTTTGCATTGGTTCGAGTGTATTATAGCTAGCTACTACGTGTCTGTCAGCCGAAGAGCTGCTCGCGCAGCGTCACGAGCTCGTCCTTGTACTGGCGGATGAGCTCGCGGAGCACGGAGCCGCCCAGCTGGAAGTTGCGGATGTAGTCCACCTTCTCCTTCACCGTCCGCGTCCACTGCTGCGCCTTCGCTGGGTCACTGCTGTCCGGCGCCGTCCACTCGAAGATGTTGACGAGAGGGTCGAACTTGGGCGCGGGCGTGACGCCCGCGTCCGACTCGTCCACCGGAGGCGGGTTTTGCGGAACGGCGGTGTTGGCGCTGGCATCGGCTTTCACCTGCATGGACTCCTCTGTTTGCTGGGGCTCCTCCGTTGCCAGTTGAAGCTCCGTTTCAGCAGTGGCTGGGTCGTTTTCGGTCGGCGCAGGGGCTTCGGTGTCTGCGGCGGCTGGAGCTTCGGTCGGTAATTCTTCGCCAGGTTCCTCGGGTGCCGGTGGTGTAGATTCGGGTTCTGAGGGTTTTGCCGCTGGCGGTGCCGTCTCTGGGAACGGCTTGTCACCCCACCACTTGTCGTAGATGTACTTCTCCACCGCCTCAACCTTCGCGTCGTCCAGCACCGCGTTGTAAATCAGCATCTCGGCAATTCTGCCCTGGAATGCGTTTGTGTCGCAAGCGCTCTTGGAGTTACCCAGGCTCACGACATCGTTAACGGTGATCCGAAGTCTCTCGTCGGCGTCGCCCTCTGCTGGAGACTCACCACCCCACGCCCCACCGTTCATTTTGATTTCAGCATAACCTGGATTTAAACGATAGGTGAGCAGCGAAAATTGCCCCATAGGTACCATGTTCTCGCTCTCGACCAGGCCCATGCTGGCGAGGAACGAGGGCTTGCCCCCATGCAAAGCGAACTGCCCGTACGGGGAGTTGCCGAAGAATTTCTGGCCTGCATACGAATCGCCACGCTGCAGACATATCCACAAGAGTCAGCATCCTATCTGCAAGGTAGTTAGTCGCACCAGAACAATCGTGAACCTCATTACCTCAATTTGAGCAGGGGAAAGCACGAAAAACAGCGTCATGGACTCGTGCATTCTCAACGCGTCGGAGATCATCGGACAGGAAAAGTACACAGCTGGGAGCTGGTTGTGCGTATCTGGCACCACTGGCACCCACACAGGTTTTTGCTGGGGCGAAGCAGCTCGAAAAGCTGTCGCGTCGGCAGCATTGGGGTCTGAACTCGCCATTTGGTTGATCCACCTAGACAGAGAAACGTTAGCATCACTTCGAAACTCGTAGGTGATTGATCTCCGAGCGTACCTGTTGATGCCACAAGCCACGATATCGTGTCCTGAGGAGGCCAAACACGCCGCCAGGTTCTCCACTTCTACTCCCGAGTCAGCCGTCAGCCACGTTACCAAGTTATCTACAAAGGCTGGACATTAAGACTGAAGTTAGCTTGGATGTTCTTGCTACTAGCAAGTAGATCAAACCATGCATACCTTTCGACTCAACCGATGCAGGTTCAATCTCCGTTGAAAACTCCGGCGCTGCTGTTGAAGTAGGAGAGCTTTGGCTTGCTTCAACTGGCTGCTCTGGTGATAAAGTTTCCGGTAAAGGGGCTTGAGATTCTTTCATCTGCGAAATAAGATCCGCAATCTCGGCTTGAGAGGGTTGACCAGGGCGTGGCGCGTTGGATGCTGGCTCTGCAGATGTGTCGCTGGACACGGTTGGTGGTGTGGTTGTTGTTGCTGTGTCAGGATCGACCGCAGTCTCCTCGGTCACCACGGTATCGCTGTCTTCCGTTCGCTTTTCACTCTCTGAATCACGCAATGGATCTTCTTGAGTGCCTACGTTTGCCGGGGTGTCAGCGTCTGAAATCACGGTTAATGGTTCGTCTGCTACGGCCTCGGTAGTGTCATCTTGGTCAAGTAGCTGCTCTTCTTCATCAGTAGCGGTGGTGCTCGTCACTTTAGTGTAACTTCCCGGTCGAAATGTTTCTTGCACTTGGGGTTCTTTCGTAGCTTGTGGTTGAGTTTCTGATAGCGTGAGGGGTTGATACACAGTTTGGGGGACTGTTGTAGGTTGCTCTAACGCATTCGATAGAACGCTGTCCCCGGATAGAGAGGGAAAGCGAGTGGAACTCATAAAGATAAAGGTGGTGACAATGGCCAAGTTGATGACCAGGATCAGCCTGGAGCAGACCATCGGGTGAATCTCGAGTTGTAAATGGGAAGCAGCGTAGTTGCAAACTCCGTGCATACGTACCATATCTTGCCACGGGGCGTTGAGAAGGACACACCTCTAGACTCTAGCCTTGGTTGATGCGAATCCCCCTGGTGGATACCTTCATTGCCGTCGTTGTCCCCATCGTCGTCGCTCATGGGGGCGACGCGCCCCTTTTTGCTCCGGTTGTGCTTTGACAAACGCATTGCTGTGTAGTGGTTGGTAGGCTAGGTCGCGTCGACCGCACGCTGCGAGTTGCAGCAGACCGACCGCCTTGCGTCTATTGCTCGGCGAATGCAGATCGCGACTCTACTAAACGGGCGTGACGCTTCAGATGGCCTGCAACCCCAAATTGGCCAAACCCAGCAATCAGTATCCGGGACGGCAACTCGCAGATTACCTGGTAACATCAACAAGCTTTGCATCACACTCCGTTCACATTTCGCTTCTCGGAGCTGTTCTTGCATCAGAGATCCAATCGCCGAATCTGCTTATGTAATACCACGACAGCTAGCGCTTCAACCTACATGCCTCGCCTCGCAATGAAAAGCCGTAGCTCAACCTGCTCATTGCATCAACCACTGCTGCAACAAAGTCGAGAACCTCCTCAGTTTTCCTCAATTTGAAGTGGAGCAAAAGTGCGCATATTCGCTTGTGTTGAGCTTCCTGTTCCTGCTCTCTCCTCTGCTCCCGCCTCTGCGCTACATCTAGTACGGGTCCGTCTCGTTGAGCCACTTGTCCAGTCCCTTGAGCGGCTTGGCCTGCTTGACCGCCTTCTTGTGCTCTGCGATCTTGCTGGGCATGGCCGCCAGCGCCGCCTGCACCTTCTTGACGCTGTAGCACACACACACAGACACACATATAACATGAATAACCAGTCCGCCTCGACACCCAGCAGCTCCAGCCACTTTGTCATTCGTCAATCTACCCACCGCTCGAACTCGTTGCGCTGGTTCTTGTGGCCCTTGAGCGGCCGCATCACGTGGTGCTTCTGCGGTCGGTCCCAGGTCTCGAGCCAGCCGCCCTTGCCCTCCTCCCACGTGCCCACGAGGCCGTTGCGGAACGCGTGCTTCTTCACCATGGCGATCTTGCGGCCGGAGATCAGCGGCTGCTTCCACTTGCCGTCCACCAGTCGGGGCTTCATGGCGGCCTCGGCCTCGGCCGCGCTCAGGCGGAGGAATCGCTGCACGCCGCTCATGGGTCCTGATCGATCGTCTATTGCTCCAAGCCAAACCAGCGGTTTGCGTGCGCCCGATTTTCAGCCAGTCAGACGACTCTGATAGCTTTTTGACCAATTACCATAAAACGTACTTACTCGGGAGACCGAAGGCGCGCTCCGGTTTGAAAGCATTCACCCAGCGATGGACATGGCGGCCGCCGCCCCGCAGATGGCCATGAACCGGGCCTACGCGGCGCCGCAGCAGTTCCAGCAGCCGCAGGAGCCCAAGCAGATCACGACGGAGCAAATCCAGGTGTGTCTCCCCACGCCGTCGCGGTGCTCTATCTCCCTCTCTAACCGGAGATACGCCTTCCTGTTTCCATGCCCCCACGCAGGCCATGCTGGACGAGAACTCGAGTCTCATCGTGGAGATCATCGAGCTCAACACGCAGATCAAGCATGGCAAGGGCACGGCCCAGCTGGGGGAGTTCACGGAGAAGCTGGACAAGAAGCGCAAGAACCTCAACAAGAACCTCATGACGCTGGCCAAGTGGGCCGACGAGTCCTCCGAGACGTCCCCCAGGCAGCCGCAGGCTTACGGCCAGGCCCAAATAGCACAGCAGCAGCAGTACGCGCGCGCCGAAATGATGCAGATGCCCATGGCCAACCAGGCGCAGTACCAGGCCCAGGCTCAAGCGCAAGCGCAAGCGAGGGCCCAAGCTCAAGCGCGACTTCAAGCTCAGGCCCAGGCCCAGGCTCAAGCCCAAGCTTACGCACAGGCTCAGTACCAGGCGCGCATGAACCCTATGATGGCTCAGCAGTACGGCCAGATGAACGTCATGGCCCAGCAGCAACAGCAGCAGCAACAACAACAGCAGCAACAGCAGCGGTATGCTAACGGCGGCATGCCCTACGGCGTCCCGGGCAGTGGACCGATGTCGCACCCCGTCCGCATGAGCAACGCGATGCAGATCCCCACGAGCTACGCAGACAATCGGAACGCTATGGCGCCCAACATGGGCTTTCAGATGGGCCCGCAGGGCTACGGCATGATGGCTCCGACGCAGATGCAGCGCATGAATCCCGCGTCGCAAGGAATGGCCCCGCAGAGTATGCCTCAGCAGGGGATGCAGCAGCAGACCATGCCCCACCAGAGCATGGCAATGGGGCAGCAGAACATGGCGATGCCCCAGCAGAGTATGGCGATGCCGCAGCAGAGCATGGCCATGTCGCAACAGAGTATGGCAATGGGGCAGCAGAGTATGGCGATGCCTCAGCAGAGTATGGCGATGCCCCAGCAGAGCATGGCGATGGGCCAGCAAGGAATGCCTCAGCAGGGGATGCAGATGCCCCAGCAAGGCATGCCTCCCATGCAGATGAACGCCCCGCCGAACTCGGGCGCGATGACGGACGCTTCGGGCCGCCCAAGCAGCTAGGCGCTCCAAGAGTTCTAAAGCCCATAGCTAACACGTCGTCGATGAAGAATCCATTTTCACTATACTTATATTAAACTTGCTGCCGTCTTCGTCTGCATGGAGAAGGTCCTCCTTAGTTGAAGCCATCGCGTCTCGTCCTCCTCGCGTCCGCCACACCAAATTGCCGTCGGTTTCAAGCCGACTACCCGGTAGTCAAAAAGCGATGTTCGAAGCTAACGCACATTTGGCGGGAAGTCGCTGAAGAGCTTTTTAGGTTGTTGCCCGCCGCGCACCAGGGATGGCGTCCCAGGGCCTTTCGTCGTGGCTGAGCGGCCCCATGGCGGAGGCCGCAGAGGAGGGTGCAGAAGAGCAGGACAAGGCCAAGGCCAGCTCGAGCGACTCGCCACTGGACATCAGCCTCGCCCAGCTGCGCGCCAAGGAGACCATCACGAGCATCAGCCCGGAGAAGCGCTCGCTCGTGGAGGAGATCGACAGCGAGGCGGACGACACCGAGTTCGACGAGAGGGCGCACTGGGCCAGGCGAGGCAGCAGGAAGAAGGCCAGGGCGTCTCGCAGAGCCGCCAGGGCCGCGGACAAGTCGCAGCCGTCGATTGCGCTCTTCTGCGTCAAGGAGGCGGCTCCAGCCACGGACTCACAGGAGACGGAAGCCGAGGCGGATGCAGTCGCCAGTGCCATTGCAGCCTCCCAATTGGAGCAGAGTCAGAAGAAGGAGAACAGCAAGAGCAAAGGCAGGAAGAAGTCGAAGAAGGCGGCAGTGCAGAGCTCCGGACTAGAGGCCAACTCGGCCGTGGACGGCAGCAACAAGGACGAAGGTGCCAGTGGTGTCATGAGCTCTGGACGCCCCAAGCGACAGGCAGTTGTACGCGCTGAGATCCTCCAGCAGCAGCAGAAGCTGCTCGATGCCGTTGCAGCGAGGAAAAACGCCGCTGCATTCTTGACCCCGCCCCCGTCGACGAAAAAGAAGGCGGAGGAAGGCAGCGCCACTACCAGCGGACGCAAACGGAAGCTTGATATGAACAAGAAGAAGTCATCGCCGCCTACAAAGGGCGCACCACCATCGAGCTCCCCAGGCTCCAGCAAGGCGGCGAAGTCTTTCTTTTTGAGTGAACAGGAGAAGAAGCAGCTGCAGGAGATCGAAGCTGTGTCGTCGTTCCGTGAGCAGCTCCGGCAGACGCGCGAGAAGGACCTCGCCTTCTTTGCAGGCAAGACGGCGAATCCATTCTTCCAGGCGCGAGCTGTCACCAAACGAAGCAGCAGCGCAGAGAACAGCGACGGTGTCGTTGAGCTTCACGAAGATGGCGAAGGATCGGATGCCAAGCCGCGACGTGGAGCTGGAGGGGGTCGCTGGAGCAAGCCATTGCCGCTTTTTCCTGGAGTGCAGCACGTGCTATCGGGATCCTTGGAAGCTGAGGGCATGGACACTGACGCGCAAGAAGGATCGATGCCGCCGAAGAAAGCAGCTCCAGCAGCAGACAGCTCTACCGCAGTAGTCGTAATCGAGGATGACGCGGGAGGAGATAGCAGGCTGCCGTCTGAAGTGATGGACCACCTGAAAGCGGCCATGAACGGCCAAATCACGACGGAGTCTTCGTTTTCCGAGCAGTTTTGGTTCCGTGAATACTTGGACTCCTCGAGCCTCCCAGCGCCAGTTGTTGAGATGATCGATGTTACCTCACCGAGGCCAGAAGAAAGTGCTGAGACTGCAGCAGCGGAACTAGCTCAGCGAGAGACGTTGCTCGTTGATGAACTGGTCGAGACCCACGGTTTGCGCGAGAAACGAGTCCGTGAACTTCTTGAAGGACTAGAGCAGGCCAGGGCCAAGCGTTTGGATCGCGAGCAGAACTTGTCGCTGGTAGACCGGTACTTGCCTGTGAACGCAAGTGGACTGGTTGGCAACCGAGAATCACTTCATACTCTGTCGTCGTGGCTGAGTGCGTGGAAAGTCGGTGGTGGCGACCGTGAGAGACTGGACTGCTTTGAAACGGAGCTGTTCACGTTTGAGGACCACGACAGCGATAGCGAGGACGAGGTCGGTGATCTGTGTCGCTTGTTTATTCTGGAGGGCGAGTCGGGCTCTGGTAAATCTGCTGCAGTTTACGCGTGTGCCGAGGAGCTGGGCTATGAAATTATCGAGATCAATGCGGCCCAAAATCGCTCCGGAAAGAGCATTGTGGAACTCGCGGGCGAGGCTACGCAGTCCACTCGAGTGTTGCACGTGGGTGGGAAGGAGGACAAGAGCAAGAAGAAGAACAAGAAGAAGCGACGAAGACACTCAGAGGGCCGCAAAAGCTTAGATAAATCCTCTGCAGCGTCACTATCGCTCGTGTTGTTTGAGGACGTGGACCTGGTGTTTGACGAGGACAAGGGCTTCCTCAACGCCGTGTGCTCTATCGCTAAGCACACGAAGTGCCCGATTGTCGTAACCTGTGCGCAGCTGCCTGATGGGTTCCCCGCAAAACCCGGACGGTTGTGCCGCGAGCTTCGGAAACCCTCAATGGACGAGTTTGCCACCTGGATGCGGTTGGTGGCCTTCATTGAAGGACTCCAGCTAGCTCCAGCGTTAATTGATGCACTGGGCAAGTTCTTCGAGCGGGATGTGCGCCGCTCGCTTCATTTCTTGGAGGCGAATTTGCCGGTGTCGAATGCGGATACAACGACTCAGTGGCGCTGGCAGCATGACAGCGAACGTCGCAGCGATGCTAATGAGGCTCGCCACGTTGACGTACCTGCCTGGACTACTTGGTCGACTGGGTGTTCTTCGTTCGACGCCCTAACGAGCAATCTGCTGGTAGAGTTGAGCGCTGTCGCTGCAGACGAAAAGAAACCGGAGGGCAAAAGCCGCGAAGAAAAGCAGCAAGACGTCGACGCAATGGCGGAGCTCGCACAGGTCATGGATGCTGCTTCTGTTGCGGATATTTGGATGGCACCAGCGAGGGCTTCCACCAACAGGAACGGGTTTGGCAGCGACGATATCGAGGTGAGAGAGGAGTTGGGTATGTAGTTTGATCGTCCGCGTGCATCGTGTCTAACGATGTCTTCTTGCTGGCAGGACTTGTTCTTCCTCAGCGAACGCGAGCAATCGGCTGCTCTGGAGCTCAGACGATCCAGTCTACACATGCTAGGATCTTTGGCTAACCCACTCGGTGCGTCGCTAAGACGAGGACCGGGGCCTAGCGCCTCTGTGTGCGTGCAGCGGACACTGGACAGCGCGCTAGAAGCCTCGCGTCGACGTGCTCACCAGTCAGCGCTGGCACAGCTGAAGCCTAAGTTCGAGCTGCCACTGGCCTACAAAGGGTGCGTTCCTCGTTTCACTGCTCGACCCTGCAGCTATGTCACCTCACTCTGTCTTGCACCTGTTCAAACGTAGCTGCGGGAACTTGGAGCCACGCTTCGCGCTCGACTACATGCCGATGGTGGGGCGCTTGCTGTTCAGCACCGGCCTGCAAGAAGGTCGGCGACGGACATCGCGACGGAATCACTATTTAGGCGACGTGCTGGGGGACATGAGCCTCATCGACGAGCTGCCAGCCTTCAACACGTACTTGCAGGCTGACGAGGACCAAATCGTCGACGCCTCCCCGGCGTCCACGCAGTGATAGAGGTAGAAGAAGAAAGTAGAAGTATCTGCATCTCGGGACGATACAACTAAGTGCATCCCCCCCCCGCTCCTCCTGTAGCTTTGTAATCACCAGAACTCTTCCATTTGGACTCCTTCGTCACTCCCTCCCTCCTGCCTGCCTGCCTGACTGTCTTCTATCTATTCCGTGGTCTTCTTGACCTTGGCCACCACACGCTTGGCGCCCTTGCCGAGCACGTCCTTGGCCAACGCGTCCACCTTCGTCTTGACAATCTGGTTCAGGGACGCGTGGAACGACGCGTGGTTCACAGCCGTCACCTGCAGCACAAGTCGAGTCAGTCGAGGAGAGCTACACACATATCCATCCATCCCCTCTGCGCAGTCCGTGCGTACCACCGTGCTGTATTTCTTCTTGTGCTTGTTGTTGCCGTACTGGCAGGCGCGGAAGAGCAGCGCGTTGTCTCCATCCTCCACCGTGAGCTTGTGGATCTGCTGCTGCGCTTTGCTGTTCACTTTGGCCACGGGCACTGCATCCATCATGTCACCACAACAACATGTCAGCGCATTGCAGGGGACGAGTGTCGCACTACTGTAGCAGGACGCACCGCTCTTGCAGGAGATGGCCACGGAGCCCTTGGAGCCCTGCGCCTCCGCGTAGAACTCCGCCACCTTGGCCAGGAACGTGTCCGTACTGACCAGCACCATGTTCCCCCGGCTCTGGGATGATGAAAACCCTTTTGCCTAGAATCTGGACCAGGTACAGAATCTGGACCAGGTACAGATTCCAGACTTCTGATGTAGTATCCAAATATGGCCGCCTGTGTCGGACTCCCCACCCGTGTCTGCCCGGCGCCCCTCGGCTGCGCCCGCCCCGGTCGACAGCAAGACGCCCCCGGAGGCCAAGGATAAAACGAAGAAGAAGAAGAAGAAGAAGAAGAAGAAGAAGAAGAAGAAGAAGAAGAAGAAGCGGCGGCCGAGAGGGCCAGGCGGAAGGCGTGCATCGCCAGGTCCTTCTTGTCCAGCGCTTCCTCCTCCGACGATGAAAAGCCACCCGCAACCGTTCCAGCGCATCGCATCGCACCATCATCACCCCCGCGCCCGTCCTCGGAGGTCAAGCCATCGGTCTCGGCGTCGCGCAGGAACAGGCGCAACACTGTTAGGGCCCGATCCCGATCCTCCGACTCGAGCGTCCGCCCCGACGCGGAGGAGAAGGCAGAAGCGGTCGTCGAGGCGCCGCCCGTGGTCGACAGGGAGACGATGGACGCGTCGCTGTGGTGCTGTATACCGCCCTCGAACGACAGCGACGCCTTGGGCTCACCACTCGACCGAGACGACGCTGGGACTGACGCAAGGGAGAAGAGAATCGACGCTTTTGTAAAGCTCGGCCTAAAACCTCCAGACGCTAAGTGGGGCCCCCAGAAAACGCTTCGCTACCTGGTGGCCTTTTCACTTTTGTCGTCTGCAGATCTACCAGTTGTCAGTCTTCGTGGACATGGACGAGTTCCCCAGGGTCATCCCGGGCGGCAAAATGGAACTACTTCGGCTATGTCGTCACGAGTCTCCTTCACGAGTGTCTCGTGAAGGAGAGACACGAAAACTCAATCCGCTATGTCAAGGACAGCGAGTTCAAGATCAACCAAGGGGCGAGGTGCTGGGTACGCCTTGTGTACGTGTTCGAGAACGCTGCGCTGCGCGACTACATCAGGAGCAAGCGTGGAGCGTACGTTGATGCAACTGCGCCGAAGGACATCGCCGGACTCTACAACCTCCTCGGCAACTCGGAGGAGAGGGCGATGGACGAATGGTCGGAGAACAACTGGATAATGAAGGTTGGCAACTCCAGGACCAGTGTGCGAGATCGCGCCGCGGCACAGATGACGGGGGCGGCTACTTCCATGCCGGCTAGAGGAGAGTCGTCGCTCTCTTTCTATGGCGCGCTCGACCGCGACGACAGCGTGAGGGCGGAGAAGCTGGCCCACGCCAAACTCCGCTCTCTCGGATTCGGCCACGCACCGAGCAGCGGCAAAGATCAGTTCGTGGTTTGCCAACACAGCTATGTGCTGTTCCACGAAGTCATCGTGGAGGTATTCAAGATCTTCCCCGTCCCGGACCAGCCAACACAAGCTTCTGGCCTGGTCGAGGCAGGCCCCGCGTCGCTGAGCACCGTCGGCCAGAAGGGTCGGTACGTGCGGGAGGTGGAAACAGCTCAGGCAGCAGCAAATAAGGCAAAAAAGCGTCCCCGGAGTTGAGTCTCTGAAAGCTGGACCTGAAATTCAGACGCGTTTGCATTTTAGACACACAAGCTAACATGGCTACATGACAGTCTGCTGTCGACTCACTCGACCATGGCAATGTCCACCAGGTCGCCCGGATGGAAGCGCACGCTCGCGAGCGTCTTGCTGTCGTCCGCGCACCGACGACGGCTGCTGTTCACGTAGCCAACCTTCCGCATGAGCACTCTGCACCACCAGCACAACAACAACAAAAAGCAGTCAGCTGTCCCAGCTCGTCGACGACGCCAGCAATAGAAGTGCATGCAATACACGCGCAATGGTAATAGCAGGACCCTCACCTTCCGTCCCTCGTCTCCGACACAACGCAGATGCTGAGACGCATGTTGGGCTTCTGGGCTTCGGTGTTCGAGTCTTGCACCAGGTCTGCGATCTCGCGCAGCGTGGCGTCGGGCCTGCATTGACGGTGCTTCAGCAACACATCACTACCAATGACCGAAACCACTGAGACCGCAGCCTACCACGTGTAAATGTGCAGCTCGTTGGCGATCGGTTTGTCGTCCAGGGCTTCGAACGCGTCGGTTCTGCAGCGGCAGACCACCCAAATCCATTGCATCGCAGTCGCAGTCAGCGCCGAACCACCAGCCAGCCAACTTCACCAGAGCTGACTGAATCTCTCGTGCCTGTTGTGCGCCCCCATGCTGAAGAAGACGCGCAGCAGGAAGGGGCAGTGTTTCTCGCGGTCGATCGGGTCCTCGAGCCGCATCCTTTGCTTGGATGCTCTTTGAAGAGTGTCAACTCATGGGATCGTACTTTGCAGCGTTAGTGGTACACCGTACCACTCCACCACGCGAGTTTGAGCGGTGGTGGCAGTCCAAAGCGCGCAGCAGGCAACAGTAAGCAGCAAGATGGCGGCGCGCAACGTGGTTCGTTTCCTCAAGTCGGCCAAGGTTTCCTTCTCCAGCTTCGACCGGCAGGCGACGGGCGCCTGGTGAGTGGCAGCGGCAGTCGATGCAGCGTGCTAATTATACTGCGGAGTCTCTGACGTGTCATGTCTGCTGTGGACGTCTGCAGCGAATTCTACCGGCAGCTGACGGCCGAGAAGGTGAGCGCTGCAGAGCTCTTTGTCAAGGGAAAAGTAAGGAGACGGTGCCCTGACTGCAGTGTTTTATCTTCTATTGACAACAGACGCGCAAGGTGAACCCCAAGGCCGAGATCGCCTACCAGACGTCGCTCACGGGCTCCGTGCCCACCATCAAGCTGGACTTCAGTACGTCTCAACATTGATCCACCTCAGCAATCGTTGAGGGAGCTAACCGCTGCGATGTTGTGCTATGATTTTGTTCAGTCAACGGCAGCAAGCACGTGATGGAGGTGCCCGGCAAGAACGTGCGCGAGATCTTCGAGGAGCTGGATTACCACTGCTCGCAGATCGAGACGGAGTACGAGAAGCAGGGCAAGTCCATCGAATAGACAGTCGGCAGACCGAAGACAACGCAACAGAGGTGGCTTGTGCTACTCGAGTTGATGACAGAATATACAGGGGAGCGGATGAGTTTGAACGACCACTGCGTTGCTTTCCAACGTGCGAGTCTGTACTGGAGACCCACGCACTCGATTCAACACGTGAACACATGCATTGAGCATTAAATAGCCTAGCCTCGTCACTGCGGATCGACAAGCGCGATTTCTGCCTGCACCTCCTGCTCAAAGTCTGGCTGCGAGGCATACAAATTGAGCGTCTTGGCGCGTTGCAGCGACAACTTCAACAGGTGCTCTCTGCACGTACGGCTCGAGCCTGAGAACAACATACCACTCAGGTGAGCACAGCTCTACTGGCGATTGCAACAGACCAACCACCGCAGTGTCCGTACCGCACACGCGAGCCACTCGGATGCTGACGTCTTGGTTGTGCACCTCCGTCACGAACACCAGTGACGTCTCCACCATCTTGCACATTTCACGGGCACAGCGAATAGCTGCTAGCCTCGTGTGCGTGTTGTAGTAAAGCACTGCCAAGGCAACAACAAAACTTGTCAGCGTTGCACGTCATAAACCACGTCATAAACCCGAGCTCTCAATCACCCGCCCACCTTGGAATGCGTATTGGGCCAGCCCCGACCCGAAATCTCCGTAGCTCTTGGAGATGGATTCGCGAATCAGCGCCGCGATGTCCTCCTTCTTGACCGCCAGCTTGCGAGCGCCCGTGGCCTCCACCACCAGGTAGCGCGTTTTGAGCCGCACCATGCTTGTTGCAGCGCCAACGGAATCCCAACTGTGAATTTCAAGTTTGACAGTACCGGCCAGCCAATCCGCGGCCGCGAAAGAGTGGATGGACGCAGTTGACATCATGAGCAGCGCAGGAGACGTCGCGGTGCCCGGCCAGCGCCTTGCGGCGGCGGACGGCAAGCTCAAGGCCGGCAGCGGCGCCTACGTCCGTGACGGGGCCATCTACGCGTCGATCTGCGGCAAGTGGCGCATCTCGCAGGACGTCGTGGAAGTCTCGCGCGCCGGCAAGACGGTGGCGTCGGCGCAGGTGCTGAGACTCGGCGACGTTGTCATCTGCCGCGTGGCCAAGATCATGTCGCGGCAGGTGATGGTGGACATCCTGTGCGTGGGTGAGACCGTGCTGAAGGAGGCCTTCCCGGGCACCATCAGGCTGGAGGACGTGCGGAACCACGACATCGACAAGCTCGTGATGGAGGAGGTCTTCTCGCCTGGCATGCTCGTCAAGGCGGCCGTGCTGTCATTCGGCGACACTCGCTCCTACTTCCTGTCCACAGCGAAGCCCGGCTTGGGGGTCGTGCGTCCACCAACAAAGCAGGACAGCCAGACGACCGACATGGAAACCGACTAGAATTCGCAGGAATGTATACAAAAACAACAGCTAGACCGGTGGAGCCACAACCTGCTACGCAAGGAATAAAGGTGTTTTCCATTACGGTCATTGCTGACAGCGTGGTGTGTTCCGTTCTCTGATGACTGCTTGGGCAAGGACGTTTAATCGTCGTCTTCGTCAGAACCCTCCTCTTCAATGATCTCAAAACGCGTGAAAGGCTTGTCGGACTGATCCGCATGGTGTTCATGAGTGGCCTGGTTGTTCTTGTGCTCGCTTGGCTTGCTTCCACCAGCACCACTGTCGTCTTCATCGTCGTCGTCGTCTTCGATGATCTCAAAGCGCTTGAACGGCTTTTCTTCTACTTCGTCTTGAGGGTCGTCCTTCACGGGTGAGACTGCCTGGTTTCCTGACAAGGCACCATTGACCTCCTCGTGTTTTTCCTTTGCGGCTTTTAACAACTTTGTCACCTCTCGGTTATTGGGCTCCAGTCTCAGTGCCTCCTCGAAGTCTTGCATGGACTCAGCGTACTTGCCCCTCCGGTAGCGAGTCATTCCTCGACGACTCCACCCCTTCATGTATCCCGGATCGAGTAGAATGGCGCGCGTGCAATCATCTTCCGCAGCCGCGAAGTTCTTCAGGCGGAGATGAACCAATGCACGATTGGCGTAAAGGATCGCGTCGGTATCGTCGTATGCCATACTGCGAGTATAGTGCAGCAGCGCGATCTCCAGCTCGTTCGCCTTGAAGCAGTCGTTCCCTTTTTGCTTTTCGTAGCCCGCGTACAACTTTCGTGTTTCCGGCTCAAGTTTCTCGAGTTCCACCGACTTGGGAAGCGACTCCAGCTCTCGCTTTCGTGCCGCCGCTCGCTTCTCCAGCTCTTCTCGCTGTTTTTTCGCCTGCTCGCCCGCCCGCTCACTCTCTTCGTCGATTTCCTCCAGAGCCTTGTCAACGTCGTACTTCTCCCAAGACCTGAAATCGTACGCTGGGATCGCCTTGGATTTCTTCTCTTCGCTCTTGTCTACGTTCACAGGGGCTCGCGCCAGACTTGACTTCGTGTCCTCAGATGACTTCTGTCCTCGAACAGGCGGTAGCTCTCGCTGGATCGGCGTTTGTTTCTTGAGTGCCTCGTTCTTGAGGTCCATCGCCGCTGCCCAGTTCGCGAGCTCGTCGATCTCAGTGGTCAGCTCGTTGGCGCTCGGCCCCGAGCGCATCCGCACGATCTTGGTGCGCTCTCGCTCGGGCAGCACCGCCAGAATGCGGTTTTCCGTGGCCTTCTCCAGGTCAGGGTAGCGCCATTCCTTGCCCGACCGGAGCGTCGCCAGGATCCCTTTGAGCTCGTCCAGGTCGGTGCAGCGCTCGACGAAGCCGTAGTCCAGCATCTCCACGTCGATGGTCTTGGGCTTGCGCGTGTGCAGCGAGAAGAAGTCCGGCTCGGGCGCCGCGCCGGGGCTGGAGATCGTCATGCTCGCCGTCGTCTTGCAAAATCCGGAGTGCGGATCCTTTTCCTTCCAGAAGGTCGTGGCGCTTCAGCGTGCAGAGTGATGGTCACTAGGTTGAAGTTTATTTTTAGCCGCGCCGGCAGCTCCGCCTTCCGCGCACTGCAGCGGCCGGAAACTGCAGGAATATGGACACGGCGGAGGCTCGTGCCGGCCCCGCAACAGGAAGCAGCATAGCGCCACCAGCTCCGACCCCCGCTGGAGCTCCCGCTGCTCGCTTGGAGCACGGACGCGCGTCCAGACACGAAGACAGCGGGCTGCTATCGGACGAAGACGTGCGGGCTCAAACATAATTGGACTAGAGGGAGGGTTGTGACTGACTCTGGCTTGGTGTTCGGCTGCTCTGCTTAGTTCTACGACGCGCACGAAGACGTAGAGGCGGAGGCCCATCGACAAGCGTCTGCGGGTGCGTACAGAAGGCGCCGCGGCACTAAGATCTGTCAAAATACTAACCGCTTTCTTGGTCTACAGCTGCAAACGCGGCGACGAATCAGCAATCCGGGGGCCCTGAGCTGGAGACCAAGCTGAGCGACCCAGATGACAGCAAGTACATTGTCAAGAACAAGGACACGGGCGAAGTGTTCGACATCCGCGACTTGGCCAGCATGCCAGCGGACTCGTACTCCATCTTCCCAAACAACTTCGTCGCTCCCCAAGAAGAAGAGGTACGTGGAATATGAACTCGGGTGTGCAGCACACAGGGGAGTGATTGATCAGGTGAACTTGGTCCAGGCCAAACGAACCAAAACTAGGCGACCGTCGCTGACCAAGATCATGTCCAAATTCCCGATCAAGTCCAAGGCGAAAGAACCAGTGAAAAGGAACCATGTTCCGGTACCGCTTCATGCACCAATTGCGCTGAGAAGATCATGTTCACTATGTTCTAACTTCATTCATCCTATCTAGGTGACGTCTTGCAAAAAGGAAAAGCGAGACCTCGACGATTTATGCCTGGCGCAGACATTATCGAAGCACACTGGCACGATCTGGACAATGAAGTTTAGCCACGATGGCGCTCGGCTCGTGTCAGGAGGTCAAGATGCCATCCTACGCGTTTGGAAGGTTCAAATTAGCTCCGAAGAAGATGCAAAGGTTGCAAGAGAGAGCGATGAAAAGCAGATTCTTGATGCTGAGCCCGAGAGATCGTACCAGGTGAGGCTGCGTATTGAGCCACTAAAATTACTGGAGTTGGTATCCACACAAAACTGACCGTATCGCTGTCTTAGGGGCACACAATGCCGATCGTCGATGTGTCGTGGAGTCGCAGCAACTTCATTCTGTCGGCATCAATGGACAAGGTCAGATTTTAGCCATGGTTCGCTCCCATGGTAGTGCTTTGCCTGGTCCTGACTTATGCTGTTGCCGTTCCAGACGGTGAGGCTGTGGCATATCTCGCGCGAAGACTGTCTGCATGTATTTCATCATCCTGACAGTGTGCCAGCGGTGGATTTTCACCCAAAGGTTTGTTGAGTGCGATCTCTTATCGAGGTCTACGAACATTATCTGATATTGGTGCTTTCACAAAATAGGAGGACCGATACTTTTTATCCGGGTGCTTCGACAATAAAGCACGCGTGTGGGATATTCCAGACGGTTGCGTGGTTTCCTACGTCCAGACACCAGTGATGATCACAGCTGCTAGCTTTAACCCTAGCGGCACCCGTGCCATTGTTGGCTTACTGAACGGCCAATGCATTTTTTACCAAGTCAACTCGCACCAGCAGATGAATTACTACACGCAGATTGAGTGCCGAAACAGTCGGGGGTCGATGAGAAAGGGGCGCAAGGTCACCGGTATCGAGTTTGATCCGGAGGGCAAGTATTTCTTGGTCAGCACAAACGACTCGCGCATGCGGCTTTTCTCAGTCGACAACTATTCCCGAATATGCAAGTATAAGGGCCTCGTAAATGGCCACCTTCAAATCAAGGGGAGATTCAGGTACGACGAATACTTTATGATGTTCGCTCATTCATAACCTGACATCGTTGCACTTCTAGCCAAGACGGAGACTTCGTAATTTGTGGGTCCGAGAACGGCTCGGTTTACGTTTGGAACAAAGCAAGGTTTGTTATCCTGTCGCAGGAAATGTAGTTAGTTGTCTTTCTCAGGACTTTGTGCGTGCCGCAGATACCTCAGGTCTATGAGCATCGTGAAAAGCAGCAAGCAGGATCGCAATTCCTCCTACGAATTCTTTACAGGTATCCATGTTCGAATGAGTCAATACTGCCAACTGCGAGTTTCTCCGTCATTTAACATTGCTTTGTGCTCTAGCTGCTGAACCCCCGAACGGCATTGTCACTGTTGCTTTGTTTGCCCCTGCCAGCACTTTCGCTATGGTCAAGTCGAAGCTGGAGGCAAGCGACGACGTGAATACGAATGCGTGCACAGGGTTGATTGTGAGCGCGAGTTACGATGGGTGCATCAAGTTTTTCGAGCGGTCCGTGAAGAGCGTGTAGGTGGGGAAGCAGGCGCAACAATAAAAAAAATAGAATTCATTCAGCTGAATGTGGCGATAAAACTATAACAATATTCCCACACGGCTAAACCATAGTTCTCGCAAGTAAAAGTAAAATATCCATAGGCCCGTATCCTGTATAACGGTGGCGATCAACCTGAGAGGTTCAATTAAAGAGCGTGCAATACTCGGCTGTTCTGCTGTCAATGTATTTTTTGCATATGTAGTAGGGAATTCTCCGCAACAGTGCTCTATTCGATGCCGTCTATCGATTTCGTCTAGGGCACGAAAGGCTGCTACTTACAAACTAAATGGTACCGTCAACTAACAACCCAGCAAAACTGCAACTTCGACAACTTGAAGGAGTCTAGGATTGGTGCTGCTGGCCGACCGCGACGATCAGATCACGCACAAACGCTTTGATGTCGTTTTGCGTGGCCTGAATTGTCTCGATCACTTCCTCGTGGCAAGCGGCAGGGGTTTGTTCCCCCGGAAAGACAGCCTTGTTGGTAATGACAGAGAGGCCGATCGTCTTGAGACCGCAGTGGGCAGCCACAATAGCTTCTGGGGCCGTGCTCATGCCGACAGCATCACAGCCGACGAGTCGCAGGAAGCGGGCCTCCGTCGGAGTTTCGTACGTAGGCCCGGAAACGAAGCAGTATACGCCACGTCGGACCTTGTGCGCGAGACCAGGGCTAAGCAAAATACAATATAATATTGATTGGACTCTCCAACGTTCCCCAATTAGTAATTGGTTTTTCCCCCCACAACTCAAGTGTAGAGTTAAAAAAAGAGTTGAGCATAAAGGCGAGAAGAACAAAAGTGTTTAGCTCATGTGGATAGTTTACTTCGGTTACCCATCACCGTACAGCATATCCTACACTTACCAAAGCATGCCTTAGATACCATGCACCTGTAATTCAGATACAAACCTCAAGGGTTCGAAATTTTTGTTTTTAGTATATCGCATTCTATTACAATTGAGCTCGATTTCTGTAAGATTTTCACAGCAAAAGTAAGTTGCAATGGCTTCTTACTATTATATACTTATTAGTGTTTTTAAACTCCTCTTGCACACCATTTGCCGTCGAAGTCATGGGGAAGTGATCATACCAAGCACACGTTGTATAGATTTCAGCGCCAGACTTCCTATTTTTTATTGCACGAAATTGGTGACGGGGTATCAGTAAGTTATTCCCATAAGTTACTGCGAGTTATTGTTACGGATATTGGAATTTACCGAGCCCTGCGCGAGACCGAGTTTCTCGGCAACGCCGAGGGCCAAATTCTGCAACTTCTCGTCGTAGCAGTTCGTCAGCGAGATGAAGCGACCGCCAAAACGCGTGTCGTTCGCGGTACTTGATGCCCAGGAGATACATGTTTTGGATGGTGCACTTGTTGGTCCGTACGGCCTGGAGCCACCACTAGTAGGAAAAAGGAAAAAGATTGAATGGCTGAGCCTCCCAGCTCTTACCACTACTCTCGGGCTTGAGCCCGTTTCTCATGCAACGACCCGCAGCTCTCAGCTCTGCTAATTTTCTCAGGTACCTAGTCTCAGCTTTCGCCCGGGTCTCAACTCTGACCTTCAACTTGGTCTTCAATGTGCATTCCAACACGCCTCCCTCGAAGCATGAGCTTCGACTAATCCGCATCACCAATGCCGGCCAGCCCCAGCATGTTCTGCAGACGCAGCTTGTCGAGCGGCTTCGTGAAAGTGTCAGCGGGGTTCACCTCACCTCTTATCTTGTGCAGTTCAATCACGCCTCGTTCAACTTGCTCGCGCACAAAGTGCCAGCGCAACTCAATGTGCCGGGTGCGACGGCTGTACGTAGGATTCGTAGCCATGATGTGCGCGGCTTGGTTGTCGATACCAATGCGCAGCTTCAGACACTTGTGTGGCAGTATTTCCTGCAGAATGTTGCTTTCTGCAACTGCCTCCATTGTCGCTTCACAGGCGGCCACGTACTCTGCCTCAGCCGTAGATAGAGCGACGATGGGTTGGCGTCTCGACATCCAGGATACCGCCCCACCAGCCAGCGTGAACACGAAACCTGTCGTGCTTTTGCGGGTCTCCGGGTCGTTGGCCCAGTCACTATCGCAGTAGCCCTCAAGCACCACAGTCTTCGACTCGCTCGACTATCGGTCATACGTAATTCCATAGTTCACGGTACCTGCGAGGTACCGTAGGACTCGTTTCAGAGCCCCAACATGCTTGCTGGATGGCTTTGCTACAAAGCGACTCAGCTGGCTCAGTGCGAACGCCAAATCAGGTCGGGTACTAGTGGTCAGATACATTAACATACCCACTGCCTCTCGATATGGAAAGCTGGTGCCGCTTTCTTCATCATCACCAAGCGGCACGAGGCGAGCATTCACCTCCATCGGGTTCCCAACCGAGTGTGCCTCAGCGTAGCCAAACTTCTCCAAAATTTCTCGAGCGTACTTGCTCTGGTGGATGACGAAGCGGTCAGCGGTTTGCTCTACTTCCACCCCGAGATACTGCGTCAAAAGTGCCTGGTCCTTGAGTCCGTACTCCTTGTCCAGGTCTTCGAACAACTTCTTCTTCTGCTTTTAATCCTTGGTCGCCACCAAGATGTCATCCACATAGACCAAAACCAGCATGATCTCCTCACCTTCAACATGATAATACAGGCAGGGTTCAGTCAAAGACCGTTGGTAGCCACGATCCAGCATCCACCGGTTCAACTCGGTGTTCCATTCACGTCCAGACTGTCTTAACCCATACAATGCCTTCACTACCACGTAGATGTGTCCATCCACTTCACAGGGGAACCCCTCAATCGACCTCACATACTGCCGTATTCCTAGCTTCGCGTTCAGGTATGCTGTACTAATGTCTCCGCCATAGAGCGTCAGATTCAGTGCTCCTGCTAGTCCAACCATCAAACGAAACGAAGATATACGAGCCACAGGCGAGAACGTATCACCGAAATCGATTCCAGGGCGCTGGCAGTTGCCAAGTGCAACCAGCCTCGCCTTAAAGCGAATTACCTAGCCTTGGTGGTCCGTCTTGATATCGTACACGAATCTCGTCTTGATTGGCTTTGCGTCCTTGGGCACGTCCTCGATGGCGATCTCCTCCAGAACATGTTGTGCCCTCATCGCAGCCATCTCCTCCAGCTCTGCCCTTATGAAAAACTCCCGGTACTTGCTACGTCGAGACTCCCTGTGGTTGCGAGGAACGCGTACATCGCTTGCTCGGATCGGACGGCCATTCTAATCCAACACCCGTGACGTGTTCTGCGTCACATTCATCACATAGTCCCGCAAGTAGGCCGGGCGCCGACGCTGATGATACTCGCGCAGCCCAGTGCGCCGAGTTCGCTTTGGCTCCTGCCTCTCAGCACTCTGCACTACACGAATCTCCTCAGAAGGGGTCTCGTCACGTTGACGTTTCCCCATCAATTTTCCACAGACACTCGCAACAGTAGTCGCTTCCTCATCGTCAAGTTCCTCTTCAGCAGCCACTGCATTTCCATCATCAAGTTCCTCCGTGTCGCCTACGTCAGATCCATACTGACCAGCAACCGACTCGCTACCGTCACAAGATGCAGCATCGGACGTTGCAGCAACATCGTGTTTGGGTGGTGAATCCATAGCCAGGTGAGTCTATCACGGATGAGTGCTGCTCTCGTTCCGTGTCATCACTCGGACGATCATCCTGACTCCCAGTCAAAAGCTCACTCTGCAATTCATCAAGCTCACACTGCGTTTCTGTCTGCGTACGTCGTATTTCTGCAGGCTCACTGGGTAGTGCTGCCGTCACTCCACCAACATCCGCCACACTGCTAGCTGGTGTCGCTCGAGACGCCTCCCTGGTATCTGTGCGTGAGCGGCCACTGCCACTCGGAAGTGCACTCAAATCTCCACTTGCCTCTGCGCTTGGAGCTGCACTTGCGCTTGGAGCTGCACTCGGAGCGCCACACATCTCGCCTCTCTCGAGATCCACGGTCGGTCCGGCCATGGTCTCGTGTACCGATGGCGCGGTGGCAGTATTGCCTTCTGCTTCCAACTCCATAGTAGACTCATAGAGTGTCGAGACAGCGTCGTCGTCCTCGACGATCTTACCAGATTGTACAAAGTGCAAAGACTCCAAGTCATCTTCCTCCACAGTTACTTCATGTCTGTCGCGGTACATCACATCCTCTGCAACACGGAGGTCCGACACAAATTTTGCTGTGCGATTGTCCGGGAAATACACCTTACAGCCTATCACGTCCTCAGCGTAGCCGAGTACGAAACCCAAACTGGCATTGTCATGGTGCTTCTTCCTTCCTGGTGTGACCGGTACGTGAACGTATGCGAGCGCCCCAAACTTGCGTACGTGATGCAAGTCAGGCTTCACACCAAACAGCATCTCATACGGGACCCCACCTGTGCCTTTGTTGTAGATGCGGTTCTTGATATACACCGCGTTCCGTAGAGCCTCAGGCCACAGACTCTTAGGAAATCCAGCATCGTGCATCGACGCCTTCATCATCTCCACGAGAGACTGATGAGTCCGCTCGCATAAGTTCAACTGCGAACGCTTCGGGCCAACCAGAACATGCTCGATACCATGAGCCTTATACCACAACTCCATCTCCGTGTTAACAAATTCTCCACCCTTGTCTGTCAGGATTTGGCAAACTTTGTATTTGACGTGGAGCGTTCTCGTCAAAACTTGACGAACCTTGTGTCGACCAGCTTGTCTTTCTGCCCACAACACATATTTCTTGATGTGTCGGTTTACCACTTCGCTAGACTTACTCGTAAGCAGGTGCAGCGTCACGAATCTGGAGAATCCGTCCATGATGACGAGCACAGCTTCGAAGCGAGTACCGTTGTCCTTGCTCGGGATCAGCAGGTCCGCGTAGACCACTTGGTTTGGCGTTTTCGGGTTCCGCTCGAGCTTCTTTAGGTGCGGCTTCTTGTTTTGCTTGCCAATGTGGCATGCGTCACAGGCACCAAGGTCGCGCTGCTTCATCAGCATGCCACGTACGAGCCCTTTGTCGACCATCACCTTCAGATACTGGGGGCAAGTGTGACCCAGCCGCTCATGCCACAGCCTGAGCGATGCCACACCGTCCGCAGCCGTGAAGTTGTTCAGAAGCTGGTCCTGCAGTCCGACGATATCACCATTAGACGGGTGGGTAACCTGGAATCCCCACGTTGCCTCATGTGGACTTGCCACAATCACTGTCCTCCCTTCATCTTGCACTCGAAAGTCCTGTGACTGACGATCATAATCAAAATCAAAGCCCTGCTCAGCAGCTAGTCCAATGGAAAACAATCCGTGCGTAGCACCAGGCCCGTAAAACACATCGTTCAGAGTCACTGTAGCTTGTTCTCCATCAACCGTAGTAATCAGCGCTACCGTGCCTACTCCAGCAATTCGCGATGCCAAAGCAGCAGTCACGCCTTGAATATGCTGGGACTGACTCGGATCCGGAGTAAAGGCAACATAGTACCAGGGGTTCCCTGTCACGTGCATGTTCGCGGCGGTGTCGAAGTACCACCAGCCACTACTGGTGTTTGCTTCGCCTTCGTCATGGTCTTGGCCGTCATACCACCAGCCAACATGCGCGTGAGAGTCATTCCCTTCCTGTACTTCCTCATCCTCCGATGTCGCTAGTCTCTCAGCATCACCAGAATCAGCTGACAAACTGCATCAATTATCAGAGCGTCCAGCCGACTCGCCGACTCGCCAAGCTCAGCGTTCTCGCTGGACGAATCTGCGTCACGGCTCGCATCGTGCCGAGTCGTCATGTTCGCACGTGGTTTCCGCTTCTGCTCATTAGCATTAGCTCCGCCCCCGTGGTTGCCCTCCACTCGATCAGGACACTCAGCCCTCAAGTGCTCGGTGCTCCCACAAATGAAGCACTACTTGGGTCTTTTCTTCTTTGAGTCCTTAAATTTGCCACCCGGTTGTTGGTCCTCACCATTTCCAGTTTTCACCTTACTGCCAGCCCCGCTAGTCGCACCAATCTTCTGGTTACCGCGTTGTCCAGTCCCGCTCTTGGCCTGGTATGCCTTCTGACGAGAGTCCGCAACACGAATCAGCTCGCGAGTCCGCTCTGGCGTGATGAAGTTATCTGCGCTGTTGTAGCGCACTCCACTCTTCAGACTCTCAAATTCGTACTGGTGCGGCAAGCTGTTCAGCATCAGCTCAACCATGGCGACATCATCAAACTGGTAGTTCAACGAAAGCAACTCCGTCCGCAAATTAAACATCTTGCTTAAATGCTTGTTAACATCTCCACCCGGTGACAGCTTAATCATCTCCAGCTCATGCCGGATGCTCTCTGCGCGATGAGCCATGGTCGTCTTGTTTGCCCGGCTCTCGTAGATCACGCAAAGCGCCTTCCACATGTCCGTCCCGGTGGTCTTGTCGCGCACTTGGTGAAAGATGTCCGCTGGTAGCGACATCCCGATGATCTGCATGATCGTCAACTGCTTGTCATCGAAGTCGTCCTCTGCCTCCGCCGAGGTCAGCGACGATCTCGTGATACTGCCCTCCACAATCTCCACGAGCTTCTTCTTCCTGAAGACAATCATCATCGCCCATTTGTACTGCTGCCAGTCTTTTCCGTTCCAGTTCTTTGGAACTCCTTCGCTAGTGTACTTCAGCGGTTCCGCCATCTTGGATTACCCGCGTGCAGCCGGAAGTCCGTAGGTGCTTGGGCTCAGTACCCTTTTGGATGGTGCACTTGTTGGTCCGTACGGCCTGGAGCCACCACTAGTAGGAAAAAGGAAAAAGATTGAATGGCTGGGCCTCCCAGCTCTTACCACTACTCTCGGGCTTGAGCCCGTTTCTCATGCAACGACCCGCAGCTCTCAGCTCTGCTAATTTTCTCAGGTACCTAGTCTCAGCTTTCGCCCGGGTCTCAACTCTGACCTTCAACTTGGTCTTCAATGTGCATTCCAACAACATGGCGCGAATGGGCAGAGTGATCTCCTGTATCAAGTATCCTTCATAGCAATGGACGCGACCGCGCATACACACGACGCGGATGCCGCCCATTTTACCGAATACCAGCTCTCCTGCGTGCCCCTCTACGGTGGAGCGAGGAAATTGAGGGATGTCCACGTACTTCATGTTGGCGAGGCACTTGCTGAGGCCGCCGAGACCGGAACCACATACGACACCGATGAGCGGGCGAGTGGAGACACGCTGCTGGAGGTAGTCGTTGATCACGTCGATGCGCTCCTTGGGAGCGGTGTCTGGGTGAACCGAGGAGGCTGGCGGGGTTTTCGTGTCGTTCATCATGGTGGTGCTGGCAATCGTTGGCGGTAACGCAAGAGTTGAAGACTGAGCATTGTTCACACGAAAAACAAGTGATTGACTGGCATGATTTGTGACCGAAAAGGGTGAGCCAATTTGCGATCAAAGCATTTAAGTACCAGATTTCAAAACCACTTCAACCTGGACTCAAAAGTGCAACTACGCCGTTTATTTGCACCCAGCCCGCAGCTAGCAAACCTATAACTTAGCACAAGTCCTCGCTCACGAGTGGTGTTGCTTCCCCACGGCTGCGATCAGGTCCCGCACGAACGTCTCGATGTCGTGCTGCGTGGCCTGGACCGTTTCCAGCACCTCGTTGTGCGACGCCGGCTCGCGCTCTTCGCCTGGGAACAGCGCCTTGTTGGTAATCACGGACATGCCGATGACCTTCAGCCCGCAGTGGGCGGCTACGATCACCTCGGGTACGGTGCTCATGCCAACGGTGTCACCGCCCACCAGTCTCAGGAAGCGGCACTCCGTCGGCGTCTCGAACGTCGGCCCGGAGACGAAGCAGTACACGCCCTTCCGAACCTTATGCGAGAGCCCGAGTTTCTCGGCCACGCTCAGCGCCAGATCTTGGAGCTTCTTGTCGTAGCAATTCGAGAGCGGCGTGAAGCGAGGCCCGAAGCGGGAGTCGTTCGGCCCGATAAGCGGGTGCTGGCCCGACAGCCCCGGGATGTTCAGGTGGTCGTTCATGATCATCATGTCGCCCACATTGAAGTCCGAGTTCAGGCCGCCCGCGGCGTTCGTCACCAGCAAGTACTTGATGCCGAGGAGGTACATGACGCGAATGGGGAGGGCTGTCTCGCGCATGGCGTAGCCCTCGTAGCAGTGGAAGCGGCCGCGCATACACACGACGCGGATGCCGTCCAAGTCGCCGAACACGAGCTCGCCCGCGTGGCCCTCGACAGTGGAGCGCGGGAACTGCGGGATGTCCTCGTACTTGATGACTTCCTGGTTGGAGAGGCACTTGCTGAGGCCGCCGAGGCCGGATCCGCACACGACACCGATTAGCGGGCGAGTGGAGACGCGCTCCTGGAGGTAGTCGTTGATGACGTCGATCCGCTCCTTGGGAACGGCCTCGTCCGAGATCTGGCCCGTGGAGAGGCGGCGCACGTGGTGCGTGGGGTTCTCGCTGCTAGCAGCGAGCGTGGCGACGGAGCTGACGTTGGGGTTGGCGTGCGGGCTCATGCCGTCTACGCTGTGGCTATGGTGCTGGCGGGTCACGTGCGAAGGCAGCGGCAGCGACAGCGACACCGGGACGGACTCGGGCGCGGCAGGCTTGAGGTCGTTCATCATGGCGGCTGGAAGAAGGAAGGCGACTGGCGTGGCTCCGAGGCGGCGGGTTCAAGAGTGAGCCGCCAACAGCCGCCGGAAACGGCAAGCTGCGCGTCATCGGCTGTAAAACGGAACGCGCATGCATTCAACGCGAAATCCATCTGGTCGCTACTACTACCGCTCGTCCTCTTGTTAAATGACCTCACTTACGACACTTACGCTCGCGGATGTTGGCAGGAATATTGAGAGCAGTGCACAACAACGAGGGTGTTGCCGCGGTGGCAACGCATCTGAGGAGATCTGCATCCTCGATTACTCGCGCACAGGGGGATTGCCGGCCTTGCCGGTGCCGCCGTTGTAGCCCGCCATGTACGCGTTGGCCTCGGCGTGCGTGTCGAAGCGCTGGTGCTGGTTGTGCCACAACTTGTGGGAGTAGCCGTTGGCCTGCGCCTTGGCGGAATCCCAGGGCGTGTACACGCCGGGCTGGCGGCCGCGTAGTACTCCCGGCGGGGCAACTTGCCCCGGGCAAGCCGCTTGGGTGTCTTACTGGCGAGTCCCGTAGTTGACGCCGCTGGCATCGAGCATGTAAGCATGCATTAAGGTGCTTGCTTGCTGCCTGAAGCCGAGGGGCAAGCCTGCATCGCGCAGCGTCGGCTTCAACTACGACAGTTTTGAAACGCCTATCTGGAATCTGGAATCACACAGATCTTTGTATCTGGCTACTCACTATTTTGGGTAACTCGTATTAGTGACATTTCTACTCGACTTTCGAGCGGGGATTCACGGACGAAGAAGAAGAGCTGCGCGCGTGCCGCACTGCCGGATAGAGGTCGAGACGCACGCCGCCGCCACGATGATGAACATCTTCTCGCGCAAGAACAAGCTGGAGGACGAGCTGTTCAACATGAAGTTCACGGCCAAGACGCTGCTGCGCAACGCCAAGAAGTGCGAGAAGAACCAGGTGGCGCAGAAGGCCAAGCTCAAGAAGGCCATCGAGCAGGGCAACATGGAGGGCGCCAAGATCTACGCGCAGAACGTGATCCGCGAGAAGAACCAGGCGCTGAGCTACCTGCAGCTGGCCTCGCGCATGGACGCCGTGGCGGCGCGCGTGCAGACGGCCATCAGCATGGGGCAGCTCAAGGCCAACATGAGCGGCGTGGTCAAGGGCATGGACACGGTCATGGAGTCCATGAACGTGGAGAAGATCTCGCAGACCATGGACCAGTTCGAGAAGCACTTCGAGGACATGGACGTGCGCTCCGCCTACATGGAGGGCGCCATGAGCAGCGGCACGTCGCTCTCGACGCCCGCCGACCAGGTGGACGACCTCATTCAGATGGTCGCGGACGAGAACGGCCTCAAAATCGCCGGCCAGTTGGACTCGGCCGGGCTCGTGGGCACGGAGCTGCCCACGACGGAGGCCGCACGAGAGAAGAAGTCGCAGGACGACCTGACCATGCGGCTCGCGGCGCTGAGGAAGTGAGCGTCAGAACACACGATACACTTTTCACTTCTCTTGCCGTCTTCAACTAACGGAGAGAACGCCTCGAAGCTCCGTGGTTTGCAGGCAGGCGCCTTACCTACTATTGCATGTATGTACTACGTTTTGAAGCCACGACAAAGCTGTACACGTTCCTTGGTTTCGGTTGTATTGATATTGTATGCTAGCATCGGTGCCTACCGCGCTCAGCGCTCAATGACGATGGCAACCACGCTGAGCCCCAGCACGGTGAACAGCACGGCCAAGATCTTGAGCGTGAAGATCCGAAAGTCCAGCTGCTCCACCTCGTCGCCGCCGTCCTTCTCCACGTCGCCTACGCCGTGGTCATAGTGCAGCGGGATGAAGTCCACGCGACGGAAGCCCTGCGTGTTGCGCAGGTGCTCGTTCTCCAGCCGGAAGAAGCTCCAGAATGTCCGGCGGAACAGCTCCAGGACCATCGTAAAGGGCTGCAGGTAGAGCGGCAGCCAGCGAGCTGCTCCACGCGGCGGAATGAGTGTCAGAGTCCACGCGAATCGCAGGAACAAGTCGCCAATGATGGCGGCATAGTAGACCCACTTGTGCGAGAACATTTGCGAGTCGCCCAGGAACTTGTATTGAGGCCGGCCAAGCCCCCAGTCCATCGTAACATCCCACACCCACGTGTACAACGAACTCGCGGTGAACAGGAACAGCCACGCGACCACGAACATGCGCATGTGCATGGCGTTCTCCTCGCTGTCATCGCTGTGAAGCGGGTGGAACAGTCCGAAGAGAACGACCACCTGCGTCAGAGCGTACTTGGCAGCGTTCGGCAGGTGTGGCCACCACGTCTTCGTGTCGTACACGCGGCGCAGGTTCTGCAGGAAGCGCCACCATAGCGGGAGCGCGCACACCAGCGGCACCACCACGTTCACATAGTACACGTTGTTGGCACAGGTCGGCTCATCCGGGTCGATATCCGTGGGCAACAAATGCGAGTCCGGGACGTCACCACCCGACGGAACGATATCCTTGCGCAGAAACTCCTTCGTGGCGAAGAAGCACACGGACCAGGTGACGTCCTGCGTCACCTTCACCGTGCTGGTGAGGTAGTCGCCCACGAAAGTGTGAAAGAACGACACTTGATACAGCGGCGACCAAACAACCTCCCACACCGTTCGCAGCATGCCAAGCTGCTGCCCCCATGGGCGGATCGCGTAGAAGTAGAAGGTGTACAGGAACAGCGCCAGCGGGTAGTAGCCGCGGTGGAGCAGCTCCTCCGGGAAGTAGCCGTTCACGACCTTGTAGTAGAGAAGCACGTTCGCCAGAAACACGATGGTCATGTTGGTGGCGTCCCCGAAGACCTGCGGATACGACTGGGCACGGCGCGGGTCCAGCTCGAAGATGTACCTGTAGTTGATCCGAGCTGCGCGCCAAACGTAGAGCGACACGCCCACCAGCCAGTGCAGAAGCAGCAGGCAGCCAATGCCACGGTAAACCGGGTAGGCACGAGTGCGCACCAGGTCAATGAGATGGTTCTCGCGGCCGCTGTGGAAGGTAGGGACCACCAGCGAGTCCCAACACACCCAGATCAGCAGGATGAGACACGACCCAGCCTTGATGCCGAGGTAGATGTGGCCCCAGTTGACGAAGTCCTCCTTCTTGGTCATGAGCGTCGCCACTGCCACCGTCTTGTTGCCATCGCAGAACCAGTCGGCAAATGATCGCTCGACCTGGTTCAACAGGTCGAAAGACTTTTGCGCCTTCGCAAACTCGAACGTCTGCAGTTTGGCTTTCTGCTGCTCGCGCTGTTCCGCCGGGAAGCTGGCGATCTTCTCGTAGCGCTTGAGAATCTTGACGAAGCCCGTGTAGTTCAGCAGCGCGAAGTTATGCAGCAGGTTGAGCAGTCGATGCAGCTCGACCAGCGAGTTCTTGAGCGACTCCTGCGCCGTCGCGGGCGCGTCCTCTCGGTGCTGCGCCTGCAAATGCTGTAGCTGCTCGGCGAGCTGCGCGGCGTGGCGCGCGTAGGCGTGCTCCACCTTGCTGTACTCGTGCTCGAGCGCCTCCTCGAAGGCGACGGGGGACGCGAGCAGCGTCTGCAGCTGGTCAGACTCGGAGGACGTCGGCGGCGTGCCTGCCAGTCGCAGGAACGGGAGCTTGCTGCTGATCTTGTGGGCCAGCTGCGCGCTGCTGCCCGTGGCCATGGGGCGCCACTTGTGGTCGCTCAGCGCGTCCTCGACGTCAGTCGGCGCGCGCACCTCGAGCGCCGTGCTGGCAGCTGCAGCGCCGGCCAGCGCCTCGTCGATCTGCCGCTGCCGCTCCAGCAGCCGCTTGAGCCCGTCGTAGTCGAGGTAGTCGCCGCGCCACTCGGCCACGGCGTTGTCGCGCAGCCGCAGCCCGAAGTGCACCATGGTCAGAGGATCCGCTACTGGCGTGGACCGGCCTAGAGCCTCTTACGTTGCCTGCAGCCTGGCCAGCGCTCGCACCCGATCTGATTAGCCTGTAGCTGGCGCCGCTGAAGTTGACGTGGTCCTGCTGAGGCCAATCCGGTAGTCGCACGGGAGCGCCGTGTCCGATGATTTTTAGCCAGCTGCTGGCCCGCTTTTAGATGTTTTTTGGGCTGCGAGAGCCACTTGGTTCCACACCGGATTAAGCCATTTTAGCGGCGGTAAGACGCATTTTAGCGGCGGCATAACGCCTAACTGCCGGTCACTCGGATCGCAAGAAAAAAAACCAACCAGCAAGCTAGAAGAAATTGAGTACATGAAGAGGAGGCATTAATTAGAGTTTAATGCGCGGGTCAAGATGAGAAAGCCCCGCACGGCAGCGCGGGACCCCCGTCTAGCGCTCGCACGCGCTTAAAACTTGACCTCCTTGAGGCCCCACTTGATGTAGCAGAAGGTGGGGGCGACGGCGCCCTCCGGGTAGTAGGCGTAGGCGAGGCCGGCCTCCGAGTCGCACGACTTGAACATGTAGAACTGCAGCTCCTTGAACATGGACACGAGGAACTTGACGATCTCCTGGGCGTCGCTCTTGAACTGGGCGAGGTCCTCGTCGCTGGCGTTCGACGTCTTGAGGTACTTCATGGTCTTGCGGAAGTACGACTTGAGGTACGTCTTGAGCTCGGCCTTGGTGTCGAAGCCCGTCTCGATGTAGCCGAAGCCGACCGAGTCGTCGATCACGCTGTTGACCGTCTCGACCGAGTCGTCGAGCTGCTCCTCCTCGCCGCCGAAGGCGTCACCGCAGCCGATGTCGACGTTGTCGGCGCCCTTGGCAACCGTCTTGGACTCGACCTGGAACATGCCCGAGACGACGTTGCCCTCGAGGTCCTTGCACGGACCGACCTTGTTCGAGTCCGACATCACCTCGTCCTCCGTGAACACATCCTGCCACACCAACATCTTGATCGACTGCTTGTTTGTCTCGAGACCGAAAAGCTACTGCCCCTCTCGGCTCGCATTGGTGAGCGGCCGCGAACAAGAGCCACCAGTTCCGAGGTAGGAAAGAGGTCTCTCTTTCTATTCGGACGGAATAATAGAGGCTGCTGAGCCAATCGCAGAAAATAGTCAAAGAGCTACACCGCGCGTCTGTACTCCGCAAGGACAAGGGAACTGGATTTCTGCCAATCGGAGACCGTAGCAGCCGCCGTGGTACAGATGCGAACCTCCCGCCACGCGGACCTGAGCAACAACAGCGCAAATAGGCAGCATGAATCTATGCATGTCGAAATGGATAGGAAGGCGTGAACCTGTTGGTCTCGCGTCTGCGGGCTGTAGGTACATTTAAAACTTGCCGTCCTCCATCGTTAGGTACGCAGTCGATGTACCCATAAGTCGGTACATTGGTGTGCGCCACGCCACTCGTTCGTCAACAGCGGGTCCGCTGTCCGCCGCGGCACTTCCGATTTTGCTTACTAGCCGCGACGTGACGAGAGTGACGGCGTGTCCGGGGGGAACCTTCTAAACGAGGAAGGCGTGAAGTATCACAGAGAGCGGGTGAAACACTTGGTTAAACTATACGGCACTCTAATCGAACGACCACGGTACCAGCACCCCGGGGTCAAGGACTCATGGGAGGGCACGGCAAGCCGCCGGACGACGGCAGGGTAGCGCGTGAAGAAGAGGATAACGAGGTGATCGACATGACTTCGCCAACACCCACTGACACGTCCCAGGCACCGGGGCCCGATGTGGAGATGGACGAGGTTGCTCCAGCAACAGACCAAGAAGCCAGGGCCGCAGAGGAGGCCAACGCTGTCCACGAGGAGGAAATGGCCGAGAAGCTCACGTTAGCAGAGATGTACACGTATCTACGCAGTGAGCTTACCGGACTCGATCTCACCAGGGTCAAAGACGTAGTCAGCGCAGTCGAGTATGCCGAAGCGATGTTCGCAGAGGTGTTCAACGCACGACCTAAGGAACCGCTCCCTGCTGACCGCAATCACTACCCGGAACTCACCGATGAAGAAGGAGAGCGAATGCTTCAGTTCCTGCAGGCTCATCTCAGCAGTGGGCGATCGAACGAGCGCCAATGGCGGGCAGCCATGCACGATCTAGCTCGGTCGATCTACAAAGCGCATACACGTCCACTTACGAAGACAATTGACCACCGTATCGCTGAACTCAAGTCAAGGCAGGACCAATGAGCGACCCATGGTCCCAAAAGCTACTCTCGAAAAATGAGGCTACGGATAATGATGTCGAATGACGGGATCTTCCACGTCGGCGTTTCGATTTCTGCGGAAAATCTATTCTCCGCAGGAAATAGATGAACTTCGGGATTTGTGTGAAGCCCCATTCGGATTTCCTGCACTACTGCGCAAGCCAACGGAGCCAGAACAGAAAGTGATCCGAGGTCTCCTCGAAGGATCTATTCTCTGTGAACATCTGCCGGAGTTTCTGAAACGCATCTGCAATAATGCGTCCCTACGAGTCATCCAAAATACGATCAAGGCCCAAGTGGAGGGAGACCTGGTCCTTCTTCTCCAACCCGACTTTGCAGTATATCCCGATTTTCAGACCCGTGAACGGCTGATAGGCATGATCCTATTGGGGGTGGGAAGAGGAGGCTATGACAGGACGCAGGTGGTCGCTATGCTACGAGAAACCAAGCAGGTCTGCTACGATGAAGGACGACACGCTGTCCATCTCATCTTCTGGACGAGGGAACTCGCCACTAAGTGGAGCGCCGTTTTTCACTCCCTCCCCTTTCGGAGTCGACGCATCCCTTTGCAGAACGAACATCCCGCGGTGCTCACTGATAACGTGGACTTGAAGACCAGAGCGGCTTTGGTATGGGCCCGCCAAGTTGGAGCGGATGGCATCCGCGACAAGCAGCCGCGGGAGTGCTATCACGTTCGATTACTCAATGTGTCCCGCTTTCTGGACGAATCAGCACTCGATGCCTTCATCCAGGGACAGTTCCATGGGTCCTACACGACGTGGCAAGAACCGTCGTCAAAGGCCCGTAAGCTACAGACGGATGCATGGGACGTGTACTTCAAGAGCACACATTGCCCCGAATTTCTCAACGGAATGCGGTTCATCGGCTGGGCTGGCCACAAAATCCTAGTGCAACATGCAAGCCGTTCTAGGGCACCGCCTTGTTTCAAATGTGGGGCCTCTGGCCACACCCGAAACCAGTGTAACGTGCCCGACGATTCCTGGAAGTAGCACTACTGTGTAACGGTGACCACGGCAGCGATTGCTCAACTTCCCCACCAAGCGAGTACGATAACTAGCATCGCGGAGCTAGAAAAGTACTGGATCGAAGAAAAGGAGGCATCCCCCCCACCCCCAGTAGCAGCTAAAGCCCCGACGCCCACTGTTCGACTGCTCACTAGGATCCCTGAGAAGCCTGCATCGCCGAGTCCACCATCGGCACAACGCACGCCGCCTAAGCCGACCGGACAATGGGTCACTGCTGGCTCCCCGCGCGCTGCTCAGCACCTCCAGGCTCTGGTTGAGCGCGCGTATTCGAATGTAAGGAAGGTCGAAGCAGCGAACGCCCCAGAAGCACCAAGGAAGCCGTCTGCAGAGACCGTCGGACGTTCTATCAGTGAGGAAATACAAGGGAGGCAGCGCCACCGAACGGCTGCAATGGAGAAGCACCAGCGTCTCATTGAGTCGCAAATTGCTGCGAAGCACATTGTGGACGACCAGGGCGACGTAGGCAACGCCACGGCGCTACTGGCGGAGCAGCCCAAGCAGGCCTTGAACTCCGGTGAACGGGTGTTCCAGCACTGTAACTTGGAGCGGGTAGCCACACCGAAAACAGGCAATTGCCAGTACTATGCGGTGGCCATGGCTCTCCTCAACCGAGACTTCGCCGACAAAAGCAGCGTACCTGCGCTGGAAAATCTGACATTGACGCTCAAGAAAGGAATGTGGTCGGCGGTAAGCCACTACTTCGAGCAAGAATTTCCTCACGATATTCGTGAAGCGATACTTTGCTCGTTGGACGAAGGCCTAGCCAACGGCAAAGAGCGCCTAACGGAGGCGCAATCAGCGCAAGGTCTGAAGGACTACTTGCACGCACTATGCTGCACAACATTCAAGCTTGCAGCATACATCGACTATCGTTACTGGGGCACGGAGGTGACGCTGCGGCTGTTGGCAAAAATTCTTCAACGAAAAATCTTTGTGGTCGTTGCGCCTTCGGGATTGGTCGACGCCAACTATCAAATCTTCCAGCCAGCCGAAGCAGCAAAATCGGGCGAGACTCTCATCTGTGAAGGAACGCAACTACGAAGGGAAGAAACCAGAGGGATGGATCCAGCGGCTTCAAGCGGCGCGTCAAGCAACGTACGCAGAGGGCGCAGCTCCAATTGTTCTGCTGTTTACAGCACGGCACTACATGCGACTTTGCTTCAATCAGCCAACCGCTCCAATGACTGCCGCAGGATCGGTAAGTGTAAAGGAAGTTGTGGACCTGACGCTGTCTGCTGGTGCGGACAATTCGGCTAACGACGTGACGATGACTGAAATGGGAGCAGGTAATAGTGAGAAGGACGGACATCACCTGACTGACGCTGAACGCCAGGAGGTCGACGCGATCGAGGAACATGGGGGTAGCCAGAAATCCGAGTTACACGCTTTCCCAGCGGCGGGAATCCATGGACTCTCCCTTGGTAAGGTGAAGGAGCTGCATGACTTAGACTGGGATGACTCGGCAGCGGTAACAACATGGACGGAAACCTATGACATCACTATACAGCAACTGCCGTCGTGACAGGAACGCATACGGCAAGGCGAAGTCAGTATGGATGTAACCCCGTCAGACCCAAGCCCCAGCAATACCAGCGGATCGGTCTGGAGTCAAGACTCGATGTCCACACAGGCGGATGCTGACCCTCACGAAGGAGACACTGGAACGACTCGCACCGGTGTCGGTCGTTTTCACGGATTAGACTCCCAACTTGGAAGCAACTGGCTGCGAAAAAACCACCTACAAGCGGGGTGGAATCGGCTGCAAACTCGATGGGCAAAGGAATCAACGTCACCATTCCCGACAGTTCCTGCAGATACCACAACGTGGATAAACACAGTCTCCGAGGCCCCACGAAGTCTACTGCGGATGCTTCAGAGCTTCGAATCGCCAGAATATATCCTGAGCACAATGACGGATGCGGTGTTAGATACGTGGACCGAACAGAGTCGACTAGAATGTCTACTACACTGTCTCGAAAGTTGGGCAGCAGTACCTGACCAAGATGTCGGTCGCAAAGAATGGCTGCTTGAACGTTGCGCGGACCTACGGGAAACTGCTGCCGGAAGTCCCGAAAAGCTGGACATCTACGCACCGGTGATGTGGAATACACTGAAAGCGGCGAACTTTGGTAATTCTCGGCTACTTGAGCTCTGTCAAAAGAGCGAAACGCAAGTACTCTCGAGAATGATCGTAGCTGCCTTCATATACGAAGTCGAGTTACGGGCGCTGGCAGCAACACCCCCTGGACCTCTCAGCTCAGTTGTAGAACACCTCGGGTTGTTGTTCTCGAACGAGTACCAGCACTGCATGCCGCGCTGTATCGAGCGCAGACGTTCGAGTGTTGGGTCATCATTGAAACAACGCTGGCGCTACGCGCGTCGCAGCCTCGCGATGAGGCTTCAACTTCAGTTCCAGACCCGTGTGTTCATTAACCATGCTAAAGGAAACCGGCAACGTGAGAGCAGAGCCTCTAGAAGCTGACTACTTCAGTGAGCTATACAATGTTTCGACATTGTTTGCATCGGCCCAGCCCCGCAGATTACCAGGAAAACAAGCAAGACAAACAGTATCAATTGCAACTCAAAACTTGATGGGGTTCGCAAAAAAAGCAAGACGACACTGGCTCAACGGCTGGAAAAGGCATCGTGGGCGAACGGAGCCCGACGTCATCATGGTACAAGACGCGCGACTACACACGGCAGAGCAAGTTCGGGCAGTCAAGCAACGCTGGAACCGGACGTGGGCGCGAAAGGCACCGGAGCATCCGCTGAGTTACTGGACCACTACAGAAACGAAATCATCAGGATTGGGAATACTCTGCACCCCGCACGTGAGCAGCAAAGTTCGACCTTGGCAACGAGAAAGCTGGACCAATCGAGTGATGGCTGTGGAGTTCGATGGCTGGCTGCTTGTCAATATCTACGCTCCTATCGACCAAGCGGAACGCCTGGAATTTTTTTTCGGACCTGGACCCTTGGCTACGCCATCATGAGTCCATCAAACTCGGAGGTGACTTTAATTGTGTGCTGAATCCTCAGCAAGACCGGGTAACAGCTCGAAAACCGAGCACTGCTTCTTGCGAAAGTCCGTACCTGCAGGAGATGCTGCAAGGGCTCGAACTAACTGACGCAGTCTCGCTAAAGTACCAGCTTGACGAAGAAGATGTGGATCATGACCCGCTTCACCACTATAGCTTTTGGAGAAAGGATGGGGCTAGCCGCCTAGACCGCTTCTACGTCAAAGGACAGCCCTATACGGCAGTGCAGTGGGTGGAAGCACTACCCCCGGCCCACAATTCGGACCATCATGAAGTTCGGTTGGAACTTTCACTGGGAGACCTTCGACACCAAAGGAGCCATCGCCCGATCCAGTACCCGATCGTCAGCGGCAGACCAGAGCGTGTCCGAGAAGCACTTGGACAGGGACTTCGCAAGTTACTGGATGCATTCGACAACGGAGGTAACCCGTTAGGTCAATGGGACAAGCTGGTGGCAGATATCCAGAATCTTATTCGAGATACAAGTCGACAGGACCGAAAGCAGACACAACGTTACTTCGAAAACCTGCGAGCAGCAACACGAAAACCGACGGCATCGCGAGCAGAGCATCAAAAAGACCTCGATGCGGCAGCACGTCTCCGCGCTGCTCGGTCTTTCGGTGATAGCATACAGCAATCGCCGGAAACAGCGCGAAAATTGTTTAAGCGTAACTCGGAATGGCAGCGAGACCAGCACATATCCAGAATTGATCCCTCTCCAGGTCACTTCTACCCGGATGCCATGCCGAGTGAAGAGCGAATGGCTTCGGAGTGGAATCACGTGTTTGGGGCATCCCACGCTTCAGTTGACTCCAGTTCCCTCGAAGAAGAGTTCACCCGCTTTGTGCAGATTCCGGTGGAAAAGCGGCTCCGGCGAGACGAAGTGGCAGCACTTTTGGCTCCCATCACGGAAGCTGAAACGATAGCCGCGATACAGCAACTACCAAGGCATAAAGCAGGGGGGACTACTGGTCTAAACCACGACTTCTTCAAAGACTTTGCCGACGAGCTCTCACCGAGTATGACGAGACTCTACAATGCCATCTTCAAGGGGTCAGGGGTGCCCGATTCGTTCCTGCGTGCTACGATCATCCCACTCCGAAAGAAAGGGGACTCAGCTGATGCAATGGACTACCGACCAATTGCACAGCTAAACACAGCGTACAAGGTTCTGGGACGCATCTTGGCTGAACGACTTCACGCTATCTTACCCAGAATCATCAGCTCGGCTCAGCAAGGCTTTGTGCGGGGACGCAACATTGACAAAACAGTCACACTCCTACGGGCGATTCTGGCGACCAGCTTTGACGACCCGACGAAACCGTGGGAAGAATCACCGGCAGTGTTATGCCTCGATCTCCGCAAGGCGTACGACACATTGTCACGAGTTGTCCTCCGTAGCTACGGGTTTCCTCCTGAATTCTTGGACGTAATCCTGACGCTACACGAAGGAACTACCGCGCAGTTCCTAGTGAACGGCAATATATCCAAACCATGGCCTGTGAGCTCCGGAATCCGTCAGGGCTGCCCGCTGGCCCTGACGGATTCCGGAGTACTGTGTACATGGCATCTCTAAAGGAACTCGACATTGTGAAACCCATTCTCGAGAAGTTCGGAGAGCTGTCCGGACTACATGTCCAGCCTCAAAAAAGTGTATTGATTGGTCTCAACACAGCGAAGGCGCCGTCGCGATGGCAAGGGTTCCCTGTACAAGAACCAACCGCCACGTCTAGGCAACGGGGTAATGGGTCGGCAACCACGACTCGACGGAGCTCAATTGGGCAATCCGACTTGAAAACATTCAACGCCGACTTCGAATAGCAACTACCATGGGCAATTCCGTCGTCCAGAGGGTGACATTGTTCAATGCAATAGCGCTCCCAGCGATCCTGTACACTGGACGGCAGTATGTCCCCTCCAAAGCCACGCTCCAAGAATTGGCACGGCTGCAAAAAGGCTTCGTTTGGTCAGCCACCACACGAACTGAGCCAGTCAAGCACAAGCTTAACCCTGCTCTAGTCTACACTCCGCAGCAACACGGCGGGCTTGGACTTCAAGACATTGCAAGTGCGTTTGCAGTATCAAGGAGTAACCTCGCTGACAAATGGCTCCATTCTCCGGACGACGTCTACACAGCAGCCTGGCACGCAGCCGTGCACCCCAACAAGAACGCACAAAATTTTGTTGTGCGTTCAGGCCAACATCGCCAGCCATGATTTCGGCTGCGCTCCGTGAACACTTCGGGCAACCGCAGATCTCGGCCCAAGGCCTGGGAAAATTGGAACTATGGGAAGCGCATTCTCGAAACTTATCACCATCCCCTGACGACGTGAAAACTATTGCAGGACCCCAATCCGCGGGTCCCGAGGTAAGCAACTGTTGCTGGATCGGACCAGAGTCAAAAGTCATTCTCGTGACGACATCCGCGGCGCCACGGCAAGATAATCCACCGGTGGACGTGGACTTCTTACTTAACGCACCATGGGACAACAACGCATGTATCCTCGGCGCAAAAGGCAGGCCGCTACGGGCCCGCGACTACCCGACCATCCAGATTGGACGTACGCGAGACATTATCATCCAGCTGCCACCGGTTACCAGACCTAGAAAGGAAGTCCTCATCCAACCTGCGCGAACGGCAACCACCAAGTCCAAGCACGTGCTCGACTGGTGTCTGAGCATCGCTCACAGCATCCCGTGGAACTACTGGACCGTCCAGGATAGACAGCCACGGCTACTCGAACTCCCTGTGCTGACAACGCCACTGGTATGGAATATCACCCCCGGAACAAACACGATCACGGCCACGTACGCGAACAACGGTCTCACTCGCCAAGCGCTGACACTTACAAGGAACCAGGACGGATGGACGTGGCACTTAACGTCTGCAGCTCCTGCGCTTGAAAGCACAGGCGATCTCGCCGAGCTCAGAGCTTGGGAACGCATGAGAGCGCTCGTCGTAAAGTCTGCGCCAGGAACCACCGTCTACCCGTAGGCAGTACCACCAGCTACACCTGGCAGAGCGGCTGCGACGACGGTCCGCAAACAACGCTCACGGTTAATTCGACAAACTCTGCAGCACGCGCTTCAACCAATGCTGGACAAAATGCAGCGAAGAGAAGAACGATCGTCATGGGGAAAAGCAGCACTGACACAGAGCCCAGCTCAGTTGTGGGACACCAATGGCCTCTTTACGGATTACCAAAACTGGATTACGTACCGAATCACTCTCGGTGAGCTGAACCTCTACCGAGAAGGATGGCCCGCCCACCGGGCCTGCCCCGAAGCAACATGCTCGACTCACCGCGAAACGATTGATCATATCATCTGGGAGTGCGAAAAAGCCCAGCTTTCATGGCGGCACTGGGTATCCAAGTGGCTCGGCCGCGAGTGTTCCCAGAACGACATCGCCAGTCTCCAGCCGGCCATAGCCCAGCGACAACCACCAGCAGTGATCCCCGAGCTACTCGCCCACGCCCAGCAGTGCACAGCGACATGGACACCCCACCACAACAAAGCGATGACAACGTTATGGCGGATATGGACGACAGTGACCCCTGTGCTGCTGTGGCGCTTGCGTAACTACGCTGTCTTCAACAACGAACACTCATCTCCACAAGAAACGCGAGCAGCCGTGTGGTCTGCTGGTATTTACCAAGTCCAGGCGATAACAGCAGCCTTGGAAGAAGAAGAGCGCGACCCGCGTTCAGGCATGGTGCCTGGAGACATGCCTCGGCATCATGACGACGAGTGACACCTCCACATGGACGCCACCTCTCGATCACTGGTGTCTTTATTGTGCGATTAGCTCGCAGCAGCAGACACCGCCAGGAGGCGGATGGATCCTGTATCACCAACGCGCCAACGGGACGTGGCACACCCGCAAAGCTGGCAGCATGGGGTTCCCAGCTACAGACTCCAGCCAGGACATGGCCAACCAAGTTCTCACCCAAGGTATCGCGGAGCTCCTCCAAGCAGCAACACCAGAAACAGTCTACGTTCACATCGAAGGCCACGCGAACATACTCCGTCACCAAAACAGACCAACCCAGGCGGCAGACACCGACGAGCTCAGCCAACTTCTCGGGCAGCTCTTCAGTGTGCAGTGGGGCAATCCTTCACTGCAATTGCTACGCCCCGCAAGTATCCTGGCGAAGAACACAACGAACACGACGTATGACTTCGACTGCATGACAGCAGAGGCGGCAGCAACACCGTTGCATGCGTACCTCTTGCGGTCCGCCCGGAAGCATCAGCCCAGCCCCACGAACTCATCCAGACAGCCGACCGGATCTATCCAGTCACAGCTTCTTGCATATCAGGCAACTGTAGGACAAAAATAAGCCTCAAAATAGCCTGCCTTTACCCCCCCCCCCCCCCCCCCCCCCGCTGTCCGCCGCGGTCCTCTTCTTCCGGCTGGGCAGCGCAGCGCAGCCATCGGCTCTGCGGCCCATTACTGCGCGCCGACCAAGAGTCAAGTGAGTGCCATTTGTTGCCGACACTAGACCAGTCGCCCCCATCGATGGCGTGCCTGCTCGCCGCTCTCAGTGGCGAGGGTGGACGCCCAATCACACGGCGCCTCGCCGCGCTGTCAACTTCTACACTAGGGCGCTCCGTTGACACGCCAAGGCGGCAGCGCAGGATTATGGCGTAAGGCAGGTCCGCCCTTCATGGCGCTTCTACCGGCCGCCCCGTTCTCTCCGCATGCCAGATGGCAGGCTTTCCCTTTAGGGCCCGTTCACTAGCGAAATGTGAATGCTGACCTGCCGAATCCGCTACAACCGACAGCTGTGCGATAGCGAATCACCACGCATCTCCACCTATTTTCATCCAATAAAAAGCATTAGATAGTCCTGTGCGCTATGACATCTCCGCAGCCGATACTTGCCTTCTCGGCGGTAGTAGACGCCGAATAGCAGACAACGAGCGAGGGCCGGGCCACCACTTTCCTCGCCCGCCCGCGCGCGTAGCAGCCTTCCGCCTTCGTCTCTCCGCCCACTCGCTGCTGGCCGCAGCCGAACGCCGCCATGTCCAAGGCGCCCAAGGCCAAGAAGGCCGCGCTCCACTACCAGCCGTACCAGGCGCTCGGCGTACGTTGCAGTTCGCTCTCTGGCCTGGGGATTAATCTGATGATGCATGGGCCTCTCACCCACTCGTGTGTATATTCTGCCACGTGTGCTAGCAGGCTGGAGATGTCGATGAGGCGTCCATGGACCTCAACATGTCGGACCTGCCGCTGCACCTCGACCCCGTGCTCTCGTACGTCTAGCTCTCCTCTCTGACAACCATCCTCGGGGTCCTCTATCTAACCGAAGGGTACTGCTGACTATGTCCAGAGGCCTGTCGTCCAGCATGAGCCGCAACCTGTGGGACGACTGGAACGAGAACGACGCCAACTTCGGCATGAAGTTCGACATGTTCGCGGATGAGGTCAGCACGGCCAGCACCGCCAGCTCCACGGCCAGTCCCAACCCGGGCATGCACGTGCCGCACGGGGAAGTGGCCAATAGCGGCTTCGGCCACATGTCGCCCTCGCCCTACGAGCAGCAGCAGAACGCGTCGCCCAACGCGATGCACGCAGGAGTAGGAGGGACCCCCACCCTCGAAGAACAGTACAAGCCGCGCGCGAACGTCCAGCGGTCGCTCAGCGAGGACATCGTCAACATGCTGGACGATAGCAACGAGACCTCGTACCCCAAGCAGATGGAGACAGATCCGCAGCGCCGCGACGTGGCCATGCAGCAGAACATGATGTACAACCCTGCGGCGGGGCAGAGTTTCCAGCAGCAGCAGCAGCAGCAGCAGCAGCAGGAGATGCACTCGAACCACATGCACCAGTTCCAGCAGCAACAAATGCAACTGCAGATTCAGCAGCAACAGCAGCAGCTACAGCAGCAATACCAGCAAGCCCCGCAGCAGCAGCAACCGTTTCAGCAACCTACTGGCCATAATACTTCTAGCTGGATGAGCAGCTTCGGTGGTGGAATTCAGAGCGCCGCGACCACGACCACGACAGCCCCCGCCAAACCCGGTGTCAATCCGACTACTCACCGTCGTCCGTCAAACCCATCGGCATTGGAGATTGCCGTTACCGAAGGAACAGCTTCATTGGTTGCCAAGTGCCCCGCATCACATGCTCCAGCTACGCCAGCGGTGTCCACCCCGCTTGCGCCTTCTTCTACTCCGCAGCAAACTACTGCTTCAAAGGGGAAAGCTGCAGGGGCTCAAGCCGGTGTATCTTCCGCTGCTACCAAGTCCAACAGCACGCCGGGTGCAGACTCGAGCAATACCAATGGTGCAAGTATGAACGATCCGGGGCAGCAAGCCAACGCGTTTGGTGGGATGATGATGAATCCGTTCATGATGTACTCGATTATGGGTCCGCAAGGGATGAACATGATGGGGATGCCGATGGCGATGCCTATGGGAATGAACATGAACGGAATGACTGGAGTGAACGATGTGAATGGCTCTAGTGGCACGAATGAGGCAGGCAGTGGCAACAACATGAACGGAATGAACGGCATGAACGCGATGGCTGGTATGAATGGGATGCAGCTTCCGATGCAACTCCAGTTGCAGCTGCAGTTGCAGATGCAAATGCAAATGGCTCAAATGGCGCAGATGAACGGAATGGGAGGGATAAATGGGATGCAGATGCCCATGGGACTTCCTGGCATGTCCATGGGTATGAACATGCCAATGCCCCTGAACATGAATATGCAGCAGCAGCAGCAGGTTAACCCTCAGAGCGGACTAGCAGGCGACGTTGAAATGACCCCCGCAGCGGCGGCGACAGCTTTCTCCATGGCGATGCCTACCACAGGTGGCGCAATGCTGAAGCCTGCCAGGCCACTGCAACCCAAGGGTGCACCGCGTACAGGCCCCGCGTTTGTGAATATCGCACGAAAGCCCGAGGAGCCTGAAGTGAGCAGCATTCTGAAGTCGCTCATGGACGAGGAGGCCAAGAAGAAGGAGAAGAAACTGGAGCGCAATCGTGACTCGGCACGTGAAAGCCGCAGGAAGCAGCAGACGTACGTGGAAACACTTGAGAACGGTATCAAGCGTCTGCAGATCAACCGCGACCTCGTCCGCTCCTACCGATGGGGCGTCAGCGGGCCAGGCTTTGGTCCTCTTCCCTGCCCGAACTCGCCGCAGATGTTTGACTGGAAGAATCGTCTTGAAGTCGTCACTGGTCGTACTGAGGCGTTTTCGAGTATCCAGAACCCCGCTAACTTCCAGTCCCTGATGCGGCTCAACCGACAGCGTCGCACGCTGGCAATGCAGCAGCTTGAACGCGAACGCGCTGTGTGGAAGTGCTTCGTCTTCGTGGGTCGGCAACTCGCCGCTATGCGCACGCGGGTGCTGCAGGTGCAGATGCTGCGTACGTTCTCGGAGAACCCGTTGGCGATGGAGCTGGATGCAGTGCTGAACCTGACGGCCGACCAGAAGCTGCAGCTGCAGTGCCACGCCCAGCAAACGTTCAACGAAGAGGTGGTGGAGCTGACGAAGCTGTTCAAGGTCTTCTTTGCGTTGCGCAACGAGGCCCTTCGACTGAATATCATGTCACCTTCGCTGGAGCGTCACTTCCGTGATGCCTGCTCATTCGACCAGCTGCAAAAGCTGCTGCAGTGGACGGAGACTCACCGCACCGTCATCGAGACGGATCTCTGCTTAGACGAAGTGTAGGCGCGAGTAGTTGTGAAATTATCATCTTTCAGCACACAAGTGAAGCACGTATGGATATGGACATGGCTTCGAGTACAGCGTAACGTGGACGATTTTGTCAATCGAATCCGATGTACGTACACTGTCGCAATGGGTGGCAACTTCTGTTGTTTCATGCAGCCCTTCTAACCCAGATCAATAGCAGTCGAGGTTTAGACGGACCGCTTATACATGTACTTTGTTTTACTCTTTCTCCGTGAGCTCGCGCTCGATCTGATGCAGTTCTTCCAGCAGCTCGTCGGCCGTTGGTCGGCCCTCTGGCTGGAAAGCCTGGCACCTGAACATCAGAAGCCGCACAGGTGTCGGTGCCTCTGCATCTCCAGACGCACTGCCCTTGTGATTATTCAGCATCGGGACTTCGGTGTCGTCCATGACCGAGTGCTCGGCTGAGGTGCATTCGTACGTGGCAAGTTGCGCGAGCAGTACGCCGAACGAGTAGATGTCAGCCTTTGGAGTGTACTGGCGTCCGTCGAGGACTTCCGGCGCCGTCCAGACGGTCATGTCCATGTGAACCTCCTCTCCAGCGTTCTGCGAGCTCGTGTTGCTGCGCCCAGAGAATCTCGCTGAAGATCCCGTCGTGGAAGGGAGAGACCCAACGTCATTCCGGTTGTGAGACGACGACCAACGCCGCAGCGCACTGCAGCACGTTAGATCACCGAGCTTCACGTTCCAGTCGCTGTCCAGGAAGACCTTCCGAGAGCTGAGGTTGCCGTGGAACAGCGGCTGCGAGAACGAGTGCAAGTACTGAACAGCCTGCGCGACCTCGATCGCGATGGAGAGCTTGCTCTTGTAGGCGCTGGAGGAGCTCCTCCAGCTCCATCGATTACCGCCGTCAGCCAACATGGTTGAGTCTTCATCCTCGGACTGTAGGGCGTCTACGTCGTAGTCGTCGTCACTCTCGCGCTTGTCGAGAGAATTGTCCCCGCTTGGCCGCTCGGCTTTCTTCGCTTGTAGAGCTCGTTTGTGAGTCTGGATGAAGCTGTTGAGGTCGCCTTTGCCCATGTATTCCATCACCAACGCAACTCCTTCCGAGTCGCTGTGCTCAGCGAAGCGAGTCATTTTGACGAACCCATAGAAAGCGACGAGTTGCGGGTGCGATAGCGTGGCGCTCAGACGGATCTCCTCGACAAACCCCCACAACTCGGCCAACAACGTGTTGTCACGCTTGTCACCATTGCGTCCACCGCGACTAGCGATGCTAAGTGTCTTCAGCACGACTGTCTTGCCTCGGTACGCAGCTTTGAAGTAGACGAACGCAGAGAAGCTCTCCCCAGAATCGGGGTCTCCTGCTTCGGTCTGCTCTAGTGAGGGAGCTGCGAGCAGCTCTCGGTGCTTGACTAGCGATCCATCAATTTCAGAGCGCGGGAGCTCTTGTTGGAGACGGAGGAGCGGGTCGTTCGGCTTGTTCCTCTTCGCTAGTGCGTCGTTTTCAGCATCCATGGCCAGTTCGGGCTCAGGTTGAGAAGAGTTCTCGTCTGTGCTCGGTGGATCGGAGCACAGCAAGTGGCGGACCTCGTCGTCTGGCTCCATACTCGCGCTCTCGTGCCAGAAGTTGTTGGATCGGCCACTCGCTGTCTTGGCCATGGCTGGCTGGCTGCCTTTAGCTTTACCACCACCACCGCGGACTTTGCGCCGCAGACACATGCAAAAAGTGTTGACGAACATCAAGACCGTGAACGCCGAGAGCAAAGCTGCTGCCCCAATAAGGAACCACGAGCGCCGCTGGTGCAGAGTTTCTTTCAGAGCGATTCGCTCCTCCTCTTGAGCAGATGACGCATCCGTTCCCCACATAGACCCCGACATGGACCCGCTTGAGGCTGCTATGACCACACTCTCGTACTTGTCGGCAAACTCGCTGTCTGATAGCACGCACAGCATCGTATCTTGAACGTATCGCGGGTTTGCGTTGGAGTCGGAGCAGCTCAGCGTGGACGTGGTGGAAACATCCCACAGCGTTAGCTTCTCGAACCTGTCCGCGTCACTCTGCCGCACTTCTAACTCCTCTAGCACGCTGACTGGTTCTGCTGCAGGGTTTGCGGCGGTCGTTTGCAGTGCGCGCGCTTCCTCCGGAGTAACTACTGATGCGGTTGAGGCCGTTGTTCCTGCCGCCGCCGCCGAATTTGCCGTGGCAATCAGAGTAAGCTCCGAGAGGGAATCCGGGAAGATGACGCCCCTGATAATTGTGATGGGGTTGTTGGAGAAGTTGAGCGTCGTCACCGAGCTCGGGAATGAAAAGTTTTCCAGCGTAGCAACGCTGGAGCCGACGACGTCCCTGTACACGATCGATCAGCACCAACGTCGTGAGTATTCGAGCAAGGAATTTACTGAAGGACAGAGCGGCATACAGTTGCAATAGGCTGGATGGGAACGATACGTTGGATAGTGATCCAATTGGGTTGCCCGACAAATTGCTGCTCACACCCAAAACGTAAACGGTGAGGTTATCGAACAGACACACCAACCTCTTAGGACCACGCATGCATCTTACAGGTACTGGAGAGTGGAAGGGAGATCAGCTCCGTCAATATCGCCCAGGGCGTTATTAGCGAGATCCCTGGCAAACCACGTACGCACCACACATTCTATCAGCCACTGCGCTGACAAAGTCCAGAGCAGCGCATCACGTACAGAAGTGTAAGAGCTTCAGGGAACTCGAATTCGTCTATCGTAGGGATGCTGTTATTCGCCATATATCTGCAGCAACACAAGCGACGATCATCAGTTTCCAGTCCCACGGAATCCAATCACCAACTCCCCCACCACTCACAGCTCCGAGATGTTGTTGACTGTCGTGAAGCTTCGAAGCTGGTTATTGTCCAGTCTTCTGCCCTCCAAAGAAAGCACACAGACAAACGCCAAAGTCAGCTACTACGTCACGTCGTCCTCCCACACACGTACACAATGTCCACCGCTGGGAGACTCTCGACCGCCACGATGTCGCGGTGCCGGAGGTCCAGCATCTTCACTCCCGCAGCGCTCGTCGTGACCTTCACCACGCTGGCCTCGCACGTCGACGCGTCTGTGACCTCCACGCTGCTGCTGGACGTCGAGGTCGAGGTCTTGTAGGAGTTGGAGCTGCTGCTGGGGATGGCGACCGTCGTGACATTCGGGCAGGAGGCGGCGCTCTCCTCCGCTTCTCCCACGTCCACTGCCAGGCACGCACGGGGCCAGTCCCCGACCGCCAGGAGCAGCGCTGGAGCCCAGCGATGCAGTGGCATGACCGTCGGACGTCCTTGAGTGGAGGGCAGGTGAATAGTCGAGCCCTCGACCATAGTGAAAGCAAGTGTAAAATAGTTGTCTCAATTGTAGCCATCTCAGCTTATGGCTACATCTGCGACTTGTGCGCAGATACTTTTATTGCAACTCAGCGGATGTGGACGTGCAGCGTCTTCTTCTGCGCGCGGATGGCTTTCTGCCGACTCCAGCCGGCGAGTAGAGCCTCCTTCTCGACGCGCTTCCGCTCCGCCAGCTCGTGGCGGTCGACGTCGTCCTGGAGCTTGAGTTTGGAGATGAAGTACGCCGACTCGACCTGGTCCAGCGCGCGTCGGTCTCTCTTGAGCGCGTCCTTAGCTGCCACCTGCTCGTTCAGTCTCTGGTTGAGCTTCTGCTTCTCGGCGCGTTTCATCTCGTCGCTCATCTCGCGCTCCAGTGGCAGGATTTTGATGTCTCGGTAGTCGTCGCGGCCACTTGCGGATTTCTGGCGCGACCTACTCCGCTTCTCCTCGATCTGGTTGTTCAGTAAGGCGTTGAGCTCTCGTCGGGCGACGGACTGCTCGGCTCGCTTCTGCAGGTCGCGGATCTGCACCACGCGCTGCCGAGTCGCCATCATGTCGTTGAACTGGTCGTCCACGCGCTTCGCCTGCTCGATGTTGGCCACCTCGCGCTGGAACGCTGCCTGCATGACTTCTTCGTGGTCCGGGCGAGCTTTGAGGACTTGGTGAGGGACACGCGGCTCAGGGATCAAGAACCGCGGTAGTATTTGCCGCCCGTTAAGAGGCACCGACTCGGGGTTACAGTTGTTGTCACTGGGCACCACCTCGTTCAACTCCTGTCGGTGCTTGCGATGATGACTCCTCGTTTCCTTGTCCGTCTTCACGCTCTGGCCACTGCCTTGGTGATGGAGAGCGGCAAACTCATCGTCACCTAAAGCCTTGAGGCGGTGCTTGCGCTTCAGCTTGTTCGGAACTTGGAGAGCGCTATCGACCGAGAGCGAGCGCTGCATCGTGGGCTTGTCACTATCTCCGTGGGTTTTGCTTGCCTCTAGCTGCAACGCTTTCTTTCGGAAACTATCTAGTGCACCGCTCGAGCTTTTCCTAAACACTGCGGAGGGCGGGGGTATCTCCACTTGGTCACTCTGCGTAATTGAACGAAGTAAGGTCGAGTCGAAGGTGAACGAGAGCGCCTTCCCGTCGAGTGCGAAGCTTCCAACCCCTTGAAGCGTCAATCTACCCGCATAGTCCCCGCCCTGAAGCTTCTTACCGACGAACGCGAGGATGGCGTCTAATGTCCGACGTGTTTGATCGGATCCGAGCCCGGCGTCGCTGCCGAGAGCAGCCATATGGACATCTGCAGTCGCAGTGAGCGGAGCAGGTGACGAACGGTGGCGCCATACGACGCCGTACGTTGAAGCGAAGCGATCCGCCAGCAGGAACACTGGCGCGCCGGCCATATTGCACGTCGGCGCCTTGTAGAACCCGAACTTCCCTAGCTGCTGCAGCGACACCCCCTTCCGTTGACTGAGCTGGCGAGCTACAAGTCGTCCAAAAGCTTGCCACACGCTAGTCACCGACGCCCCAAGCAGCACCTCGAACTCATAGCTGGACGACCGAAGCTGCTGCGCGCACTCTGCTAGAAGATCGCCCCTACTCGCCATAGTGAATACACTCTGAACAAGCGCTTCAAGACGACAACGGGCGGTCTAAATATTTATTCACTTATACTGATCGGCATGACAAGAAACAAAAGCGCAGCTATTCCTGTTCGGCGTGGCGTGGGGTAATGTTAGCTGGAGATCCGCCTTCGAGACTGCAACACAAGCGATCGCTGCTCGCGGTTGAGCGAGTAAGCGAGGATCTGCCCACCGAAAGTTGACGCTAGAAGCGTGCTGTTGTGCACTCTGCACAAGCCCGTGAACATCCGCTTCGCACCGTCAGCATGCGCCTCGGCTAGTGGAGAGAGCGTTGCAGTGTCCCAGACCTTCACCGTTCCGTCCTTAGACGCTGTCACTGGGAGCATCGGTAGAGCTGCAGGATCCGTCTCAATACCATCATCTGCAGTGCTAGGCAGGAAACAGCACACGGATGCGTCTTGTTGGTGGCCCTGGAACTCCATTACCTGCTTGCCCGTGCGTCGATCCCATACTCGGGCCTCACAGCCAACACCGTTGAAGCCCTTGCTAGATGTCAGCAAGTACGTACTGTCCTCTTCGCTGCCGCTGCCGTACGCTGCAATACTCAACGGGAAATACACAAAACCCCTCAGCGTCTGGGCCGGCACGCGCAGAGGCGTTCGAGGGTCCCACACCTTCACACTCAGATCTTCGCTGCCTTGAGCGACCAGAGGCTCGCGCGGGAGCCACGTCGAGCACGTCACCACGTTCTGCGGCGTCGTGTTCTTGGCCGCGATGTGGCTCGTGGTCAGGTCCCAGAAGATGGTCTGGGTGTCTCGGCCCCCAGAGCACAGCATCTGCTCGGCGTCGTCCACGGCCACAGTGGACACGTTGAGCTGGTGACCTCGCAGTACCGTGGCCGTCTCAGACGCGGGCTTGTCGGCGATGGGTGTGATGGCCACCGTCGTGTCTCGCGAGCATGAGTAGATCATCTGCAGCTTGTCCCCGATGACGATCCGGTTCACGGACCGCGAGTGCGGCATCCAGACGTTGACGGCGTCCTCGGCGGGTGCTGCTGCGTCGCGCCAGTTGAGCCGCTGGATGGAGCCGTCCTCCCAGCCCGCGAGGCAGTTGTCCCCCAGGAAGGAGCTGTACGCGACGCAGTGCAGCGCCAGCTCGCTCTCTTGCTCGGTCGCGGCAGCAGCCTGGTCATCCGCGCCAGTTGGAGTTGAAGCGGCGCCGTCCGCGACAGGTGGCGTCTCCTCCTCCACCTTCCAAGTGTTGAGCTTGTTGGCGTCGCGCGAGTTGCAGGCCCCCATGCTGACGGTCCGGAGGCGGTGGAGGCGCGATAATAGCCGATCCGATCCGAGCGCTATGGACGATAGCAAGCGAGGTGTCAGGCAGCGACTGCAAGTTGCATCGTCCTCGCGTCTTTCCAACGGACCTTCGTGCCTCGATTTCAGACGACTTTTACTCACCGTATTATAGGGACCGTATATAACCGCACTACTATGTACGATTTACATAAATAACCCCGGCTTCTAATACACAGGTGCGAACTTAATAGATTAAGTACGCGTAAATTACAATAACCATACATAATAAATACTTTAGCAATCGAAGGTACGATCAAAAAGTATTGTACTTTGTGAGGAAATTAGTAAATAGCTCTTAAAATATACACCAAAACCTGTATAAACCAAAGTACCTGTATAATTAGTCGTACAATGATACAAATAAGGTCTATTCAAACTCTTCTATCTAATAACGACGTCTTCCTCAGTGAAGCCAAAGTAACTCATTTAATTTGCATCACAGTACCACCACTAAGACTGCGGCTGACGTGCGTCGACACCACTCGAACCAACATGTCGGCGACGAACCAAGTGACGCGCACCACGATCCAGGTGCGCGCGCGCCTGCTCTGCTGCCTGCCTGCTCGCCTGCCAATACTGACAAACTGTATGCGCTTGCTCGTCGTTTGCGCAGCTGTACCGCGATTGCATGCGTCTGGCCAAGCACATCGGCGGCAACGTACGTCACCTGCTTATCTGCTCTGCTTGACCCAGTGCTTGTGATTCAACTGCTTGTGCTGACGCTGCTGTGTGTGTGTGCATTGCTCCACGACCGCTTTGTGCAGAGTAAGAAGGGCCAGGCCATCAAGGAGCTCGTGCGGCGGGAGTTCGAGAAGGGCCGCAGCGAGACGGACCCGGAGAAGATCGAGGCGCTCAAGGCCAAGTACGTAGCGCTGCATTCACGCTTGCAGGCTTCGCTGCCATGACGCTGTTGGGAACCATTTTCTGACTCTGTTCGTCTTGCGTTGTGTTTCTTTGCTTGCTTGCTGCTGCTGTGCAGTGCCGTCCGTGGACTGAGCAACTACCTGATGCTGGCCAACTCGAGCAAGGACCAGCGGCTGCACAACGCGATGAACAAGAAGTCCCCGCCCAAGGAGGACGGCCCCGAGCAGGCGGAGTACCGGGACCTGTAAGCTAGAGCGGTCTGCCTCGCTGTGTAAAGGCCTACAAAACACGCAGTGCCCCTGACAAAATCTCAATCGTTGCTGTCGTGTTTGAGTGAGTCTCGTGCCTCAAACAAATGGTTGCTACGCACCGGCTCGTCGCTATCGGGAGCAGTCGAGTTGAGCCAGCGAGATGGGCGACGACCGCATGCCGATGGCAATTCTCGGTACAGCGCTACCGTTCCGAAGCTTCACTATTCAGCGCTGTACGAGGTAAAGCCCTACGAGATAGGCTACCGATAAAACGGCCCACATGCAAGTTGTCGTCACAGCGGCAGCACACAAGTGCACCCACGCAACGCTCTCGTGCATTGATTTTTCACGGGCACGTCACTCTCGACTCGAGAGAGTCTCGAGCGCCTGGAGCCACGGGGAAATCGTAAAAAAACTCATGATTGCGGGCCTCTGTTATCCAGTGATCTCCAAGACGAGAAGATGCCATCTCGCTGCATCAAGCCCGTCCAAGGAGCAGGGAAGCCAGCATGTTGAAGTGCACTGTACCAGTCGTGTAAGTTCGCACGCTAAGTACGCTCGAACCTAGGTCAATCCGAATTTCAGCCAATGGTTTCGCTGATGGCCCGCCAGCCAATGGAGCGACTCAAGTGCTCTGCTCGATTCAAGTTGCCACCGTTCCGGCCGCGCCACCTCCGACCATGAGCGACCCCGTGCGCGACCAGCGCTTCCAGAAAGTGCACAATGACCCGGTAAGGTGTACTTCAATGGTGCAATGGCCGTCACGCAATTGGATCGCTCTCTCTAACGTAATACTCTTTCATGTAGAGATTCGCTCGCAACTCGAAGCGCAAGAGCAAGCTGCAGATCGACAGACGCTTCGCCGGAGCGCTCAAGGACGAGCGATTCCAGAGTGTGCAGGGCAAGTACGACAAGTACGGACGGCGCATCGAGAAGAAGGACAACGAGCTGAAGAAGTTCTACCGCCTGGACGAAGACGAGGGCGACGAAGAGCAGGAGGAAGAGGAGGAGCAAGAGGAGGAGAAGAAGGCCAACGCCGAGACTTCGTCCACGACCAGCTCCGACGATGATAATGACGACGCCGATGCTACCGTCGCCAAGAACAGCGAGAAGCTCTCGCGCCTCGATTACCTGAACCGCATGGCGCGTGGTGAGCTTGAGTCCGGCTCGGACAGCTCCGACTCGGACTCGGAGGACAGCGACGACGAGGAGGCCGTTGCTGCTGAAAAGGAAGAGGAAGAAGATATCCCCATGGGCGAGGAGACCAAGCGCTTTGCTGTGCTCAACTGCGACTGGACGCGTATCCGTGCTGTGGACCTTTTCGCGCTCTGCCAGTCGTTCGCTCCTCCCACGGGTGCGGTGCAGAACGTAACTATTTATCCGTCGGACTACGGTCTTCAGAAGATGGTACGCTTGTGGATGTGTTTTGGTGTGTTGCAGTGCATTTTGCGCTAACTCTTAGTTTCCATCTGCAGAAAGAGGAGCAGCAGCGCGGACCGCAGGGTCTCTGGGATGATGAGGACAAGGCCAAGGAGGCCAAGGATGAGAAGCCGGAGACTGTCGAGGAGGAGGAGGCCGACGATACGGGTGATGAACAGGACGATGCGGAGGAGGAGAAGGCAGAAAAGGCCGGCGGTGACAACGAGGACAGTGATGACGACGTGGAAGGTGAGGAGGACTATGACTCGGACGACCCGCTCGGCGTGAAGAAGAGCGTGACTATCGAGGGCGAGTCGGACGGCTTCGACCGCGAAAAGCTGCGCAAGTACGAGCTGCAGAAGCTGCGCTATTACTACGCGATCGTGTCGTGCGACTCGGTTAAGACGGCCAGCACGATCTTCGACCAGTGCGACCAGCTCGAGTACGAGACATCGTCCAACGTCCTCGATCTCCGGTACGTGCCGGACGACACGACCTTCGCTAACACGCCCAAGGAGTCGTGCGATAGCGTCCCCGACCGGTACAAGCCGGCGATCTTCGCCACGCTGGCGCTGCAGCAGACCGACGTGAAGCTCACGTGGGAGGAGGACGACGAGCAGCGTCTGGAGCTTCTCACTCGCCCTGCCGACTGGAAGGACGCCCACGACGATGACTTCAAGGCCTACTTGGCGTCGGATGTGTCGGACGCTTCCGAAGCTGAGGACGACAGCGATGACAGTGACGCAGATGAAGACGCTGAAGACGACGCGGAGGCTGCGGCTCCGGTCAGCAAGAAGAATGCGAAGAAGGAGGCCAAGATCAAGAAGCTGCGCAACCGCTACCGGTCGATGTTGCTGGGCAGCGACGCAGAGGACGAAGACGACGACAACGCCCCGGAAGGAGGTCTGGGCGCGAGCAGCGATGAGGACGAGGACGCTGGAGGTGACATGGAGATGTCGTTCACGCCCGGCGCGGGCGACGTGCTGAAGGCCAAGAAGCAGCGGGAGCTGGAGGAGAACGAGACGCCGTTCGAGCGCTACACGCGCGAGAAGAAGCAGGAGAAAAACCGCAAGCTGCACGAGAAGCGCGCGCGCCAGAAGCAGCTCGAGCGCGAGCAGCGAGAGGTCCTCAAGAAGAAGGGCCGCGGCGCCAAGGAGGCCAACCTCCTGCGTGAGGCTATCACTGGTGGCGGCGACAGCAGCGACGGCGGCAACAGCGACAGCGACCAGGACGAGCGCAACTTCGACATGAAGAAGATCGCCAAGCAGGAGAAGGTCAAGTCTCTCAAGGGCAAGCGCCGCGCCAAGGAGATGAAGAAGCTGGCCAAGCACAAGGCGGCCGGCGGACTGCAGGAGGGATTCGAGTTCGACGCGGCCGACCCGCGTTTCGGCGCGCTGTACGCCAACGGCTCGCACTTCCAGCTGGACCCGACGGACCCCAAGTTCAAGAAGACGGAGGCCACGCAGGCCATTTTCAAGGAGCGGCGGCAACGGTACGACCAGGAAGCCACGCAAGCCAAGCCCGCCAAGTCGGACTCGGCTGCTACTGCTGCCTCCAGCGACAACAGCAAGCACACGCTCAACGCCATGGTGGAAAACCTCAAGCGGAAGTCGCAGCAGCAGCAGCAGGACAAGAAGAAGGCCAAGAAGCAGAAGAAGAGCAAGGCATAAAGTCGCGATGGCCAGCTACTGAAGCTGTAGACAGAAGGGTCCAAAGTATATAGAGAACAAGTTTTGCTTCACACTTCCGTTTCCATTAGTGTTGAAGGGTCTGGACGAGGAGTCACATTTCGTAGATCGCCGTCCGAAGCAGCAGCATGCAGGTAATTATGCTGAGAGTTTGGGCGTGTGGTGATGTACGTGTAGTGGAGCCTCACTCCCTGTCGGTGTGATGGTCTCCCGAGCAGCGCGTTCAGATCCAGGAGGTGCTGCCCAAGGCCGGACTCGTGTACTCGGAGCGTGGCAACTTGACTGAGGTACTCTGCAAGCCCAAGATCATGCCCATCAAGTCGGCGACGCTGCTGCGCATCGAGGAGATCGAGAAGCAGGCGCGTGCTCTCGCCAAGCCAGCGACTGCCAACTCACCAGACTATTACCGCCCTGGTACATCGAGGAAATGAACGCCTTTCAAAGCAGCTAGACCCGGCGAAGAATCGATAACTCGTGTGGCGACTAAGCTAGCAAACACGACTTGTTTACATTTGCCTCAACTTGTCACCTCTGTGTGCGAGCTAGCACGTCACGCCTCTTATTCACTGAAAACTATGCCCGGGTAATGGAGGTGCTCGTAAGGCTGCCTGTCCGTACCAAGTGAACAATTTAAGACCGTGCAGCGTCCTACTGCATGCCACCCGAAAACATCTCGAGCAGAGAGCTGAGTCCCGACCGCGGCGGCTGGAGTCCGTAGAACTTCTGGCCGATCACGCTTAAATACTGCAGCGGTCAAAACGCACAGCGGTGATGCAAGTGTTAGATCCGTTATCTCGTCCACAGCTCGGCGCAACCGAGGCAACACGTACGCTCTTGAGGCTGCTATCGCGAGCAAGCGCCGGAGTGTAGCGCTCCTGGAGCATCTGGAAGAGCGGGAGTGCATCACGCTAGCAAACACAAGCACAACAATACCAGACGAACAACGTCATTCAACCAGGAACGTCAACTCCAAGTCGTGAAATGCTGTAACAAAAGCCATATCATCCTCCCTCACCTCCAGCGTCAGCAGCAAGAAGCGCGTGAAGTTGAATAGCGGCAGGTCGACCGGGCGTCCAGCGCTCTGGCACTTGGCCACGTACGCCTCGTACACTTTGTTCGCGTCGCGCAGGTTCTCCAAGCTCAGCAGCCTGCAAAAAACAGCATCAAACCCCCAATCAGTACGCACTTCACTTCCCACCTCCACAACCTCCTCCCAACGCCTTACTGCAGCACGGCCCGAGCCAGGTACAGGTCGGATTCACTCGGGTATCCCTGCGTCGACCACTGGAAGAGCGCGTCGGCCAGCTCCTGCGGGTTCTCGGAGTGCAAAAAGTGCTTCATGGCGTGCGTGAAGTCGCCCGCCGTGCGGTAGGCGCGCGCCAGCAGCAGCTGCAGCTCCGGGTCTCCGCGCTTGCGGGCGCCCTCGGCCGCCGACCACTTGACCGCGTTCTTGAGGAAGACGGCGAGGTCGGCGCTGAACTGCGGCTTGGGCTCGAAGGCGGCGGCCACGAGGCGCACGCGCTGCTTGTGCGCGTCGTCCACCGGGTGGTGGAAGTCCGCGAAGACCGAGACCATGAGGTTGGCCATCTCGGTGGCCGCCGTGTTCTGGTCGTGCTCGACGAGCTTGAGCGCCGCGTCCAGCGCCAGCGCCGCCGCCTTCTCCTGCTGCTCGGCGCTGGGCTCGTCCCCCTTGAGGAAGCGCATGAACAGCGTCTTGTACATCTGCAGCGCGCCGTAGAAGTCGCCCGCCGCCAGCCGCAGCTCCAGCTTCTTGCCCACGTTCTCCACGCCCGCGTTCTCGGCGCTCAGGCTCGCGGGGGCCGCCACCTTGGCGCCCGCAGCCTTCCGGGCCAGCGCTCGGCGGTTCATTATTGCGATGGCGATGGATACGTGGTCAGTCGAGTTGTTGTGGTATTTGGGTCACGTTTTGTAAGATTGTACAGTGAATGATGTGAAAAGTGCACACATATAGAGCAATAGCTTCCAAAAAACTACACCAAGACTGAAAAGCGGAATTGTGAGTCGAAACACTTCAATGTGCACCTTGGGGCCAATGCCCACGGGCGTCACCTTGCACTGCTTGCGCTCAGTCAGCTGTAGGAGAGTCACGCGAGCGAGAGTAAACAATCCAGATCGTGGCGAGAAACATACTGCACAACCAGCAGCGAGTGTTGCAGCGCCAGCCGGAGCGCCGGACAAAGCTGGAAAGGCAGCCGAAGGAGGCAACGCCCGAAGAGGAACTAAATAATACAAGTAGATTGGGGCTATTTGTCAAAACGTAAGTAGATCATGGGGACTACATATAAGTAGACTGGGGGACGTTGATTAAACGTATTTTAACAATCACCCCTGCTACGCGGCCCTCCAGACCCTAAAGGCTCGCTGTGCTCGCTTGGACAGAACCCTAACATGCCCGCTGCGGCTCGCACGCGTCGCCTCCGCTTGCTAGAAGGGCAATGCTGGGTCCTGGGTTTGCATCCGCGTGTTTCGCACACGGGCTGACAAACCGCAGGCGTGGGCTCGCTTCGCTCGCTGTGCGCTGATGGTCTGATCTACTTATAAGTAGTCCCCATGATCTACTTACGTTAGGACAAATAGCCCCAATCTACTTGTATTATTTAATTCCTCACGCCCGAATTACTGTATGTAGTCATATGAATTGCAGCACAGTACATGTATTATGCGCTAAGATGCAAGCCGGTCGACTATCGAGCGGCACTGTATCACGAGGATGGAAGGTTCAAACTTTTCGTACGTTTATCGCCATTCCAGCATGAACTCGGCGACGTCGCTCCTGAGATCGCTTCCTAAGAGCAAAAACTCCGATGCGCCTGAGCGGTGATGCACCGCAAACGAAGCAGCTTGGCTGCGTTCGCAAGCCTCGCAACGAAGCTTGCTGTCGGTGATTCTGAGTTGACGTAGCAAAGTTACCCGACATAAAAGTCCTGAAAGTCAAGCGTTGCAGCTGAAGTTGAGGTATTGGCAGTTGGGCAGGACGAATTTGATGATGCTAAACGCTGGCGTGGAGCCGCAAACAACTGAGCAACATTTCGGACGAGCGGCTGCATTGCATGAAGAAGCCTGGAGTAACAATGCGTGCACATTTGACAGTCACACCCGCGTCACGCAACGTACTCGTTGGGCTAGCTCACTCGATTGAGTCGGGCTCGTGCAGATGCCCGCCCAGGCCGAGCCTCAGCTGCAGGCTCCCTTGCTGGTCGTGCTTTACCGCAGGTGACTGGTCTATCGCCGCGCGCTAAAGCTGGCTGGCCAATGTTCCTGCTGCCTCGACCGGTCCTGCTGCAGGCTGGCGGGCGGTACCTTGGGCGCGGCAGCAAATAAGTCGCCGGCCGTCTGCAGTCTATGCCGAGAGACTTGCTTGACGGGCTCGAGTTGAAGTGGAAGTTGCCTTTTTTTACGGTAAAACTGGCAGAATATCTCGCTTGTTGTGTACGGTAGCCTGGTCGCGGCCGGCAGCTGGCTGCACACTCGATGATGATCTGCTGCGGCTTCCTGCTTTCTCTCGTGTCGGCCTGCGCATGAGCTGAGTCAATCGGCGACTCCACTCGACTCGCTCATCTCACCTGGCTAAGCTGCCGATTTATGCGCGAGGCGGCGGCATGTCCACACCGAGAGCACCCGCTCCTGACCCACGACATCGGAACGCCTGGGAACCCGCGTCACAGTCCAATTGGAGCGCTGCGCAACATGCGCTACCGCTCGGAGCTCGGTAGCGGCTTGGCCAGTAACCTCAGCGTCAGCGAGCGCTTCACGAACCCGTTCGCGCCGCTGACGCTGTCGACCGAAGCCGTCGTGGGGCTCGAGACGTTGACTCGAGCGTTGGTGGCGCGCAACTTGGACGCGTACGAGCGGCATCTGCACGAGAACGGCAGCGGCCAAGTGGACAAGACCCGGTGGAAGTTCATGTACGAGCAGGGCGGCCTTCGGTCGTACGCGGAGCGCGGCACCCACACGTCGTTCGGACTGGGGGCGGCGTTCGGCGTGGCGGCGAGTCACTTCGACCGACGAGCCCCAGTGTACAGGCAGACGTCGACGGCGTCGGTGCCGTCGATTCTGGTGCTCGGGGCGATCGAAGGGCAGCTGGACGACACCATGTACGGCTTCATGTGCCCCACGCTGGACCAGATGCGGGTCAAGACCTCGTACATCAAGGACGGACTCGTGCGCGGCAGCGTGCTGGCGACTCTCGTGTCCCCGACGATCGAGGACCCGTTCACCTCGGTCGCCGTCAAGTGGATGGAGCAAGGTCAGCCGGCGCACGCTCGCGCGGTGGTCAAGAACCGCGACTACGTGTACCTGGAAGCCACTGGCGTCGAGTTCCTGCGCAACGGCGAGCGCGTGGGGTACCAGGTGGTGCACTCGATCCAGTTCCCCGAGACCCCGGAGCGTCCGTCGGCTACGCGCGGCAACATGTCCATCTGCGCCATCTACAGGCAGAAGAACAGCGACCAAACCGACGTCTACGTGAGAGGCTTCCTCAACCCCGTGAGCGGACTGGAGAACTCAATCATCACGCGCTCCGTGGCTCGAACGCTGCTCTCCGTGTCGAGGAACGTCTACTGCTGCCAGATGAAGAAGATCAAGTGGGCGATCCGACATCGACTGCGGTCCATGTCGGACGCCTCTCAACTGCCAGCAGCTCTCGACCCCACTACCGACACCCCGTGCGTGGTCTGCGGACGGAAGCGCTCAACCGTCTCCAGTCTCCTCATCGCTGCCGCCAGTCGCATCAGCGCCACCAAGAACTTCCGCTGGCGACGCCGGTGCAAGTTGTGCGAGCGCTACGTGTGCCCAGACTGCCGCAGCCTGCACAAGTTGACTTTCGTCCTGCCTGACCACCGCCTGGTGCAGCAGCAGATCGCGCTTTGCTCCGGTTGCCAAGCTACTGCGCTCAGCGTCAAGGCCGTTGAAGTCGCGCGTGACGAGCTGAAGCGTAGAAGGTGGTCACTGTACGAGTGGCGGGATACGTACGCAACTTCGACAAGCTCTGGCCCCATTATCCTCAGCGGACTCAACTAGCAAGTGGCCCCCGTGTAAGGTTTCGCCCCAAGGGCCCGCAAATTTGGCTTAACTAAGATTTAATAATTGAACTCCCATCGTGATAACAAACCAACAAGTGTGCACTCGATACTTTCGGTGTTTAGTTTCTTACCAAAACCAGCCCTGCTGCTGCTTGCGTTTTTCCTACAGTAGCAAAGCCAACGCTGCTGGTTAGACGCACATTATTGTAGAAGCGGAACACAGCAACACAGTATATACCTGGATGGAAGCGATTTCCGCCGGTGTGAAGTTCAGAACGGTCGCGATGGCCTTCTCCATGTGCTCCTTGGCCTGAATTGATCACGAAGACAAAGCATTAGCAAAGTGACAGCTTGCAGCTGAGCGGTCCCCGCACTTACCTCGTCTTGGTCTGAGGCCATGTACTTGTACACTATATTCTTCAAATACTCGTTTGTCTTGGTCGCGTTCGGCGTCTCGAACCCCGACAGACTGCTATTGGACTCCATACTCATACGACGAACGCGGACTTCCTTGAAACTGTTTGTACGGCTGGCGTTGCTGCTCCCGCCGCCGTTCTCGTGGTAGTGCGCCTGCATGTCGTTCAGCTCCTTTTCCTTCTGCTCAACGGCATTCAGTGCGCGCTTTCGATATTGTGCAAACTCCTGCCGGAGTGACTGCAAGTCGCCATTTCCACTATCAGGACCGTTTCCAAAGGCACCGCTGGTCATGAGCTTCAGCTCCTCCATCTTCTTTTCTAGCTCTTGCTTCTCGCGAACAGATTGTTCGTATCTACACGCCACAGGTCAGCATCAGTTACACACGCATCCGAGATAGTATGCTTCTTCATGTAGCCTACCTCTCCCTCCACTCCATCGCGAGGACGGTTTCCCCCATTGTACCGCTCAGCTTCTCGTAATCCTTCATGAGCTTCTCAAACTTTCGCCGCCAGTCGGATTCCTGCAATTTACCAAAGCAGTTTACGGGTTAGTGCACGGAATACACGACATTGGATGAGGGTAACGTACTCTCTCCTCGGCTTCTGCTTGGGCCTTCGTGAGCCGACGGATCTGTGCCTTCGACGATTGCAGCTCCCCGGACAGATCCGTCTCCGAAATCTGCTCCGTTTGTTTCGCCATAACGTTTGCGCTCATCTGCCCAAAAACCTCGGTCAGCACCAATAACTTACCCCCTTATAAGCACACCACACCACAACGAACCTTTCGGATCTCGGCGTCTTTTTGCTTTCGCGTGATCTCCGATCGAACACGATAACGACGGAATTCCTCCTGCACACGGTCGATCTCCTCCTTCAAGCTCCTTTTCTAATGAACCATAATAATACATCCACAGCAAAACAGCGATCAGCTGCACATCTTAAACCACAGACACATACACGCATTGCATTCCAAACGTACCATGCGATCCACCTCACACGGCGTGAGTGAAAAGTCCGGCAGCGTCAGTGGTTCTCCGGACGCTCTGTTAGCATACGCCTGGATCTCTCCTTCGTTCCGGAAGCAATGCCACGCGACCTCCTTGGACTCGTCGAACTCGTTCTCGTTCGCGTACTCCACGAGACACCAGAGCACATTGCCGTGCGAGACCTTGTGCAGCAGTTGCCTCGGGTCGCGCGTGGACGCGTCCACGAACCACGAGTGCTGGCTCTGCTGGCTCTTGGTGAGCTGCTCGCGTAGCTGCTGGACGGTCTCGTCCTTCTCCGCCAGCTCCTGCTTGCTGTTGTCGATGCTGCGCTTGGCCATCGCCAGCAGACGCTTCAGCTTGTTCTCCTACGATCGCCCACAGCAGCATAATAGACAAGGAAAAGCACCGTCAGCCTCCTCTCCAACCTCCACAGCGCACTGCTGCACCCTCAAGAGCCGCAGATCAGCGCTCAATAGCTCACCGTCTCCTCCATCTCCTGTATCTTGGTGTTCTTCTTGGCCAGCAGCTGCTCCATCCGCGCGCCTCGCTCCTTCCAGAGCCTCAGCTGCGTGGCCACATCCATGCCGCCATTGGAGCGCGGCGGGGACGGCGTGGGCGTGGGCTGCTGCGGCTCCTGCTCCTGCTCCTGCGGCTCGGCCTCCTCCACCTGCGGGTCTGCAGCCCACGCGTCAGAACTCACGCTCCACTGACCCCGTTCAGCCACAGACGGCGACGCGCACGTACAGTCGTCCCCCTTCGTCCTCTTACCTTCAGCTGGCGCCTGCGGAGTCGCGTCCACGTCCATGGCGGTCGGTCGGTCTTCAAGTGAGAAACGTGGCCTCGAGCTTCGACGCGCGGTACACAACCGTTACACCAATTTTGAGCAGCCTGTCTTACGTCATGCCACATGACGCAGTCGAGTATTGCGACTTGAGTCCCGTAAATATGGACGTCAAGTCTATTGCTCGCAGGTATGGCGGCCTGTCGGCGCGCGTGGTGGCGCGCGCGGAGGAGAACTGGCGCGTGACGAGCGCCAAGAAGTCGGCGGGTCTGGACGCGTTCGCGGGCCCCGTGGCGTGCATCCTGGTGGCGGCGCGCGCCTTCGAGGAGGCGGTGGACAAGAGCCGGCTAGCCAAGTGCGCGGGCGCCAACAAGCGGCTCGTGGAGCCCACTGTGCGCAAGGTGGTGGACGCCGTGGGCGTGCGCTCCGTAGTGCAGACATCGCCCGCCGCGCTGTGCATCAAGTTCGGCTGCGAGGGCATCACGGAGATCGTCAACCGCGTGCTGGACGAGTACCGCGCGTACTTGGGGCAGGTGGCGGCCGCCAACAGGAAGAAGCGCGCCAAGCACCCGCTGGGCCCCGCAGTGGCCACGATGAACGACAGAGACCCGGTGTTCGTGGCCGCGTGCCTGTACGCAGTCAGCAAGCACGCCAAGGTGAGAGAGGGGGAAGGATCGAGGGTCTGTGTGTGTGTGATCTTGAAGAGCCGCTAACGTTGCGAGTGTATGGGGGTAGATGAACGTGAACCAGGACAAGTTGCTGGAGGCCGTGTGCGGCAACGCTAGGTCCTTTGACGCTATTGTTTCCTCTATTGAGGTGCGTGGACGAGTTGCTGATTGAAAGGGTGGAAGAGCTGCGTTATGACTTGGCTTCGGTTGCCGTGCTGTAGGCTCAATGCCAGGCTTCGCTGAACGGTGCGGTGGTAGATCGGAGAAAGCGCCGCAACACGGCGAGCGAACGGGCAGCCAAGAAGCTCACGGAGGAGCACCGACTCGAGCAGCTGGAAGAGGAAGAGCGCGTGAAGCGACAGAAGAGGAGCCTGGATGGCGAAATATCCTCGCCGCCGAAGACGCTAGCACAGCAAAGAGTGCTACAAAAGCTGCGGGCAGCTCGTGCGGGTGCTGTACCTGAACAAACCTTTGGTGCAGGCAAAGCTGCTGCAGTTGCCACACCTGAAGAGTACGCGGAGTGGCGAGCAAAGGCGCTCGAGTTCATGCGCAACAAAAAGCAGCAGGAAAGGATGAGCGACGGCAGTGTAGAAAAGTTGGCAGTCGGGACTTGAGTAGCTAGGCCACGACTCGCTTCAATACTTGGAAGAGCTGGTTGCCATGGGTACTGTGCTCTATTCTAACTAATATAGGAAGGTAAATGAACAGGTTGCATCGCAATCATCAAATGATGCTAGAATATTCAAACACGTTGCGAGCTTGATGCATCGCACCGCTGACCCACCCAGAGGAGGCAGCGTAGACTCTATCCACCCTGCTGTGAAGCCGGGAAATTTGTGCGCATGTATGCCGCCTAAAGCTTGATCGCCTTAGCGACGGCAGGGAACCGCTTTGTGAAGGTGTCGTCGGCGCCAATCCGGAAGCTCCAGGTGCGCGTTGCCGAATCCAGAACAGCGAACTCTACGTGTAAAAACATTCACAGACGCACTCGTTAGACATTCAAAGTCCGGCAGGATGGGATGATGGAGCACAAATCTTACCGCTCAAAATGGTCTTAGCGACGTCAGCGTCCAGAGAAAACTTTTCTACCAACTCCATTCGCGATACACCGGAGGGTGTCTTCGTCAGCTGAAATGTACGCAAGCAAAACAGTTAAGGCTCCGAGCTGGCAAAAGTTCAACAGAACTGTTGACGTACCGCCTTGATAATTTCATTGCGGGCGCGCACAGTCGTCTCTCCGCGGCAAACCAAGGCGCTGCTCAATCAAAAACAAACCAGAATGCAATATCAGTCTCTGGAGTTCACAGATCAAAGCAGCGAAACGAGTCCGCGACGCACCTGTTGGGAAGCAAGCGACCCCGCACGTGCACAGCCACGTGCTTAAGCGCATCGAGGAGCTCATCCTGGCTGCGCGACGGCAGAAGCTTGGCGAGCGTGTCGAAGTGCATGATCTGATCGGTCGCAAGTAGTCGCAGTACGTCCGAATACTTGGGATCAACGCCGTCGAGAAGGTGTCCTGCCACCGGCTCCATTGTTTCGTCCTTCTGGTCCTCGTCTTCTTCGTTGGTTCTGTTCGCCACAATAATTTGCATCTCTTGGTCAGCTTACCGCTAATATAAATGCAACACACAATGTGGGGTACGCACTGGGCAGGGGTAGTCGGGGCCGCAGACTTGTTGTCAGCGGAGGCCATTGCGCGGTACTGCATCGCCTTGATGTACTCGTCAGCCGTCATGGTGGACACCACCTCCTCCTCCTTTTCACTGAACAAGTTCTCGAACTCGTCGTCAGCACCGGCGCTCTGCCGAAATAAATGGACACAACTCGTCAGCTTCAAACAACCTTTCAGGCTCAAAGCACCTGACAAAACGTACGCTCTTGTCCTGCACCTGGAGCTCGATCCAGTTTTCGGCGTCGATCTGCTGCTTCTTGTACGCGTACGAGTTCTGGATGGCGGAGATGGCGCGCTCCGACTGCTTCTTCTTGAACTGGAACTGCACCTCCTTCATCTCTGCGGGCGGGGCCTCCACCTTCTCCTCCACTTCCATGTCCTCCTCCTCCTCGTTCACTGCGTCGTCAATATGCGCCAGGCTCGGACGCATCTGCATGACTGCGGACAGCGGCGTGAGGTGCAGCTGGCCCTGGCGGAAGACGCCCACGGCGTAGTTGGACAGCGCCGGCACGCTGGCCGACTGCAGGCGCAGGTGCTTCTGCTTCAGGTACTCCTCCGCGTCCTGGTCGAAGTGCTCGCTGCGCTGGTCCACGGGGAAGTCCAGCTGCAACAGCTGGTTCGTCGGCTTGATGCGCGCGCGGCGCGGCGGCTCCGGCATCGGGCGGTACGTCGGTCGCAGCGGGAACTGCACCATGTAGCTGCTCATTGGCATTGCGTCATTGGGCTATTGCGTCAGAAATCCATAGGAGCAAGAGCGCAGCAGAGCGAAGAGCGGTGCACGTACAGGCTGTTGCGCAGCTCATCGGCGAGATGCACGGGGATCTCGCGCACCACCGGGTCGTCGTCCATGGCCACCTGCGTTGAGTCGCTTATCGTCCAGTGGCTCTTTCGGGTGTAGCCATTTTTGCTGAATGTCACTGAAGCGAGACTTTTGTCCCTCGTTTTAGTGGGAAAAGGTGGCGGGCGCGGACACTTCATTCCATTCGACCTGGAGCCAGCGACGCCGAGCATGTCGTCCATTCCTCGCATCATCGACAGGTAAGCCCCGGCGTTCTGCAGCTCGTTGTGTAGAGGGAGGAATCTAGTTTGCTGCTGTGAAGACGCGGTGGCTCAGCGCTGCCTGTGGCCGCCGCTACGGCGCGGGGAAGACGAAAGATCTCATTCTGTCCACTGCTCTCTCGGCTCTGCAGCGACAGCGACTGCGATGACGACGTCCCGCTCTCCGCGTTGCGCGCCAAGGCCCCGGCGGTGAAGGAAGAGGTCAAGACGGAGGTCAAGAGCGAGGTGAAGGGGGAGCTGCCGGCGGTCAACGGGCTCAGCGCCAATGGCAACGGCAACGGCAAGCGGCAGGCGGCGCCCGACAGCGACAGCGACGACGACATCCCGATCAGCGGACTGGCCAAGCGCAAGAAGATGAAGGTGGAGACGAAGGTCAAGGCGGAGAAGGCGTCCGTGGCCACGCCCAGCTCGCGCGCGACGCCGCGGAACACCCCGCGCAAGACCAAGAAGAGGGTAATAAAGGTGAGTGAGCCCAGGTGCGCGAAAGTGGTTGGTTGCTGGGGTAAGACGCTAACAGACCGATTGTGCAGATTAAAATCCGCCAGCAGGAGTGCTCGGAGGCGCTGTACGAGACGCTCAAGGGCCGACTGGCGCAGGAGCTGCTGTGCCGCTGGTGGTACGCGATGGAGTGGCCGCCCGTAAAGAAATCAGCATCGGTAAGTGGCAACAAATCATCTGTAGGTCTATTGAAGGTGGAGCGCTGGGTTTGCTGATTTGTTTGCGTTTTCGTGGCGGTAGAAACTGCATGGTGTTCAGGAGCTCGACGGATACCCCGGCGCCTTCATCCGCGTTAAGGTGAGTTGTGTTTCGTAAATTGGGATCGCTTTTCGCCGCTCTTAGCGATTGACTTTTCGTTGCTCTAGGGCGATGACTTAGGCTCGATCATAGACACTCGGTCATCAGTGGGCAAGCCGTCGTTCCTGCACTTTTTCGCAATGCCTTCGGCGGATCTCCTCAAGCTGCTACTCCAGGCGTACGACAAGCAAATGGAGGTGTTGGTTGAGCACGAGGTTCGTGGAATGTTTCTCCTTGTTGTGCTGAATCGACTGCTGACATATTTTTTGAACTGAGCAGGGACCAGATACCCCGCTACTGAAGCAATTGCAAAAGGAGCGCGCGTCGGCGTCGCGCATTGACCCGGACAAGGCCGACCGAAGCGTTCGGAAGCTTCTCAAGGAGTTCGCCGAGCTGGACCGAGAGATCAAGGAGGTGCAGGCTCTCGCGCTCAAGGAGGAGGAGGAGAACAACGAGGAGAACGGTGACGACGATGAAGATGACGACGATGACGACGATGACGATGAAGATTAGAAGAGTTTGCTGTTGCTGCAGGTTGTAGAGCCCGCAAAACACCAACGCCAAACTCTTCGAGAACACGAGTGCACGCAACCCAGCAGTAAAACACACAGCAAAGACCCCCGACATCTGTAGACGATAAACACAGAGCTTTTGGTTTCGGTGGTGCGGACTGCGAGGCAACTTCAAAGATCAGCAACAGGCAAACCACAACTCAAGTACAAGCAGCATGCCAAGGTCTGGCCATACAATATATTATCCGCCCCAAAACGCCTCAACACACTGGTATCTCTAGCTGGTTGACACGCTTGGCGTGGTTTGGTGACTTGCCGCTTCTCGCATGCTTAGACCCCAGGCCCGTGGCCTTGTAAAAAAAACAAATCTATTCCAGCTTGGCGCGGAGCGAGTTGCGGAAGTAGGTGTTGCCCACGCCTCCGATACCAAAGGCAGGTCCGATGCGGCCGACGCGAGCAAACACGGACTTGACGTACTCGCGCTGGACGAAGCTCACGCGCTGCGCCATGGCGTGGCCCTTGTTGTTGTACAGGTCGAGGCCCATCAGGTGCAGCGGCGTGGACAGGAACTGCACGGCCGCGGGGCACACAAGCTGCGCGAAGGTGCTGGCGTTGCCCTTCTCCATGAGGCCGTTGTCCTCGATCTTCTTGGCCAGCACCTTGGGGGCGTTGAAGGACGCGCCGCACGTCATGGAGTCGCGCACGGCGAAGAGGCCGATGGACGTGAGCGGGAAGGCGGCGGGCGCGATGACGCCGAACATGCGCGCGAAGGCGCGGTCCTTGGCGATGCAGAGCGACATGTTGACGGCCGTGGTGCCGATGAACTTGGGCATCTGGTTGTCCGCCTCGGCGTACTCGCAGACCGAGTCCACGACGTTGGCCGTCACGTACGTGGCCGTGTAGAGCCCGAAGATGAGGTGGAACTCGCGCTTGCCCACGAAGCGCAGCGGGTGCTTGAGGAACTCGACGCTCAGCTCCTTGAGCCCGCGGCCCAGCGGCCGCGCGCCGCTGGCGTTCTCGATGATGGCGCGGTCCACGATGGTGATGAAGGGCGCGACGCCCAGCGACGCGGCCATGGCGGCGACGGTGTCCGCCACGAGCTGCTTGGCCAGCGTCGCGGGGCCGGCCTGGGGCTTCTGCTGGTCGCTAGAGGTGTCCGCCATTGGGTCTGTCGTCCGCAGGATAAGAGCAAGTGGCGGTGGCTGCGCAGGGCGCGGCGAGCAGCGAGCGCTGGCTGTGCCTGTCCACGGGGCCGAACGTGAGCGTAGCTGCTCGACGGTGCTCGAAGGCGCTGGAACTGCAGTGGGCCCGGTTTGTGCATCGTGTGACGTGGTGAGGGGGATGGGCGGCACATACAAACAACAAGGCAAAGCGCAGCGAGCCCCAGCCCTCCATTTCCAGCAGCGCCGCGTCAAGCGGGACTCGAGCTCTGCGTGCGTGATGCCCGCGCCGCTGAGCAGAGCCGCCCGCCCTCGTCACCGGGGGATTTTTCCGCGCCAAAGACCAGCGAGGAGGCGAGTGAGCGCCATTCATGATGCGCCGGCGATGAATTTCATCGCCGGCGGCGGCGCAGCGGTTGAAGCGTCTCAGCTGCAGATTTGCCGCCAGACGAGCACTTCAACTTGGTCCGCTGCGAGGTGAGGACTTCAGTTGTTGTCCGCCGAGGCGTCCACGATGCAACAGCTACGTGGAGCTGTTGTAATAATGTTAACTTCGCGGAAGCAAGGCAGACGCTCGAGGTATGCCTGGCTTATCTCGATGTGGACCGCGTCGTTGGGTGGGGCGACGTGACAACTGCAGTTGCCGTGTTGAATCGTCTCTCGTGCTTCTCCCCCCGAGTCGTCCGCACGCTACATGCACGTGCCCCGCAGTGTGGCGGAGCTGCGCCGAGCAAGGCAAAATGATCGCCTGCGCGTGCATGTATCGCGTATACCTTGGAGTGCTTGGAGCGCGATACTGTAGCCAGCAAAGCAATTCTAATGATAAGTCCTTGCGAGGGTGCCCGTGTTAAACGACACATTCAGCTGGTCGACTTCATCTTCACAAGGCGTTGCTCAACCTTGGGGGCAGCAGCCGAGCAAAGGCCTGGTCGACGGCGCCTTGAAGACCGTACTGATAATGTTGACATCGTCGCGAGCGCTATCCATAATTGCAAGAGCCAACCCTCGACTTCTGCACTCAGCTTGTCCGACGTATTGCCATACTGTACCATGATCGGGCCTCTAGTATTTCGACGCTAAAGTTAACAAACGATAAGGAGGGGTCGAACGAGCAGTGGCAAAGCCAAAAGCTTGATTGTACTTGTTAAAGGGTTAATAGCGGAGGAAATTCCGATGAAAACAGCTATCCCTCGCAAACAGTGCTATCGAAGGGTGATGCATTTACATGCGCTTATGGGCGCATTTTCTTGTGTAACGAGCACTCGCCTGGTGAGCGCTCGCTAAACAAGGGAATGGGCTCGTAAACGCAGGTACTTAGTAAACGTTTTCTTCTTCTTCATGACTCTGAGAACTTGGTGTGCGCCGGATCTTGCGGGTTTACGGTGTCGGCGAGAGGCCTGCCGCAACGCAGCCAGCCATGCAGGTGCCCAGCGCGGCGTTGCAGCCGATGACCGCGGGGATCGAGCCGACGCCAGCCGTGACCGTGCCAAACACCACTCCGGCGGCGGAATAACACGCCACGGCGACAGCATTGCAGCCGGTCTGGCAGATGCCATACGCGAGGGGGCCCGCGCTAACTTCGGGCGCGGCGGCGAGTCCCAGGGCGACGAGCACAGCGGCGAGCTTCATCTTGGATTGGGGCTTGGATTGGTACTTGAGGTGTCTTCGGCGAAATCCAAAGTGAGCATTGTTGTTGTACTTAAGTAGCTGATGCTACACTGTGTAGCCGTTGCCGGGGTCTAGCCCAGCAACACCAACGCGCTGCAGAAGATGAACAGCTGCAGCAAGTAAGGACGGTTGCTCAACTGATCAAGTATGGACTGTTATGCAGACGCAGCAAGTACGGACGATTTGTGCCACCAGAGTGGTCACCTCCAAGAGCATGCATAGGACAAGAGCAGCTACTGCAAACTAAGGAACCGCTCAATACATTTCACTTCTGGAAGCGACACAACAATTGTGAAGCCTCGAGTCGAGGCCCTCCGGACCTTAATCTCAGCTTGAAGACGTCGAAGCTGCGCACGTGGTCGCTGTGCATTGGACGCGAGATGCATCGTGGGATATCCCGACTCTTGTTGAGCAAGTTGAAGAGATGATTCCAATTGTGCCCAGCGTGCTCCAAGACGGATTGAGGTCAATTGAATTCCATCATAACGTTAGGGCGAACGACCACTACTGTAAAGCAGTGAGAAGTCTGGCGTTGATTTTGTTGTTTTTAGGAATCCCTATCACGAGCTGTAGCAGCGCTGAGGCGGCTACTGGAGAAAGACGGGTCCATTCGCATGAATTTACGGGTTCATTGTCTTGGTCAACCGGAGCACTCCTGCACAGAGCGGAAACGCTCGTCAAGCAAGATAATGAACCCGTAAACGCATGTAAGTGCACTCGTCTTACCAATCGGGAGCTCTCGCGATGCTGTCAGGCCCAGCTATGGCGTCGGTGCCATGCCAGCCGCAATACAAGCTACCGAATGCAGCGTTGCAGCCGACCACAGCCGGTAGGAACAGAACTCCGGTTGACGAGTAGCAGGCGACAGCGGCGGCATTGCAGCCAGCCTGACAGAGCCCGTAGGCCAGTGGTCCCGCGTTGACTTTGGCAGTACCCACGAGCCCCAGCACAATGGGCGCGGCAACGAGTTTGTTCAGCATCTTGGCTTGAGGCTTGAGTATCGAGCTTTCTTCGGCAAAACAGGAAGTGAGCTCCGTTGGATGCTGAGCGAAACTCGGCCTGTGGTTGAAGGCATCTTTCCGAGTAAGTCGATATTGCCAACTGCCTTGAGGTACCGAAGTTTCCTGGGCTACTGCTTATAGTACAGTTGAAACCCAAGAAGTTGTATACTTTGTCAACGGGATCAAACTTTAGACATCATCCATTTCGCTTCCTGGCAGTGAAGAACGACCCACATTGTTTCCAAGCGTCACCAAGATGCTGAAGAAGCTCACTGCTGCGCTCGTAGTCCTGGGGCTTGCTGCTGCGGTCAACGCGGGCCCGGCGGCCTACGGGATCTGCCAGACTGGCTGCAATGTCCTTGCCGTGGCGTGTTATGCTGCCACTGGGGCAGTCTTCGGTACAGCCATACCGGCGATCATCAACTGCAACAAGGCTCTGGGCGTGTGCATGGCTAGTTGCGTTGCGGCTGGCTTGATACCGACGCCGTAGCTGGCAACGCTCCAAACGGGTAAGACGGATGCATTGACCTGCTTTCACGGGCTCATTCGCTTGATGAACGAGCACTCCCGCAGCGACCAAGCGAAGGAACCCGTAAAAGCATGTGACTGATCTCGCCTCCTCCAAAACCTACGTGATGATGCTGAATAGGACTCGATCGAGCGAGACGTATTTCAGTGAGTAACCACGAATCAACTTCGTTTTGCCATTGCGTTGGCTTGATTCGTGACAACATTTTTACGAAGGTGCTGTTGCAGATCACAAGCAGGCAGGGCACCATGATCCGTGAATACAACTTCAACGTGGCTACAACTGCTGCTGGATATGCATTGATGACCCGAGGTGGACCGGAGTGCGCCGCCAGAGAGACGGTGGCCAGTACAGTAACATGAAGAGGACGGGTGACCAAATCGGAGGTAGTGTCATGTTCGCAAGTGCGCCTTTTGTCTTCACTTCCCTTTCTCCCCGGCAGGCACCACTGGAGACGGGCTGGGCGTTCCTAGAGCCATGGCGCGAGACGCTCTGCAGCGCGCTAGCTCCTTCCAAGGGCCCCTTCTACACGGGCGCGCCCAACGGCGTGAGCGCCACCTTCAAGCTCTATCCAAGCAAGTACAAGGAGCCCCAGTTCCGGGTGTCCGACTGCACGCTCTGCGTCGAGTTCCCAGCCGACCAAGCGAGTCGACAAGACGGCGCTCGCCTGCAGCGGCTCCGCGAGGCCATAGAGATCTTCGACCGACTGTCGGCGGTGAACAACGCGGTGTTCGTGACGCTGCTGGCCAAGGCCATGGAGCCCGACCAGCGAGCCTGTCAGATGCCTGTCTGGCCGACGTGGAAGTGCACGCTAAGCGAGCCACTGGCACCTGACGACTCGGCTGCCATTAAGTCTTGTGTGACGTGGGCCGAGCTCTTAGGGTGCCCAGCAGACCCGTGGGAGTACTCGCCAGAGTTTCGTGATGTCATGGAGAAGCTCCAGACGAGGGGCGTCATGCACACGGGGATTCGTCACAATAAGGTGGTGACTGCGAGCTGGTTGGTGAAGATGAAGAAGCTGTGGTCAAGGGGGATCAGACACTCACGGACGAGAAGAACGCGACTCCGACGGCTGATCCGCTCGCCCGTGAGCTGGGAAAGCTGCTGGGATTGATGGCTCCCTCCATTGTCCACGTGCATTCGGTTCGTGACAGCAGTGCGCTCACGGAAACTTGGAGAGAGACCACGACGCCAATGCGAGCTGGAGCCTTGGACGACTCCACCACAGTTTGCTGCAGAGAGTTCTCGTCCCCCGAGATGCTTCAAACAGCCGCAGCGCTCTGTCAAACTAACACGAACAGTGTGTCACTGTACCTGGAGGATTCCCCCAACGGCAACAAGGCTGACTTCGCCCAGGGCGGCTCCTTCATGAGCTCGCTCGTATCTGGACGCTCGACGTGCCGATCGAACGTCGGTGCCCCTGAGCTGGAGCGAAAGGCGAGGTTGGAACATTTGGCGGTGGTGTACGAGACTGTGCACAGCTTCAGGAATGGCGCGATACTCTCAGCATTCGCTGACGCGTCCTCGATCGATCGACTCACCCTCGTCAAGGCTGCGAACGATAAGCACGACGCGTGCCTCGAGCCATTGCACTGGGGCTGGCTGGCGTATGCTCTCTGGGGCCGCACGTCAACCGTCTCAATTCCAACTCTGAGGCTGTCTCCCATGGACCTGACAGAGGAGCTCGTGTCTGCCGTTGAGGCCGCGCTACAGACCAACTACCCGCAACCACAAAGGGGCTCAGCTTCGTTGTATGGATTTGTGGACATCCTAGAAGGCACAGAGCTGCGCCCGTGTAGACGCAGTAGTCTCGCCCTAGTACTATCGCGAGACTGCCGCTGCCGAGCTTACTATGACCCTTCCAGCATGGGAAGCCAAGCGAATGTTGTCGTTCCTGGCTACGGAATCTGCCAAGTTGAACTGGAGGAAGGAACGATCGAGTTCGTGAGCGATGAAGCCTCGACTGACATCACGATGCAGGAGGCAACGGGCTCGGGCGGTGTGCGCTCACTGATCGTGGACTTTTGGCGCCTGGAGGACGACGCCTTGGTGACGCGCCTGCTACGACTAATCGGCAGGAACCTCAAGTCTCTCGCGCTTGACTTTAGTGAGACCAGCGACGACGTTGAAGTCGATTTGAGCGAGGTTGCGGTGGCTTGTCCTATGCTGAAAGAACTTCGGCTTGAAGGCTGCAATGCGTCGATCTCAACACACAACGAGGCCCTGCGTAACTGGGGGATCAAGAAGCTGGAAATCTACGAGAGCAGAGCGGTGGATGGCCTCGAGACGTTGCTGAGCGACCAGTCCTACCGAACGGCGCGGGGGCTGGTGGAGCTGGCGTTCTCTGCTCCGCCCGACAGCATGAACGAACACTTCTTTGGGTTTTCGTATCACGGGATGCCGGCCGAGGATAATAGATTGCCGCGGGAGTATGTGAGCGCGCTGATGGCCCACCGCGGGGAGCTGGTGATCAAGGAAAAGTTTCCTGTGCGGCCGAAACTGGCGATGCTGAGCCCCCCGATTCCTCTCTGAGATCGATGCAATACATGGACTCGAGCATCCTGAGCCGGATCTTTGCCTTCGCAGCGGTTCCAGCGCAGCGCTCGGTCGACAAGTATGATGCAAGGGTGCGGTGAATGACGGCCGCAACAACTGAAGTAGCGAGCTACTTACTGTTAGGTAGCATTGTATATATTTGAAGCCGTCTTACCGTACTTCACAAAGTAAGCAATTGCCAAAATTGCAAAAATGCTCTCGCTGAAAAGGTGGCCGCGAACTCAAAAAAGTGTGCGGAAAAGATCGCGCCCTTTCAGACGTTTTGCGCCGCAGAAACGAGCGGCCTTTCCGATACGTTCTCGTACTCGGCAAGTTGCTACCAGCGGCCCCCGGCAGCAGGAACAGCGATGTCCATGTTCGTGGTGGTGGGCTCCAAGGAGCCGCTGTACAAGATGGAGATGCGCGCGCGGCGGGAGGAGAGCGCGCACGTGGACGAGTTCGTGCTGCACGCGGCGCTGGACCTGGTGGACGAGCTCATGTGGACGACGCCCGCCATGGCGCTCAAGGTCGTGGACCGGTTCAACGACCAGCTCGTGTCGGCCTTCGTCACGGCCTCGGGCGTCAAGTTCCTGCTGCTGCACGAGACCCGCAACGACGACACCGTCAAGGCCTTCTTCCACGAAGTGCACGAGCTCTACGTCAAGGTGAGGGGCGCGCGCGACGGAGAAGATCCGGGGTTCGTCTGTCAAGATGCCAACTACTGCTTCTTGTTCTTCTTGTTGTCCCTACTTGTAGCTGCTGATGAACCCCTTCTACGAGCACGACACACCGATCTCCTCCGAGGTGTTCGACGCTCGAGTGAAGACACTGGCGCGAAGATACCTGTAACGCGCGAAAACCAACTCATTGACACGATGCAAACTCTTCCACGACGTGCAACAATTCAACATGAACACAATGAACACCACAGTTGGGAGTAAAGCCGACGCAGCGTGCGAGCGCGCGTCTGAAGTAGCTTCGATTATTGCAAAATAGCTCTCTGGTTCATTCCGGTTAAGTGGCGGCTGCGCGTAGCGACCGAACTTAAGCGCGCACAACCTGGCCGGCAATGCGGTCCAAGTCCTGCTGGCCGTGGCTGCTGATCTTGCGGCCACCCTTGTTCACGCCCTCAGGGCACTTCTCCACGACCTTCATCTCCTCCAGCTGGTGCAGGATGTGGCGGATGAGACCGCCCGAGGCCTTCTGGAAGTGCTGGCGGTGCACGCCCTTGCGGGCGGCGCCACCGTACACCTTCTTGAGCGAGCCCACACCAGTGTACTGGCGCAGGTACACCTTGCGCGCGATCGAGGCGGCACGGATGTAGTACCAGTCCGGGTCGGCGGGCGAGTACTCCTTGAACGAGGCCGTCTTGACCACGTCCCACCAGGCGGGCAGCTCGATCTTGCCCGAGCGCTTGAGGTGCTCGGCGTAGGCCTTGATGAAGTCAGCGGGCTTCACGTCGCGCACCGTCACACCGCGCGTCACTTCTTCCTCGTCGTAGTCAGCCATGTTGGAGTCTGTAGCGTAAAAGGGAGGGGGGGGGAATCGGGAGGAAACACGGAAGTTAAGAACACGTCTGTACCACCGCACTTCCAGGCGGGACTCAAGCCATGATAGCCGAGTCCACGTCAGTCGCGCAGGACAGTCTCGGTCTTAAGACACATCGTTATTATAAATAACGACACATTCCAAAGCTCTACGACGACTAATCCCGCGCTCTAGCACAGCAGAGGGCATGGGGGCACGTACTTGTTAGGAGAGGAACTTTGCAACAAATGCCGAGCTGTTGGCGCCGCCGTCCGGGCAGCCCCAGAAGCCCTCCGCCAGTGAAAGCTGCGCGCGGACTTTCGGCCAATAAGAACGGTTAGAGCGGCCTATTGGCGGGCCGCCAGTCGATGCGATCGGATTTGGGAGGGCACATGCCGGATCGCAGGTCGGCATGCCAGATCGTAGGTCTGGCGGTGTCCATTGGCTGGCCTGCACCGAGCGCCCTTGAACGCAGGATCAGTCGCGAATCGGAGTCCTCCGCTAAGACAGTTACGCTACTAGCTACCTACGATGTTGGTTCTGTTCGAGACGGCCGCGGGCCACGCGCTGTTCAAGGTGCAGGATGAGGCCAAGCTGGCCAACGCCGACGACGTGTTCAAGCACTTCGCCACGCCCGAGAAGGCGGCCAAGGTGCTGAAGCTCAAGGGCTTCAATGCCTTCAAGGACACGACCGAGGCCGTGGCCGCCGCCACCGACATGGTGGACGGCAAGATGGGCAAGACGCTCAAGAAGTTCCTCAAGAAGAACGTGGTGGACGCCGGCCTCAAGGACAAGCTGGCCGTGTCGGACAAGGCGCTCGGCTCGCTCATCAAGGACAAGCTCAGCATCTCGTGCGTCAACGACAGCGCCGTGAACGAGGTCATGCGCGGCATCCGCGCCAACATGGACACGCTCATCACGGGCCTGGAGGACGACGACCTCAAGGCCATGACGCTCGGCCTGTCGCACTCGCTCTCGCGCTACAAACTCAAGTTCAGCGCCGACAAGGTGGACACGATGATCGTGCAGGCCATCGGTCTGCTGGACGAGCTGGACAAGGAGATCAACACGTACTCGATGCGCGTGCGCGAGTGGTTCGGCTGGCACTTCCCCGAGATGGGCAAGATCGTCACGGACAACCTGCAGTACGCCAAGTGCGTGCTCAAGATGGGCGTGCGCTCCAAGGTCAAGAGCCTCGACTTCTCGGACATCCTGTCGGAGGACGTGGAGGCCTCCATGCGCGAGGTGTGCGAGGTGTCCATGGGCACGGACATCTCGGAGGAGGACGTGACCAACATCTCGGCCCTGTGTGAGCAGGTCATCTCCCTCACGGAGTACCGCGCGCAGCTCTTCGACTACCTCAAGAACCGCATGAACGCCATCGCCCCCAACCTCACGGTCATGGTGGGCGAGCTCGTGGGCGCTCGTCTCATCGCCCACGCCGGCAGCCTCATGAACCTGGCCAAGCACCCGGCCTCGACTGTGCAGATCCTCGGTGCCGAGAAGGCGCTGTTCCGTGCTCTCAAGACCAAGCACGACACCCCCAAGTACGGTCTCATCTACCACGCCTCGCTGATCGGCCAGACCGCCCCCAAGCACAAGGGTAAGATCTCGCGTGTGCTGGCTGCCAAGACGGCGCTGGCCGTGCGCGTGGACGCCCTGGGCGACGCCACGGAGGCCACCATCGGCTTCGACAACCGCGCCAAGGTGGAGGCCCGCGTGCGGCAGCTGGAGAACGGCTTCTCGGGCATCCCCAACAGCAACGGCAAGACCAAGAACGAGGCCAAGAAGTACGTCAAGACGGAGACCAGCAAGTCGTACAATGCCGACGCCGACATGACCGTGTCCAGCAGCAAGAAGCGCAAGGCCGAGGACGCCGACGAGGAGGAGGAGCCCAAGGTCAAGAAGGAGAAGAAGGAAAAGAAGGAGAAAAAGGAGAAAAAGGAGAAGAAGGAGAAGAAGGAGAAGAAGCACAAGAAGAAGAAGAGCGCCGAGGAATAGACGCACCAGGCATGCAGGTGACCGGGCGGATGTCCCGGTCGGTTCTTGTAGCTAGACAGACACGACTGTAGCTGGGTCGCCTGGTCGCTTGCCTTGCCCCCTCGCTCTTTATTGTTTCTTCTAAGGGCAGCCGCGAGGCCCCTAGTAACTTTAACATTTGCTTTCCATTTTCATTCCCACAACCGAGTTGAAGCTCATCATCTCATGGTCTCCGGTATCTTTCGGCCGACACTTGCACTCAGTATAGAAGAGTCGCAGCGCAGCACAAGTCCGACAGCCAAGAGAGTGCATGAGCGAGCCTGAACAACCCGAAAGCAGCAGCAAGCCCATGGATCGCTGGCTGGAGGTGCGCGGCAAGGTGCAGAACGTCATGTTCCGCCAGACGGTCATCCGCGCCATGCAGAAGCGCGGCCTTGAGGGCGGCGCCACCAACGACCGCCAGGACCGGAACCTGGTGCGGATGACGCTGCGCGGAGACCCGGAGCGCGTCGAGGGCCTCGTGGCGGCGCTGCGGGAGGGAAAGCCCATCAACGACTGGGGCGCCAGAGCCACCAGCGTCGAGGACGTGGACGCCGAGCGCGGCTTGGCGCTGGAGGCGCATCAAGTGACCACCGCCACCGTGGACAACCACCGCTGGAACCCCAACTGCACCATGTTCCTGTAGTGTACAGCAGCAGGAGATGAAGACGAGGGAGAGCAGAGAGGCAAACTAGTCTATATATGCGTTAGTACTGCACGAAACCAGAGCCGCGTTGTGTCCGTTGACTTGACTAGAGCTGGGGCTGTGAACTCCGTCGCAGCTAATCGTCGTCGCTGTCGTCTGCGTTCGTCTGGCCGCCGCCCAGCATTCCTGCCAGCAGCGAGGACGGGTCCGTCGAGCCCATCTCCTCCTGCGCCTTCTTCATCTCCTCCGGGTCTGCACACAACAGCAAGAAACAACCGTCAGTCTTCTCTCCTTCCTTTTAGGCCCCCAGATCTTCCTCCAGCCTCGCACTCACCCATTCCCTCGGACAGCTTGGGCAGCAGGTACAGCAGACCAATGGGCACGATGATGGTGAGGAAGGACGGGCTCATGATCATGCCCAGCAGGTTGAACTTCTCGCGCTGCTCGAAGTAGTCGAGCTCCTTGACGGCCTCCGCCACGAGCGGGTAGCTGGCGCGCGCCTTGGGGGCGCCCGGGTACTTGTACTCGAGCGCGCGGATGAGGCCGTCGGCGCCCACGTCCACCTTGTACTGGCTGAAGAGGAACTGCGTGGACGGGATGTCGACCACGTAGCGGCCCGGGCCCACGTCGCGGAACAGGAAGGAGCCGTCCGAGCGCACGAAGACCGTCTGCTCGCCGCCGTTGAGCTGAACCTTGAGCGGCTCCACCTGCTCCGTCACGGAGCCCAGAGGGTACACGGTGCCGCTGATCTCGAACGCCTGCACGCACGCCGCCAGCAGCAGCGCCAGCAGCGCGCACAGCCTCGCGGTCGACATCGTCATCGTCGATACAAGAGTGAAGAGGGGAGGGCCGTTATGGGCGTGGTGTGGTGCACACACTCCTCCCTTCATGAACCTGTGACAGATGATACTTTACCTGTCTAACGTAATGCTGAAGCGACGCGCAGGTGAGTCAGGACCCGCGACAACTGGGCCAGGAACTGCTCCGTGCCACTCGTGGGAGGGGTTGGACGGCTTCCGTCGTGCATACGCTGCTGTAGGTCTTCCAGTCGCTGCTGGGTGCGTCGCCAGCTCTCGTGCACGAGTGTGTTGGCTGCAGGTGTGGACGCGCACTGGGGGCGGAGCAGCATGAGGATGTTCCACAGCGCGTTGGCTGCAGCGGTGAACGCTAGCCAGCTCCAGCCCCGACCGTGACGAAGCTCGACACTGAGCAGGACCATCACGTCGACCAGCAACTCCATCCACAGCAAGTCCAGTTGGCGCTGGGCAGCACGCTGTTTTGGGCGGCGTGGCTGGAGATTCTTCAAGCGGCAATAAGACGTCAGGTTGGCGTACACTTCCAGCACGACGTATAATAATGGGAGTTTGGTCGAGTGAGAGCTCGCACGGATGATGAGGTTGTACATGGAGATCAGGATTGGTGTCTTCAAGCACCTTGCGCAGCAACTTGGTGTCGCAGCTGTTCTGCTTCGGATCATAGCGATAGCGGGTGCAACATCGTCGAGCGTTTGGGAATGATGCACCACATCCAGCGCTTCATCGAGCTGTCTGATAGGCAGACACTCTCGCCGAAGCAACAGCGTCTTCCACCATCGACGAATGCAGGAAGCAGCGACACACTCCTTATCGCCGTACACTCTTGGAACAGCGGTCTCTCCGTCCAGCATTATCACATCCTCCACCACGACCATGGAAATAGTGCTGCGCACAACTGCTCCGTTCTCAGGGTCGAGGTCTTCCATGAGTACCATAGCGACGTACCCTCCAGGTGTTGTGCTGCTAGCAGCAGGTGCGCCAATACTTGCGGCGCCTGAAAACGTCGAGTTGAATGAACCTGGAGCTGGCGTGAGCACCCGTTCATTGGGGAAGTCCGGCCTAGTCGTACTCGGCGAGTCCGTGCTCTTGAGCTTGTTGGATGCACCGAAGCCCAGGTGAAATTGTGCGTTGACCGAATTTCCCTTGCGAGTCGGCCACAATTGCTGTAGGCTGCAGCCGAGCGAAATCGTGAGCAAGAAGGAGAAGCGCATGCTTTCGTGCTTGAGTGTGTTTTGGTAAATGCTGCTGTGTTGCCTGCGGGTGACAATGGTGTCTGTTCGTACGTTTACCTTCAATATGGTGGGCGCAAGACATGCAAAGGCATCGCTACGTCGAGACTCCAACCGCAACTTGCAACGAATCGATGTCAACTTCGATCTCGCTCCGAACAGGCCAAGTTGATCGGCTCAAGCTTAAGGTAAGATTGCAACACTGTCGTTGCTTGGGTATCCTGGATATTGACAAAGCTATTTACCGGTATATGGTTGACCGAAGACCCAGCGACTTACTTATAAGTACGAACACCCCAAGCAAAACTGCCAGAAGCAAAACTGCCAGATAGAGACGCAGTCACAATCAACCGTGATGGGAAAAATTGCATGCCGTGTTGGTCGACGTCCCCCAAGATGCGGCATCAACTTGACAATGGCATCTAAGATGCCATTGTCATGTTGAAGTGTAGCATCTGTTGAGAAGATGAAGTTTGGGTCTGGTACCTAAGACGTTGTGGTACCTACAGTATCGGTATCTAAACGCGAGTTCATCGCGTTTAGCGCGGGTCCACGCTACGAGGACCATTGGATTTTGCTCGAGTCGTCGCTGGACAACCTTAGGTTATCTCAGGCGATCGAAAGATCGCTCTCTTCTCTTGATGACAGTCTTGATTTAGCAGCAGAGTGCTCGCAGGATGGAGCTGACGCATCGCGCGTGCAGGGTACTATTCGCATTGCTTGGATTCTTGCATGGGGCGTTTGTGCAGGCTGTTCACCAGGCCGCGGCCCAGGCCGAGTCGTTCGGATTCGTTGCGCTTAACACGAGTGCCAGTAGCAAGTGCGCTGCAGGGCCGCTGAACGTGTGGTTTACATTTCGGCGTGCTTCGAGCTGAGCGAAGTTGTGGCGATCCACACGTGGATCAGCTCTTCCGTTCGCGGCTCTATTCCTCCCTACTACGTCGACGGCGTCCCCGTTTCCGTCAAATACTACGCGCGACTGGGGAACCCCGTGGCTCCAACCGACTGCGACGTCGGCACAACCAAGCTGGACGCGGCGACATTCCAGAGCGGAATCAAAGGGATGACTTCGGACAACCCTGCAGCGCCCCTTGCCAGTCCAGAAGCGATCATCAGGTTCGTCAAGGACAATGGGAAGTTGGCTACGGTTGCGTCTGCAAGTGCGTTTTACTCGGTGCAGTTCCATGTATATGACTGGTCCTGCGCAATGCTCGCGACGGACAAAGTCCTCTCCACTCTGGGCGATCTCAAGGGGCTCGACGCGACTTCTATCGCTCGCTATCTCCCCTGCTATCGGATCTCAGGCGCGGTCGGCGTCTCGTACGTGGACACGAACAACAAGCAGCAGTGCGCGTGCGTGCGCCCGGTTGGTACGGCGCTTAATGGCGCGTCTTGCACAGCCTTGGCATCATCAAACGAAGGAGGGGGCAAGTGCTTGTGGAACACCAGCCGACCGAGCGGCTACACATGCCCCTGGACCAATGCAAGTGCGTCCGCACTCAAGTTGATCAGCGACTGCAAAGTCGACGTCCTTGTGCCTAGCGACAACTACGGTCGAGTCAACAAGTACGACAACCTCGCCGTCCCGTTGGACCCCAAGATTGAACTCACGTCTCGCATCGAGGGCCGTGTCCATCCTCGACACCTGGCAGCAGTTCCTGCTTCAGCCTCAACTTGAAGTGGACGGCATCGAATTCCGCAGCTTCGGAGTGTACAATGTGACCATGAGCGCCACCGACAACTATAGCGAGGCCACTTGCGATTGGATGCGTCGCCGTTGTCGACACGTACCCTCTGCATGCGGTGCAGCCCTGTGCGACTGCAACGTGGGGGTCGAAGGCAACAGATCCGACGGCCTTGACGTTGCTGGATCTGCAGACGGCGGTGAGCAAGGAGGCGAGCTTCTTGTCATTTTCAAGCGCCAAAAACGTCGTGAACAACGGACCAAGTGAGCGCGTCGATATCGTCACGCGGACGATGAAGGACTGGGTAGAAGCGTCCTATGTCGCGATGACTTCAGCCTCGTCCGCGTGCTTCCACGACTACGTGGTTCGTCACTTGCTGGAACAGCTAGTGTTGACTCAGAGCCCATTAATGCTGAGCTCTACCGCTCTCAGCAGCCTGCAATGCATGCGGTGCTGCTCCAAGCAGACAACGCTGCGTGAATACTACTACGACTACACGTGCGGCGCGTCCAGCGGGCCACCGTCCAAGCTGATCTCTGGGAACGAGACGTGCGCGTTCAACCACTGCCTGCGTCTTACGGGGTCAGCGCCGGTGCAGGTGTCGGCCTCGCCCACTGCTAATGTGATGACCCCAACCGACCCGATGACTATCAGCCGCAGCTCGCCGTGCCCCGTACTAAGCAGCACTTGCTCGAATGCAGCTACACTATCGAGTCTTGTGAACACAAGCGAAGCCTGGAGTTCTGCATTACCGAACCAGAACGCCTACGTTGCTGGGTATAACGTCTCCGCGTACGTGTTCTGGTGCTACAAGAAGGGGACCGACGACTGGGTGTTATGGGACGACTCGGCTGTGCTCGAGTTTACTTCTGCTTCGACGGCGCTGGTTGTCCAGGCTTGGACGCGCTGCAGGATGGTTCGACAGTTTGACTTCAAGGTTGCGGTGTCTCTGTTGCTCACTGCCATCCCATCCAGTACGGCCAGCCGAACTCCAGCAACAATCAGCCTCAACGGTACGCTACTAGATCTCTCCAAGATGCCTGCGAGTTGCCTGAGCAACGAGATGATGACGGGATTCAAGTTTTCCAGTTCAAACGGCGCGAACGCAGCTTACACGTCGCAGTGCGCGGCCGTCACGGGTCTAACCAGTGGTGGACTCACCACCAAGACCACAAGCTGGAGCGCTCTGTTGACGAGCGAGTTCTACTATTAATATATCTACAAGCTCACCGCCCACCTGATGGACTGCGGGACGGCGGCCATCAACTCCTTCAAGCTCGAGACCAAGTACGAGAGTGCCTCACACTTCACTCGCTACAGCTACACGTGCTCAAGCCCGCTGAGTCCGATACTTAAGTATCATGCCACCGCAGCATCGAGTCGAATAAGGCCATACACGGAACTTCTGCCAACTATCTCGACCGCCAGACCGTAGCGTGTCCGGCGGACTCGTATCTGGCCAAGACGCAGATTCTCAACGACACGAACAACGTCAATATCTGGTACCGATCCACGTGCTGCTACTACCAACGGGCCAACGTGACCCGCACCTCGTACGGCACCATGGTGCCAGTGTCTGTCGCTGGGATGGTCACGTTGCCGGTGTCGTGCTTGGCCGGAGGGGGGATGAACGGCTTCAGGCTTGACTATTTCTCTGCGAGCTACAGTGTCAGTTGTCTGGCCGATCCGAGACTGCTGCCGGGGCCGCAGCTCTACACGAACTGGGTGTCGAACAACGGCTCGATCTTCTCTCTGGTCAACCACGTCATGCAACAGAGCACTGGGCAGTTACCAGCTTGAGGCACAAGACAGCATGCACCGGTACAGCTACTCGTGCACCAAGTTCTGATCACCTTTGACGGTGTGTACACAGAGCTTGATGGCGAGCAGTGGATTTACGGGCAACGCGACGGACAGTCTCGACACAACGTACGCGCAATGTGCAAGTGGTTATGTGTTGACAAAGGTGCAGCTTCAAATGCAGCCACTCGGGACGTTTGCCTACAGCCCGTACTACGCGATAACCTGCTGCCAGTGTCCATGACCTTGAGGTGCGCAGCGTAGACCCCGGATACTGTTGGTTTGGTCAAGTGTTGTAAAAGTTTAGAGTCCCAAGTGAACTTTTCGAAGGTGATACGTGATGCCAACAGCATATTCCCTGACAAATTCAAATGGCAGCAGTAGCTTTGGTGTAAACAGACGATAGAATGGCTATCTCGAACGAGTCTCCAGGCGTATCTCGGGGACTGACATCGACGAATTCGTCTGCTAAGAAAGCCGGTTGACGTCAACTCCTTGATAGATCTATTGTGCCTTTCGGTCATTTTGCCGAGTCCTACGTAGGACTTTGGAGGTCAGTTAATCTGAGGTTGGTGGTCTCTAAATCTGAGATGCATATCTCGGACGAGTCCGATGACTGGTCTCCTGGAGTCTCTCCGTTCAATGAACTCCGGTTGGAGTCCAAGTCAAGTAATCGCTGTTTGGGGAAGCCGCGAAGGCGAAAGGCGACGACTGGAGTGTTTAACGTATCGACTGCATCGTGTTTTCATAGGTTTATTCTGCGTTTGACATACACCGTATTAGAGTCAGCTCGTATGAAAGTCCTGCCACAAGACTAGGTAGGAGTCGTTCGTAAGACCTCAAACCCCGAATGCCGTAAAAATGGGCGACATTCGGGCTTTCGGCTGTTTGTAGGACCTGCGCAAGTGCTTCCATCGGACTAGCCATTCTTTGTCCTAATTACCTACGAGGGACCTGATAATCTACTCCGATAACCTAGCCCCATCTTAGTAGGTAGCTGTTTTACACGTCCGATTTGCCAAAACAACCGAAAAGCACAATACTACATGAGATCCTAGTAAGGCAGAATGACCGAACAAAGCATCGTATGAAAACCCAGCGACAGCAGGTAGCTATAGAGCTCTACCTGGCAGGTATCCGGGTATATAGTACCCACACGGCAACTCGATGACAACGAGTCGTTGTCGGTCCCGCTAGCTTCGCCATTCGTCTCAGCTCCGCAGTCAACCATAACTTCTTTTTTCCAGATCGGCCTCAACTAACGTATTCGATCGTCATGTAAATGAAGTGAGTGAAATTCCAAGTTTGGAGCACGAATCTCCACTAACTCATTTGATAACGTCTCGCATGTATCCAGGTTACCTTCTGTTCTGTCATCCGTTCAGCTTGCGATCAAGACAAACACACGGTGTTTACCAGCAGGGTGTTGGTACTCTCCATACCGACAAAGCTCGGCAGTCACCATGACTTCGAGTCACTAGCAAACTTCCCCACTTCCGATCAAGTCAAGACCAACATGCTGCCCAATCGAGTATCCTCGCTTCTGTTGTTGGTTCTTGCCCTGGCAAGCTGCTTCACCTGCGACGCCTCCGTCGTCAGTGGCACCCCACCAAGTTTTGCTGCGGGCACAACGGGCGGTGGCAACTCCAAACCCGTGTATCCAACCTCCATCAAGGAGCTCGCCGCTGCTCTCAGTGACAACCTACCCCGTGTTATCGTCCTCAAGCAAGGCTTCCGCTTCGCCAACACTGAGGGCTCCAAGACGGAGAAAGGCTGTCGTCAGAAGAACAATATCGACTGCCTCGCCAAGAAGAACGGGTTCCTAGGCCAAGACTCGATCCAGCCGAGCTTCAGTTCATGTGACGGAACCGCGGTCACTGTGACGTATGACAAGGCAGCGCTCAACCCGCTCGTCGTCGGCAGCAACAAGACGCTCGTGGGCGAAGGCTCCAAGGGCGTTCTCAACGGCAAGGGCCTTATGATCACCGGCAGCAACGTCATCATTCAAAACATCCACATCACCAACTTAAACCCTCACCTGGTGTGGGGCGGCGACGCTATCACCATCCGTGGAGCCGGCAACACTGCGCCCAAGGGCATTTGGATCGACCACGTGAAGATCTCGAGCATTGGGCGCCAAATGGTCGTTATCAACTTCTCGGGAGCCACGGGCGTCACCATCAGTAACTCGGACTTCGACGGCCGCACCAAGTACTCGACGTCGTGTGACGGCCGTCACTACTGGGGGTTCCTGCTCTTGGGCAAGAAGACGGAGCTGAGCTTGATCGGCAACTACATTCACCACACGTCGGGTCGGTCGCCCAAGGTCGGGGGCACCAACGGGGAGACCTCCGTCGTCTACGCCGCCAACAACTACTTCTTCGAGAACTCTGGTCACGCATTTGACGTGTCAACCGGTGGTTATGCGCTGGCTGAGGGCAACTATTTTGGTTCGGTGAAGTTGTCCAGTGGCAACGATGCGAAGGGCAATTTCCTGGTCCCTACTGCGCCCGGCGACTGCAGGGCGGCCATCGGCCGCGACTGCAAGCTCAACGTTCTCGCCAACAGCGGCGCGCTGAAGGGAACCTCGCAAGGCAAAGTGGCTTCAAAGCTCGCAAGTGTCAAGGCGATGATTAAGCAGTTCAAGGTGGCGTCGGCTGCCAAGTTGTCGGTGGGGTCCAGAAACTTTGGTGTTGGCGGTCTTGGCAACGACGCTGCTTAATCAGGTGATGAGGAGGAGGATCCGGCTCAATCTGTCGTGCAGACGGTCGTGAAGCACAAGGGCGCAGGCAAAGGCAAGTGATCGTTTGTCCAGTACAACATGTTCAATGAGTAGTAGCTCTTACGAACAATTCGAACAAATGCATCGTACGTAAGTTGCGAATGATGCATTTGCTCGAATTGCTCTTACGGTGGTAAGAATCAGTAAGATTGTTATTGTATGCATGCTACGTAGTGCTCAACGGCTTTTCAGTGGATTTCCCGGCGCTGAGTTGTTAGCATTGGTTTGATTTTCTTGGGTTCAGAACCGTAAGTCACGAGCTATGAATTCAAGTTCGTATCATGTGGATGCACGAGATGGTCGAGATGGTCGATCCTTTATTTTGTCCTTGATTTGGAGCCACGACACGCTCCTCGTGCGCAGCTTCGTGATGGACATCCTATCACACCCAGTTTGACCGTTTGGAGTGCAATACCAATGTACCAGTACTGTAGGAAGTATGAGGCTTTCGTTTATGTGCATGGATCAAGTATTTGCGAAGTACAAATCCACGGGTGGGGTACCTCTGTCGGCAAGCGTTATCGATCTGAGAGCTCATGAGGCCAACATCATTGTTTACTGCCACCCATGCTCGAACCCGTGTGGTAGCTTCAATCGGAAAACTTCTTCGCGCCAGCTTTGTCTGGTAATATGAAGCCACTGATTTCTTAAGTGTGAATGCCATATATTCCCTACAGCTTCTACCTGGTAACATTCGAAGTTGGTTGCTTCACTGAACCTTGCCACGTCCGTTACCTTCCCCAGCCACACTAGGGATAAGTTACTTTTTCGTTACCTTGTGCAGAAGTCGTGCGAGTGGCTGTATACTAGGTTCAACAACCCCCCAACTCTTTTCACTCTCACTTTTACCTGTTAATCAACAGACCGCACCCTCCTACATAACTTCAGGCAGGCAGGAATTCAACCAGCAAAACCCTGCAGCCATGTCGGAGCTGCATCGCTTCTGGAGCCTCTACGCGGACTCATCGTGCGGTGGAGTACCAACCGGTGTCTTCATGCGAGCGCTGAGTGACTGTGCTTCCCAGGTCGCAGCCAACGGAGCAACGTGCACGGCCAAGACGGACGCCGGCGATAACGTCATCGGTTATGTGAACGAAAGCTGCCACGAAGGCCGCATCGCTGGACTCGACGCTCTCTACGGTAACAAGTCGTACATAGCGTATGACTACTACACGGATGACGACTGCTCTCGATATGAGAACTCGGTTGCCTACCAAGCCAGCACAAGCTGCGAGACTGTCGTAGACAGCTACGGCCACGTGAGGAGCGCTCGAATGGCGGTATCGGGCGAGAGGTTGGTGTTGACCCAAAACGTTGGGCCTGTGGACAAGGCGCTCAACTGCCCGGGCTCGACCGGGCCCGATTACAACCAACTCAATGTCCTAGTAGCCGAGATCAACCACAACGTGTGCGAGAGCAACTTAAAGAGCATCGACGGCGGGTTTATCTTCTACAACACGACTGCCACCGCTACCGCACTGTCATCGTCTGGCTCGAGTACGGATATCGGGGATTGGAGCAGCTCCGGTACAAATGACTCGTCATTTCCTGGGGATGGTCTCGCTGTGGGCCCCATCGCGGGCACAGCTGGAGGCGCCACAGTGCTCGTCATTGCCCTGGCGTGTTGCTGCTGGAGGCGAGGCCGAAAAGATAGCACAACCTCATTGCAAGACCCGCTGATCGGCAAGGGAAACAGCTCGACTGCGGCGTTCCCCACCGATTCGGATCTGGGACTCCTTTGGAACGACGACGCCATTGTCGCCCACCGGGTTCCTCGGGACCAAGTGCGTGTGGACGGCCTCATTTCTCGGGGCGGCTTCGGTGAAGTCTTTCGAGGGTCGTACAACCAGCACGCGGTGGCTGTCAAGATGCTGCTGGCAGACACGCGAAGCGACCTCAAGAAGGTGAATTTGCTGCTGGAAGAGGCCAAACTCATGGTGAGTCTCAGCCACCCGCACATTGTGCGATTCGTGGGCGTTTCCTGGGGTTCACTGGCTGATCTTTGCGTGCTGTCGGAGCTGATGGAGGGCGGAGATCTCCAGTCGTTGCTAAAGGATCTCGACGCACGAGGACACGCGCAGGGCTTCGACTACGACAAAGTCCTTATCGCGTACCATACTGCCCAAGCGTTGATGTACCTGCACTCGCTCTCGCCCATCGTGATCCACCGCGACTTGAAGTCCAAGAACGTGCTTCTGTCCAAGGACCTGGAGGCGAAACTCGCCGACTTTGGAGCCTCACGAGAGCGACAGGAGCACACGATGACTGCGGGTGTCGGCACGCTGCTGTGGATGGCCCCAGAGGTGATGCTGGCCGAGCGGTACACGGAGAAGGCGGACATTTTTTCGTTCGGAGTGCTCCTGTCAGAGCTGGACACGCAGAAGCTGCCGTACGCCTCAGAGACTGGGAAAAAGATGCCGGACGCAGTGCTCATGCAAAAGGTGGCGTTGGGCACCCTGCAAGTGGCGTTCTCACCCTGTTGCCTCTCTTCGCTGGCTCAGTTGGGCAGGGAATGCGTGGAGCTTGATCCGAGCGCTCGACCATCAGCTCCGACGGTGGGTTTCCGGCTGCACACTGTCATGAGGACGGAATTCGCTAGTGTGCACGATCAACCAGGTAGAAGATAACAACAACATACTCGTGCTTTGCCTACCTCGTCTCAAAGCGAAGTCATCGAGGGAACTCCTCCGTCGAGATCTGATGCCATTTGGTAGTTTTCAGCCATGGCGCTGAGGCTCGTGGACGACGACCTGGTGCTGGAGGCCGCGCTCTCGCTCTTGGAGCAGCCCGACGGTGACAGCACGCAGCGAACCTCGACCGACAGCCCTCAACGCCAGAACAACAAGAAGAAGCGCAAGAGCAGCTCGAATCGAGCGCGGGAGGCTCAGTACCAGGAGCTGCTGGCGTTGCGTGAGCAGGTTCCGCGACTGGAGAAACACTTGGCCGAGCTGCAGGAGCAGGCTCAGCACAAGAGCTCGCCGATGCTGGACTTGTGGAGGAAGCTGGCGACGGTCGAGCGTCAGAGTCGAGCGAACGCCGAGGACGAGAACCGCCGACTGCGCGCGTTGGTGCGTGAGAACGCCGACGCAACAGCCCAAAGCGTGCACCAACTGCTGCAGACTAATACCTGCAGACAGGAGCATAGCGGTAGCGAGGCGGACGCTTGGCCTCCAGAGCGGTGGCCCTACCGACACGTGTACGCTGTGCCAGTGGATCCGTCTGATGGGAACCTGATCCAAGAGATGGCGACGAGTGTCGACGCGGTGTACCGCCAAGTGCTTCAAGTGTACAGCCCCGAGTCCGTTCAAGGGACCAGTGAGTGCCCTGCGACTCGGTTCCAGTCGGTGGGGAACGCCCACCGCCGCCGCTTCGCCGACAAAGAGCTGCCGTTTGACGTCGACTCAGTCGCCGACGCCGCGTGGCAGTTCTTCGCGCACTCCTCCCGACGCCCCACCACGCGGTTCTACTACCACCCGGACGCGCACCAGGCTGCGGGGCTCGTGAGCGACGACACGGTCGTCGAGATCTTCGGCGAGGAGCATCGCTTCGGCCACGTGCTGCTCGACATCAAGATCAAGCAGATCGTGCGGCGCTACGTGGCAGCCGACCGCGTGGTGGTGGCCTGGCGGGCGCTGCTGAGCCCGGACAAGTTCAAGACGGAGACGCTGAGCGACGTCGTGTACGAGGAGAAGGGCGCGCTCGTGATCGAGCCCTGCCCAAGCCTCGGTGGAGGAGCAGCAGCGTCCGTCGTTCACACGTGGCAGATGATCACTCCGGACATCGCGGCGGCCTCGCTCCTCCAGAGCGAAGTGGTGCAGGAGCTCACGCAGTTCGTTCTCAATAGCTGCAGACCCGGACGCGCCATCCAGAGCATGGAGAGGACTCTGCGAGCGCATTGACAATTGGCATTGACGGCACGAAGGTTCATGGCAAAGCGTACAGTATACGCAAGTTCTCATTTACGGTCTCCTTGCAACAAGCTCCATCTTCCATCTTCGCCCGAATGACGTGGCCTGCTTCAACCACGAGCAGGTTTTGGCTTAACGCCCGCCGGGTCTATGTAGGCTATCCGATTCCTCCCTTGAAGCCGCCCGCCCGCTGCTTCAGTCCGCGATCTGCCGACGTACGCACACCCACTCCAAGCTCCACGCTCCTGAGTTGAGACCATGACGCTGCTCTTCGCCGAGGGCTCCAAGACCACGGAGCTGTCGGACGCGCGGCTGCGCGAGATCGTGCGCGAGACGCTGCAGAAGCTCGAGACGCAGCGCGGCGCCAAGTTCGAGCGCGCGGTGATCGTGCCCCCGGACTTCACGCGCTTCCACTCGTACGCACTGCACCGCACTGCATTGCCATTACTGCTACATAGGAGCATTGGTCACTAACTGGTTGGCTTCTTCTCTGTGACTTACAGGAAGTCGGGGGTGCTGTCGCAGTATGCGTACGAGTATCTGCAGGACAAGGTGACGGACGTGTTGCCGGCGCTGGGGACGCACGACGCCATGACGGACGAGGAGATCACCAAGGTACCGACTGAGCAGGGCTTAGAGGTATGAACAAGGGTGCACCTAACGCATTGGTTATCATGTTGTGGTAGATGTTCGGTGACATTCCCAAGGACGTCTTCCGTGTGCACGACTGGAGGTGCGTTGCGTGCCAGCATTGCTTGGAATGGATTGTGGGGCTGACTTCGCTGTGATTTTGTGTAGGAACGACGTCGTGACCATCGGCCAGGTGCCTGCCGATCTCATCCGTGAGGCGAGCGATGGCAAAGTGAATGAGCCGTGGCCGGCGCAGATCAACAAGCTGGTAGGTCTCTTTTGGTTGTTGGAAGTCAAACGGTTGAGTGGGGTGGAGTGGTGACAATGTGCTTTGTGTTGTGCTGGTTGTGTAGCTGTGGGAAGGTGGCCACGACCTGGTGCTCTCGATCGGTCAGGTCGTGCCTCACGAGGTCATGGGCATGGCCAACTACAACAAGAACATCTTCGTCGGCACGGGCGGCAGTGAAGGCATCAACTTCTCGCACTTCATCGGCGCCGTGTACGGCATGGAGCGCATGATGGGGCGAGCGGACAACCCGCTGCGCCGGATCCTCAACTACGCGTCCACCAACTTCCTGCAGAAGCTGCCCCTCATCTACATCCAGACGGTCATCGGACGCGGGTGCGTTGCCTTGTCTTGTCTTAAACTATTCAACCTCTAAACGCTGCGTGTTTGCTTGTTGCAGAGAGAACGGAGACCTCGTGACGCGCGGCGTGTTCATCGGAGATGACGAGGAGTGCTTCATGAAGGCTGCCGAGCTGTCGCTGGAGGTGAACTTCGAGCTCCTGGACGCGCCTATCGACAAGGTGGTCGTGTACCTCGACCCGGAGGAGTTCAAGTCCACGTGGCTGGGCAACAAGTCCATCTACCGCACGCGCATGGCGATTGCAGACGACGGTGAACTGATCGTGCTTGCCCCCGGCGTGGCGCGCTTCGGCGAGGACAAGCGGATCGACGAGCTCATCCGCAAGTACGGCTACCGCACGACTCCGGTACGACTTCAGCTTCAACGTACTGTATGCTGTCTCCCTCGTTGTGCTAACAGTGTGATGGTTTACAGGAAGTGCTGGCTCACCTGAACGCCAACCGGGACCTGATGAAGAACCTGAGTGCCGCTGCGCACTTGATCCACGGCTCGTCCGAGGGCCGCTTCCGCATCACGTACTGCCCCGGTCACCTCACCAAGGAGGAGGTGGAAGGCGTCGGCTTCGGCTTCGGCGACCTGAAGGAGATGAGTGCCAAGTACCCGATCGACAAGCTGCAGGACGGCTGGAACGTCGACGCCAACGGCGAGAAGTTCTTCTATATCTCCAACCCGGCGCTGGGTCTCTGGGCGTACCGAGGACGCTTCGAAGGCTCGTCGCAGCCCGCAAGCAGTGCGCCCTCAACTGCCGCCACCACCACCAGCCTCTCAGCTGCCGCCGACACGACTGAAGCCTGCCTCGACGCCGGCGTGGGCGGTGGCCCCTTCAAGCACACCTAAATTTCAAGTGTACTGTAGTGCATCCGTCAGTCAGAAATCCAGCTCAGGCCCTGAATAAACTTGTCCCTGTCAGCATAACGACGTGAAAGCTTGTTTGCACCAGCCTCATGACGACGCTGCAAAAGGGGGCGCAATTTGGTGGTGAGTTGTATTGTGATTTCCTTCCTCTCTTCCCTCGTCCTCCTCCCTCTTTGTGTTTGCTTCTTGATTTGGGCCGTGGAAGCTCGGAGGCCTCGGGACTTCTTTGATCTAAAGGCCGCGAGAGCACTTCCCTGCTTCCTTCCAACTAGGATCGACTGGTCCCTAGGCGTGTGTTGCAGTTGCCTAGTTCTGCTTATAGTAAATCAGCAAAAAAATAGTTTCGTCAGGTTAGCACTTCCCACGGTTAACACCACCTAACCAGATAAGTGTTGCCTAGAGCCAAAGCCGCACGCACCTCCGCCTCCTGGTTGTAGCCCTTGTACTGTCGCCAGCACTGCTCCAGCGCGGCCTGCTCCTTCCGCGTCTCGTCGATCCGGTGCCAGTTCTTCTTGAGCGCCTTCTTGTACGCCGAGTACGTCTCGCCGCAGTTGGCCTCCACCTCGCGCAGCCTGGAAAATAAGTCCGAAAATAAGAAAACGGTTTAGCACTAGCTTAACCTTCATCTCTATCTGTCTCTAAACATTTTTAAGGTACGCACGTCTTGAGCACGGCGGCCGTGACCTTCTCGCCCTGCACGAGGCAGGCGCGCGGGTTGGCGTCGCGCTGCTTGCAGCGCATGAACTCCAGGTTGGCGTCCGCGCACTCGTGCGCCAGGATCCGCGCGGCGCACGTGAGGCTCGTGTTGTCCGTGTCCGGCAGCTTGACGGTCTTGCGCTCCTCGGCCATGGCTGTTGCGGATGCTGGTGACGTGAAGTGTATCGGAGCTTCCTGGCTTTGCGGAGTCAAACCCCACAAACGAGCGGCTCCGCGTGCCACTTGCGCTCAGTATGGGCTGTTTTGCGTAGACCACACCATTTTGCATTCGCACTAAAGTACGGGAGCAAGTTGCAGTGTTGCATCACAGGTGACGATGGAAGTGTTGCAATGCTGCAATGGGATCAGACTTCTATGATGGAGACCGCTAGGATGTACACTAGTAGAAGGCCGATGGGGACTAAAACCGACTACGGGCTGCGGGCTCAGTGCTGCTGCTCGAAGTCCCACTGCTGACGCACGCTCGTGTTGCCCTGCTCGTTCAGCCGCTCCTCGGCCTCCAGCACCTCCTCCAGCTCCACGCGCTTCATGTGCGGCTGGTCGCGCTCCTTATCGCTGTCCTGCAGAGGCAGCAACAGCAACAATACGCAAGGGGTAGCGTTAGTGTCAGTGACCATAAGGGCTTTAGAGATGAAACAATAAAAACGTATCCGTACTAGTTCGCCAAGGAGAACGATGTTGTCACCACTGCCAACACCAATACAACATCACAAAATAGGATACACAAACGTGCACAACCGTCAGGTCTTCAACTTGCGCTTCACTCCACGATCCATTGGCGCAGGCAGTAGCGCTGCAACGGAGCCGCACCGGATGATGTTCAGGCCCAGCTCGATATCGCAGAACAGTCCGCCAGCGACGTGGCGCTCGTATGTGTCTTCCAGAATAATGTTCGCTGCAGCAACGAGCAGTATGCAAGCAGCAGCGTTGCGCCAATATATCCAGCAACACCAAGTGAGCCACCCCTCCACCGCATCAAGCAACCCCCGTAACGAAATACTCAAGAACAGCAGCAACGCACAGTACTGGTCGAAACTCCGCAGATACCCGACGAGGTGGCGGCCGTCGCGCAGAACCATCAGCACTTGCTCTGAAGGAAGCAGCGTCCAAGCAGCACAAGCACCACGTCACCCGAGTCAGTTCTGCCGCCTTAACCCACGCTTAACTGGGTCGAAATGCGACTAAAAAGACACGGCCAGCACCGCAACAAGACCCCCTTGCATGTACGCACTGTCTAGCTGCTGGATGAGGCTGCTGTTGCCCGGGAAGATGCCGCTCATGGTGCTCTTGGCGCTGCTCTTGGCTCAGGCGCTGAACAGCTCCCAATTCAGAATTGAGTTACGCTGCGTTAAATTGACTTTCAGCCAGTAAGATCGCTTTTGGGGTCCTATTTTTATCCAGTCAGACGCAGCCCCGGATTTGCGGTGATCCTTCATCCCAATAATTGCCGGCGGCAGCGAAGAGCTCTTCCTCCTGTACCATGTTTGCGTCGCGTGTGCTGCGGATGGCGGTGACCAAGACCTCCACGGGTCTCGTGGGTCTCAAGGTGAACCCGAACGCCCGCCAGGACCTCATCAAGATCTACCGCCGGACGCTCGAGGAGGTTAAGGTGCGAACAGAGGCTCGGTCAGGTCAGGCTTAGACACGGATAGAGACTGATTGTTGCCACTGTTTGCCGCTGCAGATTCTGCCGCCGGAGGCCAAGAACTACCGCAACGCCGTGGAGCAGATCACCAACTTCCGTCTGAATGTGGTGGAGTCCAACGAGGAGGTAAAGCGGCAATAGGGAGAGAGGGAGAGAGACGGCGTTCTGGTGGTGCAGCAGGAGCTGACTGACTTTACCTTACTTGCTGTGCATTCTGGCAGGAGGACGTGATTGAGCGCAAGATCAACTGCGGTCAGCTGGAGGAGCTGATCGAGCAGGCCGAGGACGAGCTGAGCGTCATCCCCGTCTACCTTGGTGCGTTGGAATGCCATCTTAATGCTGACTAGAGAGGCTCATTTAACTAACTGATGGTTGCTGTTGAACATTGCAGAGCACAAGCTGTGGGAGAGCCCCATTGAGGCCGCCAAGTAAGCGTGCTGGTGTGGCAGCGTGCGCGGAGTTGCATTGACCTGAAACAATAAGCAGCACGGACCCAAGTAAATACACAGCTACTGAAAAAAACACACGATACAGAAGCTGGTGCTGGTGCTGTGCGTAGCCTGATGAGCGGGAGCAGTGGACGAATGATGCAAAAGGGTCTATGTATTTGTCTACTACCGGTGCACAGGGGTTTGTCCAGATTAGTTGCGGATCTTGCGACTGCGTGAGAGGTTCGACTTGATACCCGTGGTTTCGCCTCCGTACTTGCCGGCCTCGCCCACGCGCACGTCGCGCACCTGGCCCTTTCTTCTGATGACAGCCTTGCGGTACTGCATGCGCTTCTTGACGCGCGGGTTGCGGTTCAGCTTGCTCTTGTGCGCCTTCAGGCCCTTGTTCTTCATGATCTGGTACGACGCGCCGCGCTTGCCACCCTCGCCCTCCATGTCGCTGTCCTCGTCGCTGGACGCAAGCGCAGGGTTCTCGTGCGTGTAGAAGTCCTTCTTGGCCTTCTTGAGCTCCGCCTGGTCGCGCGTGGTCTGCTCGTAGAACCGCTGGGCTTCCGCCAGCTCCTCCTCTGATACCTCCGCTGCCTTCATCTGCTTCTTCGACTTCTTGGCCGAGACCTTCTCGCCGTCGGCGCTGCGTTTGCGCTCCGACTTGGCAAAGAACTTATCGAGGCCGTCATCGGTCTTGGGCTCCCGCTCCGCTGGCAGCTCCTTCGTGAGCAGATCCTGCAGCTGGTCGTCCAATACCTCGTTGATATCCTGCAGTTTGTTGAGCTGCTTCTTGAGCAGCAGCAAGTGCATGAGCACCGGGTGGTCCGACACGCTCTTGCCCTCGGCACGCAGCAGCAGGTAGAACGAGATGTTGGCCGAGTAGTTGAGCAGCAGGTTCTGGCGGGTCATGAGGTAGCGCAGACCCATCTGCAGCTGACGCGACTTGCGGCGCACGGGGCGCAGCTTCATGACCGCGGGCGTGACGACCTCCTCCAGCTCCTTCGTGGTCGCCTCGAGCTCGGACATGAGGCCCAGCAGCTCGGGCGCCGACTGGTTCACGATCTGCAGCTTGTCCTTCTTGGTCATCTTGGAGAAGTCCTTGTGTACCTGCTCCACGGTCTCCGCGCCGCCCGCGCCATTGTCCGCCAGGGTGGCAATGTCCGCGAGCTGCTCGCCCACCAGATCCTCGTCGTCCACGGGGGCGGCCCCGTTCTCCTCCTCCTCCTCTTTATCATCCTCGTCTCCATCGGCCTCCGGCTCGTCGATGCCAAAGTCCTCGTCGTCCATCATCTCCGCCTGCTTGCGCTGTAGCTCCAGAGCCGCCTCCTCCTCGTCCTTGGCGATCTCCTCGTCCGACTCGAACTCGTACTCGGCCGTGTCGGCGGAGTAGAAGGTCTTGCGGGACTTGCCCCACTTGCCCTCCATCTGCATGGCCTTCTTGCGCTCGCCCTCGGCGTCGAACGCGTTCACGTCGTCGTCATCGTCCATGCCCTCCTCTTCGTCATCATCGTCTTCATCCTCCTCGCCTTCGCCCAGCTCCAGCACCTCCTGGCCCGCCAGCTCGTCGTCGTCCTCGGACTCGAACTGCTCGCCGTCGCTCTCGTTCTCGGACGGGTCGTCGTAGAACGTGAGCTCCGCCTGCTTCTGCGCCTGCTGCGCCTCCTTCAGCTGCTTCTTGCGCAGACGCACCTCCGCGCCGCCGTCGCCCGTGCGCGCTGAGTGCCTCGCCTTGCGTCCCATAGCTCGATGTACCTGAGCTGCTGGCGGTGGTGCAATAGCAACTTGACTTGGCTGGCTGCAACGAATGTACCTTGTTTTCGGTACGCACCTCAATAGTGCATTAGGATGCATGTTTGTAGTTCGTACCAAATTGCACGTGTGGCTCGAATTTCGAGCAATCACTTCACACTCGACACCTCCATGCGCGCATCAGTCGCTGCGGCTCGATCCGTGGTGCGGGCGGCGGCCTGCAGCCAGCGCGGACTGGCGCCCAATGGCCTGGGGGCCTCCCCCATCCTCCGCCAGCAGCGCGCGTGCGCGCAGACGCAGCAGCTGCTGCTGGCCAGGAGCTTTACCTCCGCTGCCCCGCGCGAAGACACGCAGCAGCAGCAGCCTCGGAAGTTCGCGTGGGCCGAGACGGACATCGCGCCGCCGTCGCCCGGCCGCGGCATCATGGGCCGCTCCGCCAACGTGGACGTGACCAAGAGCCAGAACCCGATCCAGCGCTGGCACTGGCTGTGGAAGATGCTGGGCTTCCTGAACGAGGACGACCGGCTGTTCCGCCACTCGACGGCCGTCTTCCAGAGCTGCATGAACCAAACGGCCAGGCCAGAGTACTACCGCGCGCTGGGGCTGCCGCGCTCCTTCCGCGCGCAGCAGGCGCTGCTCATGGCGCACGTGTGGATTGTGCACCGCCGCTTGGCGCTTGAAGGCGACCAGGGCAAGATCATGCAGGAGCTCATGTTCGACCGACTGTGGGAGGAAACCGTCGTGCGCATCCGCTACCAGGACATCTCGGAGCTCACGGTCAACAAGCACTTAGCGCAGGTGCAGCAGGTGTGCTTCAACGCCTGCATCGCCTACGACCAGGGCCTCAAGAACGGCCCCAACTTCCTCCAGACGGCGGTGGCCCAGCACCTGCTCGAGAACGAGACGCCCGAGGGCCTGCGCATCGCCAGCATCGTGGCCGACTACATGAAGCGCGAGCTCAAGAACCTCGAGAAGGTCGACGCCAAGTACATTATGGAGGGAACCATTCCGTGGAGCCCGCTGCCGGAGACACACGTCAAGGTGACCGACATCCCGGGGGACGACGACGACGTGGTGCTCATCGGACAGCGCTTCGGCAACTGGCGCTCGGCGCTGGACAACCGCGGCAAGCTCTACTACTGGAACATGACGACGCGATACTCGGTCTGGGACCGCCCCACGGGCGACGAGCTTCACGAGGGCGAGGAGCAGAAGTAAATAATCCGCCTGCCTGCCTACCGGTCTGTCAATCCTCTCCTCAGGCGGCAGATCCCCCCGACGTTCCATCGATAGATAGAGAATACCACAACGGGAAGCACACCGCAGCGCTGCCAGAAGAACTGTGCTGCTGTGTTTTGCCTAATAACTCGCTTCGCTGCCTTAATACAAAAACAAAAAGCTCTGCGCGTCTTGGTGGGTTGCGTTTCGTGTTGAGTTCTTAGTTGTAAGTTCATCGATCGGAGCCTTAATTGGCTGCTGCTGCCTCGCTGGCCTTGGCCTCCGCTTTGGCCTTTTGCTCGGCGGCCACCCGGTCGCGGCGCTCCTGCATTTTCTGCCTCACGTAGGCATCCGAGGCCTTGGCGCGCTGGAAGTTCTCCGAGCGGATGCGCACCTTCTCCTCTCTAAAGCACCAGTCCAGCGCCGTCTTGACGTCGCCGCAGGCGCCGAAGAACTTGGCGTACGGGTTCTCCTCGTGGCACTCGAGCAGCGCCTTGATTTCCTGCAAAAAGCAACGGGATGCATTAATACGGTGTATTGCGCTGCAGAACAGATTCGTGAGCAGCACGCACAGCCTGGCAGTCAGGGTGCGGGCGGTCCAGCGGCGTGTGCATCTTGCGTCCTTCAGCCTGAGGTCGAGATTGACTCTGCGGCTTGGTGGTCAAAGCCTCGCACTTGTCTTTGCTGCTCGGTAGTAATCCAGGTGCTTACGATTCTTTTATCAGTAATATAATCACTAATAACTAAACTATTAGTTCTATATATTACAAACACAACTAAGGTTGTAAAAATACTAGTATTAGTACTTGACTGTATTAAATGAAAGTACTACCAACAATTATTGTGATTTACCCATCCCTAAACATGGTAAAACGTGCAACTAATATGTGTTGGAGAGTGAAAGAAAGTTAGGTCGTGCTCGCGATGCCGTTAACACAGATTATTTACTGGAGGGTCACTTCAAATATGCTGGTTTCATAAAAATTAAATTCGCAAATGACCCAAGTCACCCCATACTTTGATGGTACCCTTGGAAGCATCTAAAAGATGCCCTAGCACGTTTTCACGCTCTGGTTGCTGCTAGTGCAGGCATCATTAGCACTCCTATCCTCCTATCCATGAGTCCATTTTCAATACTCAAGCTCAGTTGTTTGAAGGGTCAAGTATGCGCTATTTTTAGAATCGACTCGATCGCAGCATTATCAGTCAAGTGGTTGCACTTCATAGCATGCTCTGCTTTTAATAAGTATCTTCCTCCCAAGTGCAATTGCGTATCGTTTAGAGCACACGCAGCGCTTTCCGAGGATGTATTTATCCCCATGTTGAAGGACCTAACGGATTTAAAGACTTTTGGCCTAGCATAGCAAAAGGCGGGTTTTCGCGACCTTCCAGTAAATAATCTGTTAAAACAGCATTTGTAGGCGATAATGAGGTTTTGGACCGAAAACAGCTGCGTGAACACGATTGTGGCTAAACATCGTTTGATTTTCTAAACGACGCTAACAGAGCTGTTTTGAAGATCAGGTGGGGACCTGATTGTAGCTGGCAAAACAGGTTTTCGGGTTCGAAAACCAATGGTGTTCATGATTTGGCGGGTTTTCATACGGAGGGGAAACAGCTGGCGATTGTACTGTACCTTTACGCGCCGCATAGCTAACAGCCTGTCTACTTCAAGATTTCAGCGCAGCTACGCACTTGCTACGCTAGACGATGTCGGACCACCCGACGCAACTCGTGCCACCACAAAGGAAGGTCAGCCGGACCAACTTCGCGCTTAGTGGGAGCTCTACGAGGAGTTTGATCTCCTCGGGCGCTTCGTGGACGCACGCAAGGTACCGGCACTTTCAACCGACAAGGGGCTAACGCCTGCTGCTTGGAACGACATCACCGCCGCAGTGAACACGAAGCATAAGCGACAGCTCGATAAAGGTGAGTTTGGTATTGCTGTTTTAGTTATTATGCGTATCTAACTTGCACTTGTGTGAACAGCCCAATACAAAGCCAAGCTGACTCGGATCATGCGTGATTATGACCTCTTCAAACAGGTCAAAGGCTTGAGCGGAGGTGGTGTGTGCGCATTGACGAACGCGCCAGATCTTGACGCCGATGTCTGGAAGCGCCCCACCAAGGCTAAGCCCAAGCAAGCAGGAAAGCTCAAAGAATTCCGCAAGAAGGGATTCGAGCACTACATCATCTGCATGCTGGCAGCAAGTAAGAAGGCGGCATTGATCGATCCAATTGCAATGATACTGACTTATTATAATAATAATTGTTGTTGTTATTGTTTGAAGGCGACTTGCGCGCCACTGGCGCCGATGCTCAAAGTGTCGCTGCTCAATTGAGCCAGCCCAAGGAGCAAACAGGAGCACCTGATGCAGCCGCTGATTCTGAAAATGCTGGCGTTGATGGTGCTTCAAGTGGCAGTGGTTCAGGCGAGAAGGAATCGTCCGCAGCCCCGAAGCCGCCAAGTCACCAACGACGTGTTGAAAACGTGAAGCGCATTCGTGACGGAGCTGCCAGATCGCACCGCAACAAGAAATCCCGGAAGGTTTCAGATGACAGCCATCTACGTGAGCTTAATTCGCTGGTGAAGACGATCAAGACGTACATCACCTTTTAGATGCACCAGGAGATGCAGAACGACCACGCCAGTGCTGAATCCGACCAGCACGCGGATCTCGTGGGGCTTCTTCCAGTCATCGACGACGAAGAAGGCAACTTGGCCTTTGAAGAAGCTGATGTCTGAACAGGGATCCGTTGGCGTTGATATCTTCCTTTATTCCCTCGATCTTGAGTCGTATTATTTTTTTAAGTTGACATGAAACTATTAGCGATGGGAATGATACATGTTTGGGTTGGTTGATCGGTTGTTTTACTTAGTACAAGCTGTTTCGTAATCATTTCAGAGTAAAAAATAATAAATGAAGCTATTGGCCGGACCCCGCATCATGTACCGATGGCGACCGGAATTATTTATTTTTATCGGCGGGCAGTGATAATATATATAGGTTGTGACAATTTTATGATAAATTTTCGAGTTTCGCTAGAGCTCATTTCACCTTCAAGCATCTAGCATCCAGTATGAAGTCTAGGCGAACTGGAGGTGCAGAGGTTCCTCGGCGCAAACGTGATACTTAAGTATTGAAATCGTCGTGACCACAACGCTGCTGCATTCGTTCGTTCTGTTAAGCGTCTTGGTGAAGATACGACCAAGCAGATTCAAGCTGACTGCTAGAAGCTAGCGCCTACTACAGCAGCAGCGGCGTCGGGCACGCAAAGTTGCGAACTCTGCAGCTCTGTGCAACTCGAAAATCGATACTACAAGAGATACATAGCATAGATACATGCATGCAGCACTTGAATTTACCGAATATACCGGTTGCTTATGACAGCTGGCGGGGCAAGCGGGGACCCCGGGGTCCCGTCAAACGCTTCAAATGCATCCATTATAGCAGTGAATGTCATTATGCACCAAACGCGTATAGGTAGCAATCACCACAATTACTGGAGGTCCCCAGGTTCGCTGTCGACCTCGCTGCTGTCCGTGTCATCGCTGTCGGTATTGCGGTTGATACCGACATCCTCCTCACTGCTACTGTCACCTTCGAGATCAGTAGCACAGAAGTGTCAATCTCGTCACTTTCTCCAGCAGCTTGACGAAAGCCTTGATATTCACTCCACATTGTTGCCGCCATTCAAGCGCGCCAATTGTCGCTTGAATCAAAGTCGTAAGGAATGGGCTCGGTGCTATCCGTTTCCCCCGAACTAGTCTGAGCTGCCCTTCTCCGCCGCGCTAAACCATCACCAACGTCGTTTGAATCGTATCCACGAATAAAATTGTGAACCAGCACGTGTGATGTAGCGCCTTGAGCTTTCGCCCTCGGCACTCCGCCCGTTCCCGGGTTGCGTTCCTAGACAAAGGATCTAGGGAACTAGAGAGAGCGAATCTCCAAGTAGATAGACGGCCCGCCCGGGCGAGGGATTTATCCGGGGCCGTGAGTTCCCGGGACCTTTACTCCCTATGGGGGAAGCAAGAGGTCCTGGGACTCGGTCAGTAACCTCACCTTGTGAACCCCCTTCGAATCGGTTGTTTGGATCAGAGGGAAGCTCAACCACTGAGAATCTCCTGGGAGCCCCGACCTTATCAGTACGCTGGTTTGGTAGCAACACAATCAATCGCCCGGGGACGCTACCTAGTTCCCTGGGTGGAATTAACACGCAACTAAAATATGCAATCGGGTCTTTCGGAGCAAGACTCCCTCGGCGGCGGCCGCAATACTTTTCGGGGCGAGACCCCACGGGGGAGACCCTGAGAATATGGAATGCCCTTATCCGTGCCGGCTAGACCGCACTCCGGGGGGACATATATAAAATGCCTGGGGCTTCCTGGATGGAAACCCTGGCAAAGATGTTATCGATTTAAATGGGGATAGCCTACTAGCGCGGGTCCCAGTGATCGCGGCCTTCGTACCTCGGAGGTTTTGAAGCTGAAGCGACTTGAGCTCTTTGGGGAGAAAGTTAGACTGAATTGTACACTCCCCCAGGGCCACTGGTCCTGGGGAAGTGCTTACCTATGGGTTTCCTACTAATATCTGCTAATCACTTGGGTTCACTATGGGCTGGTCCGGATACCCCCGGGGTCGACTCTTCTGACGTCGTCGCACGCCCTGCGCTGGCTCCGTGGGTTCTTCTGTGTAGGACACACCCAATACCCCGGGGATGGGTACTTTCTCCGGGGAAATGCATCTCCAAGGTTGGCCAGTCCCCGGAAGCCCGGGGCACTATGCCACACACACAAGCAGATATCATCGTCTTGATGGTCACCAACTCGCAATCCAAACACGTACGAAGCACCCGAAATCTGCGCTTCAAAATCCCAATCGTCCGCTCGACTGCATTCCTAGCCTTTGCATGTCGAAGATTGAAAAGTTCCTTCGCGTTTTGCGGACGTCCACCAGGCTGATGCGCCTACTCCTTGAGGTGGTATCGGATGCCGCGGAAGGGAGTCAGGACTTTATCGCTATGGCCATATCCAGCAGCCCCCAAAACGTAAAAATGCTCCGGAATTTGCTCCATAGCCGGGACCAGATCATAATGGTGGCATCGTGAGCACTTCCCTCGACTCCATCGTAGACAAACGCTATGTTCATGTGCCAGTCACAAAATATCAGTACATTGGTCCAGATAAAACCTTTGCGGTTCCAAAATCAAGCGACATCATCAGTGGAGACCTCGATGCGAATGTGCTTTCCGTCAATAGCGCCGAGTGCTTGGTCAAAGTAAGGGTGCTGGGAAGCGAAAGAATCAGCAACGACCGTAGGAATATTCATCGTCCTGTGGAGGGCTTGCACTATGGCCCCAATACCCCGGATCTGGTACTTGTGTATGCTTGAGTACGCCAAATCAAAAAGCACTTCCTGAGAACGGCAAGTAGCTGCAGTTCCCATCCAGTGCAGCGTGACAGCCAGTACTTCCTGTTGATCGCGCACGGAGCCGGCGATAAACTGCGCGTACAGCGTGCCGAAGGCGCCTACATCCATTCGGAAATGGTCTCAAAAGAGCGATCGATTCTCCGACGCGTGGATAGCTGCAAAGAACTTCTTCCCGTCCGTTTTTGTAAGCCCCAGCTTCCTCACGATGCGATCATGCTAACCTTTCCGCGCAGAGTGCCCAAAGACTAGAGGGGCGCACACGACTACGAGAAGCAGCAACAGCTCAAGAACGGAGTCCATTTGGTGTCTGCAAGAACGCCTCTGCTGATGTCCGCAAAGGCCAGCTTCTTCGGAAAGTTACCGTGAAACTACGTTTTGCCTGCGAACACGAAAAGAGCAAAATATTTATCTTGATTCCTTGCGAAAACAGGTGGCTCGGTAGAACAAGCCCCAAAAATGAGTTTGATCAAAACTTTACCTACCGCGAACACGACCTTAGGCCGTGTTCGACTTGCATCCAATCCAGTTGTTTTAGGCCAAATACAGCCGGATTTGCTTCATCCAGCTCGTTTGCAACCTGAAACACCCAAAAAGCGATCCAGCTCGATAAGCTCAAAAGAGCTGGATTTGAAATTCAGGTCTAGGCAAAATTATGAATCGGGCTGGATAAGCCTGCCTTTTCTACGTGCCTTCCAAACCAACAATTTGTCCGAAACCAGTCCTTTTTGAATCGAGCTCGAATGGTGTGTGCAAGTCGAGCACGGCCTTAATTTTTTTAATCTTTGCGTGTTTGGATCTAGATTTTGCACTTTCGAAGTGAAAATCGATGAAGCAATAATACCAGTGAGCACTAAAAATTTAAATGACTACTGTTAGTGCTAATGAAATTTTAATGTACTACTACTAGTATATTAAGTGCAATTACTGTCTAACTACCTCATCAATACTATAGTAATTTTTCGTTGGCCAATGTGAGGCAGTCTGTAAAAAGCGATCACCAAGGAACTAGCAGCTCGTATTCGCGATGGAAGGCGCTAACTTCACCCCGCAGCAGAAGGCCGAGCTCATCAACCGGGTACGTCGGGTGCTGCCATGATGTCGCTGCATCCTGCCACTTGCTCCCGTGCCCCGTTGCGCGTCCTCGAGCGCTCTGTTGTGCCGTTAGTAGGCCGTAGCTGACGGTCTCCATTGATCTCCACTCGCCGCCTGCAGGTCCGCTCGGAAGTGCAGCAGCAGGCGCTGCAGGAGCTGACGCAGAACTTGCAGGAGAAGTGCTTCGACAAGTGCATCACGCGCCCCAACGGCAAGCTGGACGGCAAGCAGCAGAACTGCCTCGCTCTGTGCATCAACCGCTACATCGACACCATGAAGGTGGTCTCGGAGGCCATGGCGCAGCGCGGCTCTTAGGTGCGTCCACCGCCCAAGGCTCCAAGTCTCGTGGTTTAAGTGCACGCGCATTGAGAAGGGGGTGAGCCGACGCCTTAAGGTTGTGCTGCGTGCTGTGATATCCAGGTTGAGCGGATTACTCGTGCGTTCCGGTGTTGTCGCCTTCGACTGAATAACCCGCGATGAGCCTGCACTGTAGCGGTCGTTGCGAGACGCGTGCTTATAGTTTCTTTAGAGGGAATGCCGCGCTTCAATACAACTCGACCCTGTGCCTCAATTGATCTACTGAGTTCTTTGTTCTCAACGAGATAACTGAGCAAACTCGAGAAGGATCGCGGTGGACCTGCGTGAAAATGTAATGTATGCAGGTCTATTGGACCTGGGGTGGAAGAAAAGAGAGACGCTGAGATGACGGGGTTGAACTGCTTTGTTCTTGCTCGTTCGTTGACCAGAGTTAAATAGTGAGACTACGACCGACCAAGGCGAAGGCGAGGTCGAACCCGCAAGTAACCGACTCCAAAAGCGACGCTGGCCGCCGTCCCTGCTGGGGCTTGCAAGCGCGCCTTCCTCGACAGAAGACGACTTTCATCAAGCTCCAGCTCTCTGAACGTTGGCTGCTAGACGTTGACGACCGCTCGCGCGATCATGACGACTTGGTCCGCTTAGTTCTTGGCGTCCGTCTGGCGGGCCAGCTCCGTGATGGCCTGGTCGCCCTCGCCGTGGTGGCGGATGTAGCCAGCCAGAGCGTAGGTGTCCGACTCGCCCGTGAAGACGCCGTTGGCGTTCACGCGGCCGACGTTGATCTGCACAGAGGCGTGGTCCTTGGCCGCGAGGATGCGGTTGGTCCACGAGCTGCGCGCATCGACAAAGAGAGAGAGAGGGGAGAAATACCATCAGCACCTCGCTCCTTCTTCATTTAGCTGCTGCACTGCAATTCGCAGTCGGACGCACCACTTGCGCGGGATGTAGATGTCGATCGACTGGCCGGCCTCGTTCTGCATGTTTGGTTACTTGTCTAGAGTCAGATGAATTCCTCAATGCTCACCGACTTCCCAAAGGCGCCCGTTGTTTTGGCTGGAGCTCCCCCAAACCAATGGCCCTGACTGTGCGTTACCGGTCGCTCATACAAACTTCAAGTGAAATCGCTCCTCTTCCAGCACCCGTCAAAAGTGATAGTGCATGATGTGGCGCACATAGGACGATACATGATCCGCGAGTCAATACTCAAGACAAGACAAGCGAGGGCGGCTAAAGGTATCATCATGGCGGAGCAGATCACGGAGCAGCAGGTGGTGGCCACGTACAAGAGTCTGCGCGCCGAGGTGCGGCAGATGGCCGAGAAGATCGCCGAGCTGGAGGCCGAGACCACGGAGCACGACCGCGTGATCCAGACGCTCAACGAGCTGCCCAAGGACCGCCGGGCCTACCGCATGGTGGGCGGCGTGCTGGTGGAGCGCACGGTGCAGGAGGTGCTTCCGGCCGTGACGGCCAACCGCGACGGCATCGCGCAGGTGCTGGCCCAGCTCAACGACAACATCAAGCAGAAGGAGAAGGCCGCGGACGAGTGGCAGCGGAAGTACAACATCCAGGTGCAGCAGTAAGAAAAAAGAGGCTCACGGGTGGCTGCGGGTGGCTGGCCACGAGGAAGATAGAGGGATGGCCCTGCAGCAAGTCCGTCAGCTCTGCACACTGTGCGTTCGTAGTCCGTTGAAGAACACGAAGGACTATTTATCCTACCGCAGCGGTCGTGTGTGTCGTGTCGGTTGCAAGTTGCATCCCTTGCTCGAGTTATGTTACAGGTGGGGGTTGGTGGCTGGCTGGAGACTTACCAGGTAGATGAAGTTCAGGGCTTGCTTGGTCCCTCCGTTAATGAATGCATGAGGCGTTTCTGCAAGGTGCGACCAGGGCAACAATAAGATTCAGCCAACTGACGTCGACAGCCCACATGATCGTTCGTTCCATCATACCTGCAACGCCATGTTGATGGTCTTCACTTGGTCGTACTTGGCCGTCACGATCTTCAACTTCTCGTCGAACGCGGTCTCTTGCTGCTCCACCACAGTCTTCAACGAGTATATGGCTTGGTCCTGCTCAGCAACATCGCGTTAGCTATCCCTTCGACCACCTCCATCTAAGGCACTCGCCACCCACCTTCTGCTTGCACGCCACTTCAAGCTCCTTGATCCGTGTCACGAGCGGATCATCCTCTGCGTCCTCTTTCCGCCGTGCTCTGCCTCTGCGGGTAAGCTCACTCTTGCTCTTCCCAGTGTCCCGCTCACTCGACGCCCCAGCCTGTTGGCGCAGCACCAACTCGTCCTCCGAAATCGCCAGCAGTCTCTCCAGCTCCGTCAGCAGCTCTTCCTGCTGCGCCTTGTGCTCGCTAGCCTCAGCCACCTTCTCCTCGCGGTAGAACCGCTCCCACTGTCGCAGTCGCTGCATCAACAAAGTATTGCAATGCTCAGCCAAGTTCACTACATACATGCATGCAGCAGCACTAGCACCAGCTCAAGCCGCAGTCCGCACCTGCTGCAGCTCCTCGTTCCTGTCTCGCAGCTCGCGCATCTGCTGCGCGTCGATCTGATTCTCGTGCAGCAGTCCCTCCAGCTCGATCACGTGCTGCACCTGCAGGTCCATGTCTCGCTGGTGCTGCGCGAACTTCTCCTCCATGGCCGTGAGCTGCTCCTGCAGCTCCACGTTGTGCTCGCTCAGCAGCTTCCGGTCGTGCGCGTACTTGGAGATGCGCAGCTGCAGCTCGTGCTCCCACTTGCTCTGCTCCGTCTTGAACGCGTACAGCTGTGCGCGCTGCGCCTCCATGCGGCGCTGCAGGCTCGTGGCCAGCTCGCGCTCCACCTCCAGCTCGCGAGCACCCCACCAGTCGCGCGCCTGCTGCGCCTCGGTCTGGGCCGGTGCCGGCGGCGGCGCTGCAGGATCCGCCGACGTTGACATCTTTTTGAGATGGCTCACTACTACCGGAATGAGCGTCCTTCTCTTGGCTGAAGTATGCAACTGTGTTGAAATAATTGCAGCAGAGGTATGTGAACGAATGCTTGTGTCAGACACAAAGCTGGTTTGAGTTGCATGCTGCTGCCGGGTTCCCTCGTGCCAAGCCCTGTTGCCAAACCCTCTTGCCAGAGACAAGAGGGCTGCACTTCGTACGAAGTAGATGAGGTTTAATGGCTTTTGGTGGACGAATAACTCGTTTGTTTTCAACGCTTTGTTTCCTACCAAAACGCTTTTCAAAGAATGGTGAAAAGCAAACTTTGACATCGAGCACTAGCGTCAGCGACACGTTTGGCAGTAAGATCGTCAACTACATGTAGTCTTTAATGAAGTAAAATGACTGGGGTGTTCGTTGCGCTCGTAGGTCTCTGTCTGCTCGCACGTTCATGCTTGGTAACGTGATGGCTGATCAGCTTTTCGTAGTCCTGCCAATAAAGTAATTACCTACATTTACTGCGCCCATGACGGGGCCATCAAAATTCACCACGTCCTTGACCGTCACAGGATCTACGCTGCTATCGGACCGCATCAAAGTGAAAGTGCATTGTGCCGGATTAGATATTTCGGAAGAACTGTATTACACTAGAAAAGCGAAGTTTTGGCACCAGCAAATTGTTTCCATGAAGCTCACTCGTGTACAAATGTCATTTGAGCTTGTCAACACGCTCAAGTATGATCTAGAAGACGCTATAACCCTGTACCATCGATAATATCGACTCGATATAGGTTCATAGAATAATAAAGGAAAGTGGAAAGACAGCACAAGTTTTACAAGTAATAGTACCAACTTCATTACGCCAACCAGCTGTGTTCTAAATATACGAAAGTAACAGTTTCTCGACGTGCACTGCGCACTCCTCCTGCAGCCGCCGCAGCTCCAGTTGCAGCTGCGTCGTGTGCGCGTGCGCGTGCTCGGCGTGCGCCTGGGGCAACTTGAGCGCGTTCAGGCGCTCGATGATGGCGTCGAAGTCCATGGGAAGGCAGTCAAGCGGCGCTGCCGTGCTGTGGTCGCCTTGCTTGTTTGCAGTGCAGTGCGCGCTTCTGTACTGGACGCACCTCAAGGTACACGCTCGTAAGGTAGAACATATTAGCTCGTGTCGAAATCAGTCTACTACCTTACGTTTGAACAAAAATACCCAAATATGCTTGTATTTTTCTATTCCTCTCACCCGAAAAGGAGACCTGTCGAAACGTCTGCAAAGCTAAAACATCGTGATTGTCGTCCAAAATATGAATCTCGAAACATTATGTATTAATACATGTAGTATTGTGCTTTGCAGTTGTTTTGGCAAATCGGACGTGTAAAACAGCTACCTACTAAGATGGGGCGAGGTTATCGGAGCAGATTAGCAGGTCCCTCGTAGGGAATTAGGATCAAGAATGGCTAGTCCGATGGAAGCACTTGCGCAGGTCCTACAAACAGCCGAAAGCCCGAATGTCGCCCATTTTCACGGCATTCGGGGTTTGAGGTCTTACGAAGGACTCCTACCAAGTCTTGTGGCAGGACTTTCATACGAGCTGACTCTAATACGGTGTATGTCAAACGCAGAATAAACCTATGAAAACACGATGCAGTCGATACGTTAAACACTCCAGTCGTCGCCATTCGCCTACGTAGGACTTTGGAGGTCAGTTAATCTGAGGTTGGTGGTCTCTAAATCTGAGATGCAAATCTCGGACGAGTCCGATGACTGGTCTCCTGGAGTCTCTCCGTTCAATGGACTCCGGTTGGAGTCCAAGTCAAGTAATCTTTGTTTGGGGAAGCAAGCAATACCGGAACCCGCGAAGGCGAATGGCGACGACTGGAGTGTTTAACGTATCGACTGCATCGTGTTTTCATAGGTTTATTCTGCGTTTGACATACACCGTATTAGAGTCAGCTCGTATGAAAGTCCTGCCACAAGACTTGGTAGGAGTCCTTCGTAAGACCTCAAACCCCGAATGCCGTGAAAATGGGCGACATTCGGGCTTTCGGCTGTTTGTAGGACCTGCGCAAGTGCTTCCATCGGACTAGCCATTCTTGATCCTAATTCCCTACGAGGGACCTGCTAATCTGCTCCGATAACCTCGCCCCATCTTAGTAGGTAGCTGTTTTACAAGTCCGATTTACCAAAACAACTGAAAAGCACAATAAATCCAGCTAAATCATACTGGCGTTTACAAACAAAGCATCCATGCAGCAGGGGGGTAAAGTAAGCCTAATGTACTCGGAGTAGATGTGCCCCCAGACAACAAAATTATGAATTGTCCTTACTTTAATGAGTAATGTACTCGGACTTTTGAGTACATAGTCTTCATTTGAACTTGTACGCTGCGTCAACTTGCAACAGCTGATTCCACTCTAAAGTCGCTGCTTGTTGGGATGTCATTCACGAACGCAAATAACGTGTTACAAACCCTTTAAGACAACTTTTCTTTTGCTTTCTGCTAGATGACGCTTAAATTCTCTATTTGCTAGCTCATATCCGCATAAGTGGTTCGATCAGGGCTGGCACATCGGGTTTAATCATTAGGTTTTAATATAGGTTTTATAGTAAAACCTGTTAGCCACCAAAACAGCCAACAGTTTTTTCCCAGAGTCAGTTGACTTGGAATTAGAAAAACTAGCTTGACCAATCTGTTCTATTGTGGTTTATCAACAAATACACGACGTCCTAGCTTCTAACTTCGACGCGTGTTAGGAGGGTACCAGAAAACAAGGTGGTTAACAGTTGCTAGGAAGGCAAGTTGAAGTTACCTTCTCATAGCCAATCACAACTGCCGAATACAGTATGTCGACCAATCAGGTTCCAGTATCCTGGGTATGAGGCTCGTACGTACCACAGAATTACACATCATAGTGTTCGATTGAAGGAACTTCAGTTGCCTATCGCGACTTAAAATAGATAAGTGGGGTGCGAAAACAAGCGGCTGCTCACTCTAAAGACTCCCCTCCGCACAGCAAGCATGGGTGACCACGAGGAAAAATGCATCGCGTACATGCTTGATCCTCGGTATGTCGGATGCGGAATGGTTCCTGACACATACGATCGATATGAAGATATTATCGTCGACTTTCCTGCGTCTGATACCAGCTCCATCACTCGTGACACCACACGAAGCAAAAATATGAGCGTCGAACTGACTGCTTTCCAAGTGTACTGCAATAAGATGAAGACGAATCAAGATCGACGTTATATGGAGCTCGAAGAGAAGGTGAAAAGCGTATACGACTTTTGGGTGACAACGGGTTCGCGGTGGCCGACACTCAGAGAGCTGGCTTTGAATGTGTTCAGCTTAGTCGCTTCGAGTGCTGCATCCGAGCGCACGTTTTCGACTAGAAGCTTCATCCACAACAAGCCTAGAAATGCGCTGAGTGCACCAAAAATCGAAAAGCTTCTTTACATCAAGGCCAACCACAACTACAAGCGCGAAAACGGCGATAGTTACGAGAATGACCAAGAACTCAGTAGTGAAGAGTAGTATTTGCATTAAAACTAGGTTCTATTGGTTTAAACCAAGGGTAAACCAAAAACCTAATTCCATTTCAAAAACTTGGGTTCGATGCAATACTTCTCCATATACATTCCTGTCGTGCCTTCCTCAGTCACAAATAAGCTTTATGTGGAGTTACTCGGAAGTCAATGAAGTGTACTCACAATTAAGTAATACCCCAAAATTATTACGATGAGGACGCGTACAAGGCGATATTCACAGAATTGTGGATGAGCTTGAACGTCAATTTAGTTGTCAAGTGACAGAGTGTGATGGAGCTGTGCGGGGTAGCCCCCTCAGGAGGGCCCCATTTGTATGTAGCTCCGGGCGTGTCCTGAACCAATTATTTGCCGCTTCCACTATGACGTTTTAAAAGTAAACCAGAGATTAGCGGTTTCAATGGTGGCGATCAAGGTCATTTGGTGGCCGAGAGGCAGTGGTTTGACTGCCGGTATCGGCTTTATTTGAAATGATGGCAGTGAAAATCGCATAAGTGAACTCAATGTACCTTACTTCCAAAACAAAACAAAACGAAATTCCCATTAATAAAAAGAAGGAAAATTTCGAACATTTGTGCACAAGGTGATACAAGGATTGTAGAAGGATATAATTGCGGCAGGTCAACAATACATGTAACTACGATAGACGAACGCATCGAATCGAGGGTCGTTTGGTTATGAAAACAACGAGCTACGCCTTCGTTTAGACACAATATTTGCCTTCACTTCAACTGCATTTGAGACATCTGAAGTACCCCTTAAGTATGACAGGTCCAATTGGCGTGGTCCACACCAGTACCGCTACTTTTCGGTTACTTCTCCCCGCTAGCCCCTCGTTTGTGGTCCCAAGCTCACTCGCACATCGCCAGCCAAGACCAGACCTCCAGAATGAACCGCTTCGTCGCCGCCCTCCGCCCTCTGTCGCGCGCTGTCGCCCGCCCGCAGTTCGTGTCCCGCGCCGCCCCCGCGCGCTTCTTCAGCGCGCAGACGTTCCTGGACCGCAACGAGGTGAGCGAGCGCGTGCTGGGCGTCGTCAAGAACTTCGAGAAGGTGGACGCGGACGCCGTCAAGGAGGGCGCCAAGTTCCAGGAGGACCTGGGCCTGGACTCGCTGGACGTGGTGGAGGTCGTCATGGCCATGGAGGAGGAGTTCACCATCGAGATCCCGGACAACGAGTCGGAGAAGCTGCTCACGCCCGCGCAGGTCATCGACTACATCGCCGCCCACCCCATGGCCAAGTAAATGCCGTCTCGGAGTATGCTGCTGTTAGTCTGCAGTGCGCGTCGCAGTGCTGTCCAAGAGAGCTGCTGCTGAGTCTCTAGGGTAGCGGCACAGCCTCACGTCTCCTCGACGCCGCTTCACGGCGAGAAAGATACAGGTTCTCGTCGCGTTGGGAGCGCCGAGGGAGGCTGGTGCGGCGACGCACGGAACCGACACTTAGCCTTCATTAACGAAACCAAAAAGAAAGCTACTTTGATAAAGACGCGAGCGTGTTGAGTTGGGTTAAGCTGAGTTGGGGCTTGACGTGCTTGAGGGCATGTTGAAGCGATGGGAGATCGCAATGTGAGGCTGGGAGGCCTTCGAGGCTTGAGCCCTGACCTTCTAAGAATTCTACGTATGTGTAGTGTGGATACACTTCCGATGCAGCAGCTTGCCCATTGCTTGCTTGTCGTGTTCGCGTGGCGAGCGGCAGTTGATCAGCTCACAATCCGTTTAACACTTGAATGTTGGATGGATCCACTGACTGACGAGCTCCACCGAGCCAAAGCTCGTTCATTACTTGCATTAACATTGTTGGCTAAATAAATGCGCTGCCATCAGCTCTACAACTGCCTCGCCGCCCCATAAAGACAGCAGCAACGCATTGGCTCGGGTCAGCGCTACGGCAGCAAAATGTGGAAACAGGATGGTGTCGTGTCTGTCTCCTCCATCGCCGCGAGTTTACTTGCCCTCCCTCTTCTTCTCCGCCTGCAGCCGCGACAGGATATCGTTGATGTGGTTCTTGACAACGGGTTGTCCTGTAGCCGTGCGCTGGCTCAGCTTCACGTGGCGCTTCTTGCGCTGCGTCACCTTCTTCTCGACGGTCGCGATGCGCTTCTGCTTCTCCTCGCGCGCGCGCTGCTTCTCCATCTTCGTGATCGCCGCCTTCTTCTTCGCCTTGAAGAACGGGTCGGGCTTCACCACGCGCGTCTTCTCCTCTCGCTCCTGCTGCTGCTTCCTGTCGACACGCGCCTCCACCTGCTCCGCACACGAGGTCGCTCATCAGTATATAGAGCCTACAACCCTGCATAATAAAACACCACATAGCGCCGCACCTCCTCCGCGTCCTCGTCCACCTTGCCGCTCTTGAGCTCGCTGAAGAACCGGTCGTAGAACGACGAACCGGCGGTCGCGTCGCCGTCGCCGCCCGCTGCCGCGCCCTCCTCGCGCTTCTTCACCTTCTCGTACTGGCGCCGGCGCTGCGCCTTGTGGATGATGGCCTTCTTCTTGCTCTTCGCATCGCTCTTGGACCGCTGCGCCTTGCCCTTGATGAACCGCTCGATACTCAAGCCGCTGCCGCGCATGGTGCTCCTCTGTAGCTGCTCGACTCGGGTCAATACTCTTCCCTGGCTTCCCAACCAATAAAAAGACAAATTGGTGTGCGACTACACCAATGTAGCCATTTCAGTGATTGATGACCGACCATCTACTTCAACTTGCCTCCTCATTAGAACGAGTGCGACCTGGACGGCGCCACGGTGTGGTCGTCCTCCAGCTGCTCCAGCTGGTAGGCTGGCATGGTCGCAGTGGCCTGCTTGCACCAGCAGCCGCAGCCCGTGGGGCACGCCGTCTCGACCTCGAACCATTCGCGAAGGTGCTCGGCGTGGCCGCCATGGCCGCACGTCATGCAAAACATCGACTGGCCGCGCACCACGAGCTGGCACACGGAGCAGCGGACGGCGAAGTCCCGACAGCTCGAGCACACGGGGTCGATCGTCCGCTATAAGAAGCAGCACACATACATACAAGAGGTTAACCAGCAGATACTCTAGAGAGCATCGCTCTCTGTCGGATACGTACCGCGTTGCACGAGCCGCAGATCAAGCCCATGGAGATGCCACGAGGGTCTTGCACGCCGTGAGACTTGGTCTTCAGCACTTCGTTGCGTAGGTTCATAGCACCGTAGCGATAGAGAACGTCTGCGTACGCCTCCTTGTAAATGTCATAGCGCGCCTCGTCTTCGGGGAGCGACGATAGCAGGCACTTCTCGTCGTCCACAGAGCGGAAACTCAACTGCAACAGCACGCGGTCGTTTCCGTTGATCTCCTCTTCTCTGCTGGTCGTGGCGAGTGATGTGTGCAGAGGAGACGACATTACTGGGTCAACTCTTGGAGATGCCGTCACTGTCATTGACGGAGCCGGTGACTTGCCATTGACAGCTTGGATCGGGGGCTGGAACGTGTCTGCACTTAGCCGAGGTGGTGGCGCGTCCTTTGAGGCGCTCCCACTCCACGTCTTGAACGGATTCTCCAGCCGCTCAAAGTCCATTTTCCAACCTGTGCTTCCTGTTGGCGCTGATTGCTTGGTCTGTAGATCGCGGTTGATTGTTGATGATGTGCTGGTAGTGGACAACGTATGCTCTCGGATCGGGCTCGATTGTCGACTTGACGTGGCACTGTTCGTGCCGCTGCTGAGCAGCGGCCAGTCCTTCGACGCACGTAAGGCGTTGTCCTTATCGATTGGCAGGCCCTGCGAGCGCGCTTCACTGTGGCTACTCGACCGGCGAGCACTCCTCATCACAGGCGGAGCGTCGCTTGAATCGGCTAATGTCAGTTGCGTGAGAGCATTCGATGACAAGCGTCTGGGACGCAAGCCGCCGCTGCTTGCTGTACTTCCCGTCACACTGCTCCCCACGCCAGTTGCCACCTCCTCGATGCTTGCGCGCCGGTCCTCACGCACCACTGGGAGCTGATCTTCCATTGTAATTGCTGAGGGTGTCATCGAGTCGCGAATCTCATCCGGGTCCTTGCGCTCGTTCGGCTTCAAGGCACACACGATCGACGCCAGCGCTTGAACGTCGCCTGCCTGCTCGTACATGTCCAGCACTTTGTGTACCAGGCTCTTCCCAAGCGGGTGTGCACTCCAAGGATGCGAGGTTCGCAGACACAGCGACGTCGAAGAGCTGGTGCTCTTCTTGTAGATAGGCAGCTCTACCTCAGGAGCTGCTGAGATCTCTAATAACGACCAAATCTGCTGCAAGTCGCTTCGGCCGGCCAGCAGCGCAGTCCGAGCGTTTTGAGCGCACGTTGCAGCTAGTGCGGTACAAGATTCGTCGAACGCGGGGTCATCGTCTTCGTGTTGGCTCTTGGTTGCTGCCTCGCTGTCGGCCAGTATACCCTGCAATACTCGAGTCAGGTTGTTGTTCTTTGATGAAACTCCACGTTTGCCAGGCATGTCTTCTGCCGCACGCAACATCCACGATATCATCGACCGGTTTACGGATCCAAGCTGCTCCTTCTTCCGCTTGGTTGATTTGCTGGCTTTAGGCGATACTGTCGGCGGCGCCACAGGGCGAGGCGAAATATCTGTCTGGTACGTCAAGATGGACGACACGCCGCACAGCTTGGACAGATCCAGGATAGTCACGCTGATGCTAAGATCCAGGTTGAGAGCAGGCGCAGGTTGCTCCACACGCTTCATTCGCTCTGCAGTATTTGCGCGCATGGATGCTCGAGGGGAGAGTTGGAGGCCAGCCGTAGTGCTCGTCGGCATGGAGAGTAAATGCTCTGGGTTATTCACGGGTAAATGATACTCGGCACTCGAAAAGTACGTATTCAGGTACTCAGAACCTCCGTGAATTGAGGGCTCCATCTCGTTCACTCCAGCCAACATGTCGTCGTTTCCACCTGCACCGCCACTTCCAGATGAATAATACATGGATGCGTGACGATAACCATGCGCGGATACAGAGTGATCATCGTCTCCAAACACACCCACCACGACGCCACCATCGATCAGTTCCTGAGATTGTTGCTGCTGTCCTGCCCAGTCATTGGCGCCAACGTCCATAGATCCCATGATATTGGCTGACGATAGCAGCTTCACTGGCGGCTTCTTGTTCTTCTTGGTCGCGAATCGAGAGTCTCTCAGATCCAGCAACTCCTCGTAAGTCCTCGGTAGCTTATTCGGAGGTGGCTGCGGCTTGCTTCCCTTGCCAGCAGCGACTGCCGTGGGAACAACAGCTGAGCTCCTCGATTGTCCGATGGCCACGCGTGAATCAAACACCAGCAGTATGTTAGGACCACTAAAGGCAGCTCCAGAGATACGTGGACACGGCAGTGCTCTTGCACCACTAGAACTTGCAGCTCGCTCTTTCGTACTCGCGGAATCATCGGAGCGGGCATCCTCCTTATCTCCAGTCCCTGAAACTGGCGCATCCTCTTCACCACTGGCAGGCTGAGGTTGAGTCTCGCCGCCCTTGATCAGCTCCTCCTCAAGCGCAAGAAGAGCCTGGAGCGAGCTGTCGTTACCCTCCAACGTGTACTCGTCCGTGCCCAGCGGCACTGCAGACTTTGGCACCACGAGCGGCACAAAGTCGGTTTTCAGCGCCGATAGACTGTACTTCGAGTGCTGCGCGTGCATCTCGGCAAACTCGGTACGAAGCATACGTCGGGCGTCCGTGTGCTGGCGGGCGCTAGTGTTATTACCTTCCGATGGCGCCACATCCGCCAAATACGATGCTGTGTCATAGCCGCACGCTTCAAGCTGCGGGACGTCCAGGTGCCACATACGAAGTTCCTGATCTTTCGACCACGACACGAGCTGGTACACGCTGGTCTGGGGACGAACGCGCCACGCCATACCGCGCACCAAATCACTATGACCCGCAAACGAGTGCACCAGCTCCGCCGTGACGGAAGATCCTGCGTTGGTGCCAGACACATTCACATCTCCCGCATCTTCGTTGCCGCCGCTGTCCCCGTCACCATGCGAAAGAGCCCATAGGCGGATCGTATTGTCCATCCGCTGCGAAGAAATCGTCACGAGTCCATCGCCAAACGGCGTGTACTGCGCTCTCCACACTGGCGCGCCGGTATTCAGCGTTCCTTGGCACACTCTCGGCTGCGTCACGTCCCAAAACTTGACCGTCTTATCGTCCGAGCACGTCAGCAACTCGTACATCCGCTGCGGATGCCAGTCGAGCCCATAGATCTTCTGCATGTGGGCCGTGATCTGCGCCGCCGGGGCCACCGTCTTCTCTCCAGCAGCTCGCAGGTCCCAGACGCGCACTTCTCCGTCATGGGCAGTGGCTAGCGACGTGGCATCCACGCGGTTCCACTCCACCTGGATCACGCTCGTGTTGAAGGCGTTCAGCGTCTGTACGGGCCTCTGGGGCGACCTCATATCCCACAGCAGCGTCTTGGCGTCTGCTGAGCAAGTCGCCAGCAGCGACGGCTCCATGGGGGACCAGGCCACGTCACTCACGGGTCTCGTGTGGGCTCTCAATGTGGCCACCAGCGGCTGCGTGGTGCTCTGCGAGCCACTGCCACCTGCGCCTCCTGCTCCGCTGCTGTGGCCGTGTTTGTAGACGCTGGAGGAGCCCTGACCCGCCCCAATGGACGCCGAAGCGCCCGAGCCAACTCCCACGTCGGCGATGTCCCAGATGAGAGTGTTCCTGTTGCTGGACGACGCTACGTGGCTCTTAAAAAGCGCGTGCGGGTTGCACTTGACCACCGTCACCTCGAGCTTCGTCTGGTGGTGCAGCGTGGCCGGCGGCAGGAACGGCGCCTCCAGGTCCACGAGGTGCAGACCCTTGCGGCCCGCCAGCACGGCTACAGCGCCCGTGGCGTCCACGCTCAACGCGCTGGCGTTCAGGTCCAGGTGCACGTTGACATTCCCGTGGATCGTGGAGCCCCCCGAAGCCGAGACAGAGCTGCCCGACGCAGCGGACGCGCTGGACGTCGCGTTTGTCGTACCGGACACGCCTGCGGACACGGAGTGCGCGCCGCGTTCCCCGTCCCGCGCGCTGGTGGCGCCGCGAGAGGCATGATAGCTGCGGTGCCGTCGGCGCATATTGCTGGGCTCCGGTGAAAATTGGGCGTGCTGCTATTGCGAATTTTGTAATTGGTTTCAATGTAAATGTCTGGAAAAGGCCAGCTGCAACTTTTCGGATAAACGACCAACTTCAACTTTCGCTAGACCATGACAAGGTTCCAACGATCCGTGGTGCGCGTAACTCAGACCATCAGGAGTACGGGAATGCCTTTAAGTACTGTGTTGTCAACCTCGTACTACGAACAAACACACCCACTAAGCTCATCTAAGGCCCGCTTTTCTCTACTTTGCGATGTGGTTCTCAAAATGCAGACGCAAAGACGCCGTCTAAGCTGCTCGAGTGTCCTCTTAACACGACCCTCGAACTACTGCATCGACGCCGACGCTTGCAGGTACTGCGCTATAAACAGAGTAGTGGGTGGCGTCAATGAACGAGTTCATCGCTTCAGGCACCGACGGCTGTCTTTCAGAAGAGGACGGCGAGTGAGGCGCCTCTGCTGCGCTGAAGCATTCCGTTCAGTGCGGACACGTGAAGCATGCATTCCGAGCGTATAGTTAACTCAATAGCAAAGGTCGCTGGATCTTTTCTTGAAGCACACCTGCGACAAAAGACAAATGGTTGGCTCGCCGTGGGCCGAGCTCGAGGAGCTACTGATACCATATTCATCCTGGTGATCGCGAATCTTGGTACCGTATTGCCAGGCAGCGCGGCGTCGAAAGAATGTAAGCATTACTTGCTGCCAGCCCGGTGAGAATATGGTATGCTTGGGATCTTTGGTTTGCCACGAGCCAAGGAGAGGAGAAGAGCATGGCCTGCCTGATGCATGTACAGTAGGGTTGACAGCCAAAGCGTAGCCACTCAGAGCATCACCCCGATCCGTTTCGTTCCGGCGGTGCCTTGAGTGGGAGACGCACAAACTGCAGCCGACGCCAAGTCAGAACTTACGAGCCCGACGCCGAATTTATTTCGAACTTATTTCGTGGAACCGCATTGTTGAAGTTGCGTGCTATAGCCGTGCGAACATGGCTCTCGAGTTGAAGATGGCTACACGAGTTATCGGTTATTATATTATCTTTTTCAAAAAATGAAGAAATTATTAAACATTTTAGTATTCTAATATCGATAAATTTCAAAATGATTTAAACTTTTTAAAACAATTACTAAAAATACACAAAATACACAAATTCACCCATATTATAGGGAGTATTTTTTTTAAATCTTGTTTTTTTGATGATTTAGTTGACCATTGTTTTAAAAGATTACCATTATAGGCCTTACCACTTGGCTATACTTCAAAGTAAATAAAATGTATGCTTAGTTTCATCATTAGGTGTTTACGGTATTATTATTGGTGGTTGGTCAAGTAATTCTAAATATTTGTTGTTAGGTGCATTAAGATCAACTGCACAAATGATTTTTGCTGTACTATTTTTGATTTTTTTGCTAAGTAACCGTTTGATATTTGAAAATTATATTTAACTGTTGGTACTACAGATTATCAAATATTATATTATAGTAATTTTAATTTTTCATATGAAAAAATATATTTTTTTAGTTTTTTTTTATCATTTGCTGTTAAAGTTCCAATGTTACCGTTTCATGTTTGGTTACCAGAAGCTCATATGAAACTTGGCTAATAATACCAAATGCTGGTAAAATTAAAATATAAACTTTAGGGTGACCAAAAAACCAAAATAAATGTTAATAAATTTAGCTACTCGGCGATGCCTTTCAACAACCGATACACCAGAGATTTACCCTTCTCGGTCCTCTCGTAAGCATTATTTAAATTAATAGGTTTCATAGAAAAAATAAAACCCAAAACGGAAATAACCGGAGTTGCTGGATCTTGAAAACCTAATTGCCAAGGTTCGGCCATATCTAAAAACATAATGGTAAAAGCTTGCTTGACTGTAAGATAGACATATCAAACAGGGACGAAAGTCGGTCATAGTGATCCGATAATTCTTTGTGGAAAGATTATCGCTCAACGGATATATTGTACGACACTTTCATTATGTATTATCTATGGGTGCTGTTTTTGGTATATTTACTGGATTTTATTTTTGGATTGGTGTAACATAGAAACCCTTGGATTTACGGTGATAACGATTTATATTCGTTATTTTTTGTAAAGTAAATAATAATGGTGTTTCAAATTTTAAAGAACCACCCATTATGTTTAATACCTGTTATTTATGCTTCATTAACAGCTATTCGTCAAACAGATTTAAAACGTATTATTGTTAATTCTTAATAGGTTTTAAGGGTGGTTCCCCAATATTCAAAAAAGATTACACATGTTAAAACAAGGCTTAAATATACCTTTATCTGTTGAAGATCAGATTGTAATTATTTATTTAGGTGTTTAGAAAGAAAAAAGACACATAAAAAATTTATAAATAATATTGATAATATGCTTCAAGAATTTTTTTAAATGTTTTAACTGAACCATGAACTGGGTATGAGAGAGGGATCGGCCCACTTGGCGGCGCCCCTGTCGAGGCCTTCTCATTCTCCAATATCCTGCCTCGCCAGCAAGCCTCCCCACCCAGCACCCGCCCAGGCTCCCTCCCCATCCAGCCACGGCTCCGTCCGTCCGCCGCCTCGTGGCCCTGTTCGAGTCCCGCGCCGCCGTCCGCACCGCGACACGCGCCTCCGCAGCCGCAGCGACCAGCAGGACGAGGGTCTCCACCCTCATCGAGTCCTACAGCGCCTCGTCGACCATCGCGTCCAGCTCCGTCGAGGCGACCGACGTCGTAGGCTCCTCCGCGGTCGCAGCAGTGGAGACGCTCGACCCCCGCTGGTCCATCCAGCTCCTCGACGCGGCGAGGTTTGCCGAGTTCCAGTACGGCTACTCCGGTTTCGAAGCTCCAGCCGTCGACGACCAAGACCAAGACCAAGGCCAAGGCTTCACGGCGCTGGAGCCGACTGAAGAGCTCCACGAAGTCACTGCTGCCGCCGCCGACGACGGAGACGACGAAGACTGCCTCCAGCAAGCGCCTCCTGCTGAGCTGCCCGTCGGCCCTGTCGACGATGCCGACGTCAAGAGCTATAGCCAGCTCCTGCAGGAGGCCGACGACCTCCTCGACCGCGTCCACGACGCGGCTGCTGCTGACGCTGCGCCTGCAGTCGTTGAGCCCAAGCCTTCGGAGACCCAGCCGCACGTCCGAGCTGCTGCAGCTCCGCAAGCTACCAAGTCCCGCCTGTTGGACTTCAAGCAGAGCGCGGCGTTTGTCGGGCAGTGCGCGCAGGCAAGGCGGCGGCGCAGCGCGGCAGCAGCGAAGCCCCAACGTCCGCTCTGGAAGCTCTGAGCGACGTTACTCCCGAACGACATGCATGTGAACTGTGTACAGTAGTAGTAGTAGTGCGTGCATTTCCAGACCCAGGTTTGCAGTCGACCTCTGCTGCTTGACGGACGTGGTCTAGGCTGCACCTCATTACGTGCGCGCCTGAGACCTTCCTGTTCATCGAGCGGCGGGGTCGATGGTCGAGTTTTCGGCCGATCGATTGCATCCCGTGCCTGAGCTGCACCTCATCACGTGCTGGCTTACACTGCTGCGACCGTGGAGGAACGTACGACGTCGGTCGTCTCGACGGAGCTGGACGCGATGGTCGACGAGGCGCTGTAGAACTCGATGAGGGTGGAGACCCTCGTCCTGCTGGTCGCTGTGGCTGCGGAGGCGCGTGTCGCGGTGCGGACGGCGGCGCGGGACTCGAACAGGGCCACGAGGCGGCGGACGGACGGAGCCGTGGCTGGATGGGGAGGGAGCCTGGGCGGGTGCTGGGTGGGGAGGCTTGCTGGCGAGGCAGGATATTGGAGAATGAGAAGGCCTCGACAGGGGCGCCGCCAAGTGGGCCGATCCCTCTCTCATACCACTGCTGCGACAGCATGGTTCAGTTCATGGTTCAGTTCAACTCGTGTAGCCATCTTCAACTCGAGAGCCACGTTCGCACGGCTATAGCACGCAACTTCAACAATGCGGTTCCACGAAATAAGTTCGAAATAAATTCGGCGTCGGGCTCGTAAGTTCTGACTTGGCGTCGGCTGCAGTTTGTGCGTCTCCCACTCAAGGCACCGCCGGAACGAAACGGATCGGGGTGATGCTCTGAGTGGCTACGCTTTGGCTGTCAACCCTACTGTACATGCATCAGGCAGGCCATGCTCTTCTCCTCTCCTTGGCTCGTGGCAAACCAAAGATCCCAAGCATACCATATTCTCACCGGGCTGGCAGCAAGTAATGCTTACATTCTTTCGACGCCGCGCTGCCTGGCAATACGGTACCAAGATTCGCGATCACCAGGATGAATATGGTATCAGTAGCTCCTCGAGCTCGGCCCACGGCGAGCCAACCATTTGTCTTTTGTCGCAGGTGTGCTTCAAGAAAAGATCCAGCGACCTTTGCTATTGAGTTAACTATACGCTCGGAATGCATCCGCACTGAACGGAATGCTTCAGCGCAGCAGAGGCGCCTCACTCGCCGTCCTCTTCTGAAAGACAGCCGTCGGTGCCTGAAGCGATGAACTCGTTCATTGACGCCACCCACTACTCTGTTTATAGCGCAGTACCTGCAAGCGTCGGCGTCGATGCAGTAGTTCGAGGGTCGTGTTAAGAGGACACTCGAGCAGCTTAGACGGCGTCTTTGCGTCTGCATTTTGAGAACCACATCGCAAAGTAGAGAAAAGCGGGCCTTAGATGAGCTTAGTGGGTGTGTTTGTTCGTAGTACGAGCTTGGCAGTACTGTGCTTGAAGGCATCCACGCAGTGTTAATGGTCTCAATTCCATGCATCACGTATCGCTGGAACCTGTAGGCTCTGCCGTCTAACGAAAAGTTGAAGTTGGCCTCATATCCGAAAAGTTGAAGTTGGCCTTTTCCCGAAAATTACATTACACAAAATTCGCAATAGTAGCATGCCAAGCTCAGCAATAATGGGCGGACGGCACCGCAGCTAGCACGACTCTCGCGGCGTCAGCAGCGCGCAGGACGCGGGCCATGGCGCGCACTCCGTGTCCGCAGGCGCGTCCGGTACGACAGACGCGTCCGCTGCGTCGGGCGGCTCTGTGTCGACGCTGGGGCCTCCACGATCCACGGGAACGTCAACGTGCACCTGGACCTGAACACGAACGCGCTGAGCGTGGACAGCTGCACCACCAGACGGAGATCGAGGTGACAGTGGCCAAGTGCGACCCGCACGCGCTGTTCAAGAGCCACGCGGCGCCGTCCAGCAACCGGAACACGCTCCTCTGGGACATTGGCGACGTGGGGGCGGGCTGGAAGCCTCGAGTTGCCCCAGCGCGTTGGCCGGTGACCCCCACAAAGCTCCTACGATTCGTGACGGCGTCGAGTGTTGGTGCTGCTGCTGCCCGCGTGGGAGAAGGTGTTCGTGTCGGGTGGCGCTGAGTTGTTCCACCGCCTGGCTGGCGGCCAGCACCGCGGTTGCATTGTGGACTGGACTCCAGATCTTCCCGCCGTTTGCTCGCCCAGGATGCTGCGTCGCTCGGGGAGTGCGGTCAATCTGCAGACACGAACTCGTCGCCGTTGTGGTGGCCTCCGCTCCGTGGGGTGGTGCCGAAGCTGCTGAAGAGTCTCACAGTAGCGGCGACGGCGGCGACGTGGGCACGGGATACCGCGACAGCGCCACCTTGTCCTCAGAAGACTTGGCGGAGGAGCACGAAGCTGCTCCACCAGCGCTGCGAAGTCGTCCTGGAGCTGTGTGTTCACTCCAGCAAGGTCTGTGTGCTCTTCGGTCTGGCCGCCGACAGCGTCCATCACGTCCGCTGAGAGATCAGCAACCTCCGTGTTCCACGACCAGAGTTTCTCGGGAAGGAAGCTGAAGTTCACCAGAGACTGTGAAAGGCAGCTTGATCACGGCGTCATGATACTGGGTCGACGGAACCAGGCTGCTGGATTCCGGTCTTTCGTCGTTGAGTCCGTTTGCGCTTGGGCAGCGTACGCTGGCCAAAAAGAAGAAGAACAAGAACTTCGAGCGGCTATCGGCGGCGCCACCCGCCCTACACAACCTTCTCAATCAGATGCAGGAGTCGCTGGCAACTCTGGATACCCGCGATACCGGGCTGCAGTTCCCATCGGACAAGGTCTCGCAGGCTTCGTCTTCGCCATGAAGCCAGGTGCTACCGAAGGCACAAGTGGACGTGGCCAAGGCGTACGAGTCACTTCAAAAGAGACTGGTAGAGCTGCTCGGCAAGCGCTGTGCCAGCATTCGCGCTATTTTACAGAGAACCAGTTCGAATTGGGGCTCTAGCGTTGGAAACCAGTGTGTTTAGACACAGGAGGAGGCAGGACAAGGTCAAATACATGCGCTCGTTTGCTTCTCAGCAGTTCATGGCCATTAGAAAGATACCAAAAGCAGTTCATGTTGCGATATAAGGAGTAAACAAACAAATTGGTGGTATCATGAGGACGTTAGTTAATTTATGTGGATCCAGGTCTGCGCGTCAAGCCTCGAGTCCTCTCGAAGGCTGATCCTGCACCCTAAGCCAGCACGTGATGAGGTGCAGCTCAGGCGCGGGATGCAATCGATCGGCCGAAAACTTGACCATCGACCCCGCCGCTCGATGAACAGGAAGGTCTCAGGCGCGCACGTAATGAGGTGCAGCCTAGACCACGTCCGTCAAGCAGCAGAGGTCGACTGCAAACCTGGGTCTGGAAATGCACGCACTACTACTACTACTGTACACAGTTCACATGCATGTCGTTCGGGAGTAACGTCGCTCAGAGCTTCCAGAGCGGACGTTGGGGCTTCGCTGCTGCCGCGCTGCGCCGCCGCCTTGCCTGCGCGCACTGCCCGACAAACGCCGCGCTCTGCTTGAAGTCCAACAGGCGGGACTTGGTAGCTTGCGGAGCTGCAGCAGCTCGGACGTGCGGCTGGGTCTCCGAAGGCTTGGGCTCAACGACTGCAGGCGCAGCGTCAGCAGCAGCCGCGTCGTGGACGCGGTCGAGGAGGTCGTCGGCCTCCTGCAGGAGCTGGCTGTAGCTCTTGACGTCGGCATCGTCGACAGGGCCGACGGGCAGCTCAGCAGGAGGCGCTTGCTGGAGGCAGTCTTCGTCGTCTTCGTCGTCGGCGGCGGCAGCAGTGACTTCGTGGAGCTCTTCAGTCGGCTCCAGCGCCGTGAAGCCTTGGCCTTGGTCTTGGTCTTGGTCGTCGACGGCTGGAGCTTCGAAACCGGAGTAGCCGTACTGGAACTCGGCAAACCTCGCCGCGTCGAGGAGCTGGATGGACCAGCGGGGGTCGAGCGTCTCCACTGCTGCGACCGCGGAGGAGCGTGCGACGTCGGTCGCCTCGACGGAGCTGGACGCGATGGTCGACGAGGCGCTGTAGGACTCGATGAGGGTGGAGACCCTCGTCCTGCTGGTCGCTGCGGCTGCGGAGGCGCGTGTCGCGGTGCGGACGGCGGCGCGGGACTCGAACAGGGCCACGAGGCGGCGGACGGACGGAGCCATGGCTGGATGGGGAGGGAGCCTGGGCGGGTGCTGGGTGGGGAGGCTTGCTGGCGAGGCAGGATATTGGAGAATGAGAAGGCCTCGACAGGGGCGCCGCCAAGTGGGCCGATCCCTCTCTCATACCACTGCTGCGACAGCATGGTTCAGTTCATGGTTCAGTTCAACTCGTGTAGCCATCTTCAACTCGAGAGCCACGTTCGCACGGCTATAGCACGCAACTTCAACAATGCGGTTCCACGAAATAAGTTCGAAATAAATTCGGCGTCGGGCTCGTAAGTTCTGACTTGGCGTCGGCTGCAGTTTGTGCGTCTCCCACTCAAGGCACCGCCGGAACGAAACGGATCGGGGTGATGCTCTGAGTGGCTACGCTTTGGCTGTCAACCCTACTGTACATGCATCAGGCAGGCCATGCTCTTCTCCTCTCCTTGGCTCGTGGCAAACCAAAGATCCCAAGCATACCATATTCTCACCGGGCTGGCAGCAAGTAATGCTTACATTCTTTCGACGCCGCGCTGCCTGGCAATACGGTACCAAGATTCGCGATCACCAGGATGAATATGGTATCAGTAGCTCCTCGAGCTCGGCCCACGGCGAGCCAACCATTTGTCTTTTGTCGCAGGTGTGCTTCAAGAAAAGATCCAGCGACCTTTGCTATTGAGTTAACTATACGCTCGGAATGCATGCTTCACGTGTCCGCACTGAACGGAATGCTTCAGCGCAGCAGAGGCGCCTCACTCGCCGTCCTCTTCTGAAAGACAGCCGTCGGTGCCTGAAGCGATGAACTCGTTCATTGACGCCACCCACTACTCTGTTTATAGCGCAGTACCTGCAAGCGTCGGCGTCGATGCAGTAGTTCGAGGGTCGTGTTAAGAGGACACTCGAGCAGCTTAGACGGCGTCTTTGCGTCTGCATTTTGAGAACCACATCGCAAAGTAGAGAAAAGCGGGCCTTAGATGAGCTTAGTGGGTGTGTTTGTTCGTAGTACGAGCTTGGCAGTACTGTGCTTGAAGGCATCCACGCAGTGTTAATGGTCTCAATTCCATGCATCACGTATCGCTGGAACCTGTAGGCTCTGCCGTCTAACGAAAAGTTGAAGTTGGCCTCATATCCGAAAAGTTGAAGTTGGCCTTTTCCCGAAAATTACATTACACAAAATTCGCAATAGTAGCATGCCAAGCTCAGCAATAATGGGCGGACGGCACCGCAGCTAGCACGACTCTCGCGGCGTCAGCAGCGCGCAGGACGCGGGCCATGGCGCGCACTCCGTGTCCGCAGGCGCGTCCGGTACGACAGACGCGTCCGCTGCGTCGGGCGGCTCTGTGTCGACGCTGGGGCCTCCACGATCCACGGGAACGTCAACGTGCACCTGGACCTGAACACGAACGCGCTGAGCGTGGACAGCTGCACCACCAGACGGAGATCGAGGTGACAGTGGCCAAGTGCGACCCGCACGCGCTGTTCAAGAGCCACGCGGCGCCGTCCAGCAACCGGAACACGCTCCTCTGGGACATTGGCGACGTGGGGGCGGGCTGGAAGCCTCGAGTTGCCCCAGCGCGTTGGCCGGTGACCCCCACAAAGCTCCTACGATTCGTGACGGCGTCGAGTGTTGGTGCTGCTGCTGCCCGCGTGGGAGAAGGTGTTCGTGTCGGGTGGCGCTGAGTTGTTCCACCGCCTGGCTGGCGGCCAGCACCGCGGTTGCATTGTGGACTGGACTCCAGATCTTCCCGCCGTTTGCTCGCCCAGGATGCTGCGTCGCTCGGGGAGTGCGGTCAATCTGCAGACACGAACTCGTCGCCGTTGTGGTGGCCTCCGCTCCGTGGGGTGGTGCCGAAGCTGCTGAAGAGTCTCACAGTAGCGGCGACGGCGGCGACGTGGGCACGGGATACCGCGACAGCGCCACCTTGTCCTCAGAAGACTTGGCGGAGGAGCACGAAGCTGCTCCACCAGCGCTGTGAAGTCGTCCTGGAGCTGTGTGTTCACTCCAGCAAGGTCTGTGTGCTCTTCGGTCTGGCCGCCGACAGCGTCCATCACGTCCGCTGAGAGATCAGCAACCTCCGTGTTCCACGACCAGAGTTTCTCGGGAAGGAAGCTGAAGTTCACCAGAGACTGTGAAAGGCAGCTTGGTCACGGCGTCATGATACTGGGTCGACGGAACCAGGCTGCTGGATTCCGGTCTGTCGTCACTGAGTCCATCGACGCTTGCTCAGCGTGCGCTGGCCAAGGAGAAGAAGAACAAGAAGTGCGAGCAGCTATCGGCGGCGCCACCCGCCCTACACAACCTTCTCAATCAGATGCAGGAGTCGCTGGCAACTCTGGATACCCGCGATACCGGGCTGCAGTCCACCGGATTGCACGGAACCTGCTCGACGAGCGGAGGACACGGCAACCCGCTGTCTGGCTGGCACGTGTCTTCACGGGAGCGAGTCTTGATCGTGCCCAGGATCTTGAACGCACTCCAGGCCCCCACCGCGCAGTCCACGGGGACGCAAGCCTGAACTTCCACCAGCGACGGACACGCCAAGCCGCCGTACAGCGGGAACGTCTGCACTGTTCTCGCCCGGGACTTGACCTTGAGCAGGCACGTGCTCCACGGCGTCCAGTCACTCACGACGCAGTTGATGGGGTCGCACGGTACGCTCTGGGAGAGCGCGGGGCAGGCGGCGCCTCCGTCCTGCGGCCGGACCGTGACCACCCGCGAGCGCGTCTTCCAGCCCGTGAAAGGGTTGCACGTGTAGGCGCTCCAGGGTCCGACCTGGCAGTCGACGCGCACGCAGGGCTGCGACTCCTCCAGTGCAGGGCACGGCGCCCCGCCGAACAGCGGCCAGACCACGACGTTGCGGCGCCGGGTCTTGACCGTGGAGTAGGCGGCGGAGCAGCCGCTGAAGTCGCCCCAGGGCCCGACTTGGCAGTCGATCGGCGGCACGAGCCACCACTCGGGCTCGGCCGAGACACCGAGCAATACGGTGGCGACTACCGCCAGCGGGAGGAAGAGCCGGATGGGGCTCGAAAGCATTGGCGCGCACGTGGAAACGACGCTACGCAGGACTTGGACGACCTTCTACTCGGGACGAGAAGTGGCGAATCGATGCAGACGATGGAAAGCATCGACAAGAGAGAGAGAGAAGATCTTGGCTGGCTGTGTGGCCGCCGTCCGTCGCGGGTTGATATCCATGGGGGAGAGATATCCCGCCTGGAACAGTCGCTGGACCAAGAGCCGCGATCTTCACTGACAGCCCAAACAATTGCTGGTGTGGAGTATCAACTCTAAATTCGGCCTTAAATTCGGATCACATGGTACACCGAGCCATACGGATCGGGAAGCGTTTTGTTGCCATGGTACAGCGTGGCGAGTGTACGCGTGCACTTGAACGCATTTAGCCAGCTATTTTGCTACCAGCGCTTTCGACGCAAGGGACGAGGCCGTGTACGTACTCGTGCAAATATTGCACACTTTTGCACTGCAAAAATGTACGGAACGCGGGACTCGAACCCGCAACCCCCAGATTCGAAGTTTGATACGCTTTCAATTGCGCCAGCCGCGCTTCCGTCACCAACAAAACGCAAGTTAAATAAATAAAGTAACAATTAGTAGTTGTTACCTACAGAAATTGAGAGTACCATAAAAATAAAAAATCAATTAAAACTTTTCTTTTTACTGCCAGTGCGGTTATCGCGCATTGGTGACAATTCGGTTTGACTTGGTCCTATGTCGAAAGCGCTGTTAGAGGCGATTGCTTGCACTTGCGATGTCTTCTTAAAATTGCTGCACAACAGCAACTTTGCTATGTTATCGCGAAAACGTTATCACCAATAAGTAGTATCTAACCTCACTTCGGCTTCATCGATCCGGAGGGGTCCTCGAAAATGTGTACACTCGCGGTCAGTACCGGTACCGTACGTCATACACGTAGCGATACGCGGGCCTCGTATCTGCACCGCCACGACCTGCGAGCGAGTCTTCCAAATTGGGATCTAGTCCGAGAGTGGATTGCAGAGTACTTTAGGCAGTTTTGGAAGCTGACTGGCAATCGGTGCGTACTTGGTAGCCAAATGCACTCTCAAAATTACTTTTTCCTGCAGTATTCTGATAACGAGTACAGCTTTCGAATCGTGTGTAGGGGCAACTACACGATCCCGATCTTGTGTTCTAGGATCGTGTCGTTCTGATACCAGCCCCGCTCTAGATTCTTCTCGAAGTTGACGTCGTTGAAGGGGACGGGGGTTACCACACCGAAGTCCGCAGTCTCCAAAGCCTTGCGCGCTTGGTCCGTCAGCTGCGACCAATGGACGAGGTCTTGAAAGTCACCCGCATCCAACGACACATCAATTGTGTGATACCCGCCCACATAAAAGCCCATGAAGTACTCCATCTTGGGGTGGGTGCCGTTCATAAACTCCTTCACGGTAGGAGGATAGGCCACGTATTCGGCGTCTTCCCGGGAGGCAGAGACTCCGAGAAGCGACGGATTCTCCAGCGCCGGGTTGTTAAGCCAGACGATGGTGTTGATCCAGTCATGGCGGACGGGTGGGTAGCTCGCCTCATACCAACTGATGTCTCTGGGGAAGTACCAAGCGTACATGATGGCCCAAACGTCGCGGTACCACCCAGATCGGCTGTACACTTGCGAGCCCAATACCGATCCCCTGCAGCCGTGACCGTACGGGTTTTTCTCTACCGTTCCTCCGTCGGGCGCCATTGGGTCCATTCCGCCGCTCGTGTCGCCGGCCGCATTCACAGCAGCGTAAGAGCGGCAGCCGTCCTTGATGGCCAGGCTGGGCTTGTACTTGATAGCAGCCTTCTCGGAAATCGTTTTGGGCTCGAGCTCAGGGAACGGCTGGACCTTGTCATAGTCAATGACAGCAGCTTGGGCTGCAACAAGAGCAGAGAGCGCGATAGCAAAGGGTAGTCCGAGCTTCATCGCGACTGGAGGGACGGGTAGTTGCGTGCTCTTCGTCGAAAATCTAGAACTGACAGAAGATGTATTGTGGCGACTCCAGCCCTTATTGAGCGGATCTTGCCAACGATACGGTACATCCACCATCCAGCTTTGCATATCTTCCCGTCAAGATTACTCTACAGAGCCGGTTGCATATGTACATGTGTACAGTAACAAGTTTAACCCCTCCAGACCGGGAGCCGAAAAGAACATGTAAACTGCATACCGTATGCAGCGTAATTAGACTTGATGTTTGTATTCAAAAATGGTTAGGGAAGATAGGATTCACGATGGAGGCCAACAAGGCCGTGCTGGCTCCAGTGTGGCATACCCATGCTGAATAATGCTACTTACCACGGATAGTGACAGGATGCCCGCCGAACAGAAACTAGGGCCCTAGCGAGTCCCGATTTTAAAAAAATCGTAATTTGAAACTTCCCATACAAAAACTTATATACAAAGTAGGTGTCACCTCTAGGCGTTCTGTAAACATGTGGCACGTCCGGAGGCATTCTATGCACTACCGTATACAAACATAAAATGAAATAGACATCCAGAAAAATATCCAGGGGGTAATCAAATGAAACGTTACCATTGTGTACATAAGACAATACCTAAGATGCAAGTTAGGATGTGTCATTGCAGACAGAAGCATGTCATTCTGTAGTAGAAGCAACAAAGCAGCGAGGATTACCAAGTTTGATCACTAAGTCAAATTTCACTGACTTCAACACCGAAGTAGTTAGTTGCCTGGACCCTTCCCAACTAACAACACACACTAAAGCGCTACACCTGCATTCATGCTTGAGGTGGATGTAGTTTACCACATGGTTTCTCCATGGGTGCAAGAAGTTCTACAGTTGAATACTTCAATTAGCTGCTGCTTTGATTGATAGATGCCAAAACCATGCCTTTGCCAATCCAGTCAACAGGAAAGCAGCGATTACAAGCCGTTTCGCTAATTGGAGCATACAAAGGCAAAGTTGCATCTACAACTATGTGTGTGGGTATCCAAAGCCTCGCTATACTGGGAACCGCATCGACTGCAATTGCATTTATCCAAATCGCTTATATTAGTTTGCTAACGTTCACGTTACTACCTCTCGCCCTTATCATTAGCAGCGCCAGCCATGCCAGGTGTCGGCTCGTTTGCCCATCGGTCATACAATGAACACCAAAGCGGCATCTCCGGCTTGGCCGGAATTCGTCTCGGCTCGTTCTTTTCGCTACTACCTCATTCGAGTCGTCGCCTTCACTCAGGCCGGCTCGTTTTCGGGCTGATCATGACTGCTTGGTCGCCGTAGTCTCCTTCAACAGCATCAATATTAATCTGGTTAGCTCATGTAGGCTACGATACAACATCAGTCTAATAAACTGCATGCAATGCAGTATACAGGACAACATGATATACACCACACCATTGTTCGGAGCACGCCATACCGCATCAGCTCCTGCCGTCGTCTTCGCCGCTTACATCAACGCGGAAAGATGTCGGAATCCTTGAGCGCGGGAATCCTGCGTGGGCCTCTCCCCCAGGCCTTCGAACGCCAGGTACGAATGCAGCGGGTTGAGCAGTGCGACCGAGCCCAACAGCTTGACTGTGTACGACAGCTTGTACAGCTGCAGCAGCAGACGCTTGCCTGTAAGCAGCAAAAACAACTGGTGAGGCGAGGCCGATGAAACCTTTGTCGCCCAGGGGGTTCGCATAGCGCAGCCCAAGACTGTTCCCCAGGGGTAGACCCAGAGAATCGACTTGAGAGTCAACAGCAAGAAGATAGACCCAGAGATTCGCAGCCGCAAAGCTTTAAACCCTGAGAATCACACTCCTTGGTTGGCGTGGGCACCTTGTGTAATCCCTGTCGGCTCGTTTGTCTTCGACGGAACGGCACTCCACCGGTTAAAAATGTAACCTCGAAGAAATGCGGGGGCGCACGTCTACTTCAGAACGCACCTCCACACCAAAAAGCAAACCCAGAGAATCAGATCTCCTGAAACCCAGAATATCACGAATTCAGGGTCCAGGATTTCAGTCAACTCTGGGACTTGGAACTCAGAAGACACCTTACCCAAATGCCCTCCTAGCTCGATAAAACGAACAAATACAGAGTATACAAACACTACAACTAGCCGTCACTTATTCTTTTGGACCCTTGGACGGTGGGTCACACACACTAGGTTCACTCGAGTCTGAAATTCAGGTGCCTAGCTCCCCTGAGACTCACACGAACGCGCACCACCTCCAATAAAAGAGGAAAATACAATCACTATCAGTTACCTTCCCTTCACACAAGCAGTCAATACAAAATCCTGGAGGCGACTACCTAGCACCCCAGAATACCCTCTGGAATAATATGAAATGGGCTACCACGAGCACAGCAAGTGACCCAACTAGGATATGGAATAGATGGATCACCCCAGGAAGCTCAAGGCCGTCGCTGGTCACGACCTCACTGGACTTGAGTTTGATGGAGCCCACACAGACGGCTGTCTTTCGCCGTTGATATGCCCTTAGCGTCCCGCGGTCGTAGTCTCGGGTCCTCCGGATTTCAGTCGGCAGGCTTGTTAGAAGTCACTTACGCAGTACAGGGTAAAAGGAACTCTGTTTGGTTTTTATCAGCTACTTCTCTCTCTCTCTCTTCTTCGGGCAAATATCTTCTGTTCACTATGCTTGGGGTCAAAATGTCTTGTCTTGAGTATACCTTGGGATCAGCGGTCCAAACTTGCGATCGGCTTGCGAATCCATTGTCGCACGGCGTCGGAAGTGCCAATTGTGGGTCCTTAGACTTGGTTTAGTATGGTTCAGGACTCCCTCTCGACTCCTCGAAAGTATCCAGTCTGTGCTTCCATGACGGTTCTTCAAGGTCACGCATCATTTTGATTGCAGACTGGCTTCAAACTGGCTCGAATCCCTGAAAACCAGGTGACACTCAGGGTCATCCTCTGAAATCCTGGGAATTCTGAGGAATCTTGGGGAACTGTGGGGATTCTTGGGTGTTGGCTCGGGAAACACTTCAGTTCAGTATAGAGGGTCTGGATGTATGGCCCAAACCCAGAGAATCATCTTTGGAACTCTGGGTCACCTGCACTCAGGGAGGTGAACTCTGGGTCATCGTGCGGCACTCTAGGTTTCCGTGCGACACTCTGGGTAACAAGTCTGCTGCAGTGCGGACTCGTGTGTATCTCCTCAAAGCCACACTTTCAGTGGGTTTAGCAGCCTCCTGCGCATGATCATGGTAGTAGTGGGTTCATTCTCATGGTAATTTGATCCTCTGGAGCACTCTGAGCCACGGCAAGATGAGGCGTACACCGGGATACATTCTCCAGAGACACTTTCCGCCAGACTTTAGGCACTCATCGTAAGGGAAGTCGACCTCTGCTGCTTGACGGACGTGGTCTAGGCTGCACCTCATTACGTGCGCGCCTGAGACCTTCCTGTTCATCGAGCGGCGGGGTCGATGGTCAAGTTTTCGGCCGATCGATTGCATCCCGCGCCTGAGCTGCACCTCATCACGTGCTGGCTTAGGGTGCAGGATCAGCCTTCGAGAGGACTCGAGGCTTGACGCGCAGACCTGGATCCACATAAATTAACTAACGTCCTCATGATACCACCAATTTGTTTGTGTACTCCTTATATCGCAACATGAACTGCTTTTGGTATCTTTCTAATGGCCATGAACTGCTGAGAAGCAAACGAGCGCATGTATTTGACCTTGTCCTGCCTCCTCCTGTGTCTAAACACACTGGTTTCCAACGCTAGAGCCCCAATTCGAACTGGTTCTCTGTAAAATAGCGCGAATGCTGGCACAGCGCTTGCCGAGCAGCTCTACCAGTCTCTTTTGAAGTGACTCGTACGCCTTGGCCACGTCCACTTGTGCCTTCGGTAGCACCTGGCTTCATGGCGAAGACGAAGCCTGCGAGACCTTGTCCGATGGGAACTGCAGCCCGGTATCGCGGGTATCCAGAGTTGCCAGCGACTCCTGCATCTGATTGAGAAGGTTGTGTAGGGCGGGTGGCGCCGCCGATAGCTGCTCGCACTTCTTGTTCTTCTTCTCCTTGGCCAGCGCACGCTGAGCAAGCGTCGATGGACTCAGTGACGACAGACCGGAATCCAGCAGCCTGGTTCCGTCGACCCAGTATCATGACGCCGTGACCAAGCTGCCTTTCACAGTCTCTGGTGAACTTCAGCTTCCTTCCCGAGAAACTCTGGTCGTGGAACACGGAGGTTGCTGATCTCTCAGCGGACGTGATGGACGCTGTCGGCGGCCAGACCGAAGAGCACACAGACCTTGCTGGAGTGAACACACAGCTCCAGGACGACTTCACAGCGCTGGTGGAGCAGCTTCGTGCTCCTCCGCCAAGTCTTCTGAGGACAAGGTGGCGCTGTCGCGGTATCCCGTGCCCACGTCGCCGCCGTCGCCGCTACTGTGAGACTCTTCAGCAGCTTCGGCACCACCCCACGGAGCGGAGGCCACCACAACGGCGACGAGTTCGTGTCTGCAGATTGACCGCACTCCCCGAGCGACGCAGCATCCTGGGCGAGCAAACGGCGGGAAGATCTGGAGTCCAGTCCACAATGCAACCGCGGTGCTGGCCGCCAGCCAGGCGGTGGAACAACTCAGCGCCACCCGACACGAACACCTTCTCCCACGCGGGCAGCAGCAGCACCAACACTCGACGCCGTCACGAATCGTAGGAGCTTTGTGGGGGTCACCGGCCAACGCGCTGGGGCAACTCGAGGCTTCCAGCCCGCCCCCACGTCGCCAATGTCCCAGAGGAGCGTGTTCCGGTTGCTGGACGGCGCCGCGTGGCTCTTGAACAGCGCGTGCGGGTCGCACTTGGCCACTGTCACCTCGATCTCCGTCTGGTGGTGCAGCTGTCCACGCTCAGCGCGTTCGTGTTCAGGTCCAGGTGCACGTTGACGTTCCCGTGGATCGTGGAGGCCCCAGCGTCGACACAGAGCCGCCCGACGCAGCGGACGCGTCTGTCGTACCGGACGCGCCTGCGGACACGGAGTGCGCGCCATGGCCCGCGTCCTGCGCGCTGCTGACGCCGCGAGAGTCGTGCTAGCTGCGGTGCCGTCCGCCCATTATTGCTGAGCTTGGCATGCTACTATTGCGAATTTTGTGTAATGTAATTTTCGGGAAAAGGCCAACTTCAACTTTTCGGATATGAGGCCAACTTCAACTTTTCGTTAGACGGCAGAGCCTACAGGTTCCAGCGATACGTGATGCATGGAATTGAGACCATTAACACTGCGTGGATGCCTTCAAGCACAGTACTGCCAAGCTCGTACTACGAACAAACACACCCACTAAGCTCATCTAAGGCCCGCTTTTCTCTACTTTGCGATGTGGTTCTCAAAATGCAGACGCAAAGACGCCGTCTAAGCTGCTCGAGTGTCCTCTTAACACGACCCTCGAACTACTGCATCGACGCCGACGCTTGCAGGTACTGCGCTATAAACAGAGTAGTGGGTGGCGTCAATGAACGAGTTCATCGCTTCAGGCACCGACGGCTGTCTTTCAGAAGAGGACGGCGAGTGAGGCGCCTCTGCTGCGCTGAAGCATTCCGTTCAGTGCGGACACGTGAAGCATGCATTCCGAGCGTATAGTTAACTCAATAGCAAAGGTCGCTGGATCTTTTCTTGAAGCACACCTGCGACAAAAGACAAATGGTTGGCTCGCCGTGGGCCGAGCTCGAGGAGCTACTGATACCATATTCATCCTGGTGATCGCGAATCTTGGTACCGTATTGCCAGGCAGCGCGGCGTCGAAAGAATGTAAGCATTACTTGCTGCCAGCCCGGTGAGAATATGGTATGCTTGGGATCTTTGGTTTGCCACGAGCCAAGGAGAGGAGAAGAGCATGGTCTGCCTGATGCATGTACAGTAGGGTTGACAGCCAAAGCGTAGCCACTCAGAGCATCACCCCGATCCGTTTCGTTCCGGCGGTGCCTTGAGTGGGAGACGCACAAACTGCAGCCGACGCCAAGTCAGAACTTACGAGCCCGACGCCGAATTTATTTCGAACTTATTTCGTGGAACCGCATTGTTGAAGTTGCGTGCTATAGCCGTGCGAACGTGGCTCTCGAGTTGAAGATGGCTACACGAGTTGAACTGAACCATGAACTGAACCATGCTGTCGCAGCAGTGGTATGAGAGAGGGATCGGCCCACTTGGCGGCGCCCCTGTCGAGGCCTTCTCATTCTCCGCCTCGCCAGCAAGCCTCCCCACCCAGCACCCGCCCAGGCTCCCTCCCCATCCAGCCATGGCTCCGTCCGTCCGCCGCCTCGTGGCCCTGTTCGAGTCCCGCGCCGCCGTCCGCACCGCGACACGCGCCTCCGCAGCCGCAGCGACCAGCAGGACGAGGGTCTCCACCCTCATCGAGTCCTACAGCGCCTCGTCGACCATCGCGTCCAGCTCCGTCGAGGCGACCGACGTCGCACGCTCCTCCGCGGTCGCAGCAGTGGAGACGCTCGACCCCCGCTGGTCCATCCAGCTCCTCGACGCGGCGAGGTTTGCCGAGTTCCAGTACGGCTACTCCGGTTTCGAAGCTCCAGCCGTCGACGACCAAGACCAAGACCAAGGCCAAGGCTTCACGGCGCTGGAGCCGACTGAAGAGCTCCACGAAGTCACTGCTGCCGCCGCCGACGACGAAGACGACGAAGACTGCCTCCAACAAGCGCCTCCTGCTGAGCTGCCCGTCGGCCCTGTCGACGACGCCGACGTCAAGAGCTACAGCCAGCTCCTGCAGGAGGCCGACGACCTCCTCGACCGCGTCCACGACGCGGCTGCTGCTGACGCTGCGCCTGCAGTCGTTGAGCCCAAGCCTTCGGAGACCCAGCCGCACGTCCGAGCTGCTGCAGCTCCGCAAGCTACCAAGTCCCGCCTGTTGGACTTCAAGCAGAGCGCGGCGTTTGTCGGGCAGTGCGCGCAGGCAAGGCGGCGGCGCAGCGCGGCAGCAGCGAAGCCCCAACGTCCGCTCTGGAAGCTCTGAGCGACGTTACTCCCGAACGACATGCATGTGAACTGTGTACAGTAGTAGTAGTAGTGCGTGCATTTCCAGACCCAGGTTTGCAGTCGACCTCTGCTGCTTGACGGACGTGGTCTAGGCTGCACCTCATTACGTGCGCGCCTGAGACCTTCCTGTTCATCGAGCGGCGGGGTCGATGGTCAAGTTTTCGGCCGATCGATTGCATCCCGCGCCTGAGCTGCACCTCATCACGTGCTGGCTTAGGGTGCAGGATCAGCCTTCGAGAGGACTCGAGGCTTGACGCGCAGACCTGGATCCACATAAATTAACTAACGTCCTCATGATACCACCAATTTGTTTGTTTACTCCTTATATCGCAACATGAACTGCTTTTGGTATCTTTCTAATGGCCATGAACTGCTGAGAAGCAAACGAGCGCATGTATTTGACCTTGTCCTGCCTCCTCCTGTGTTTAAACACACTGGTTTCCAACGCTAGAGCCCCAATTCGAACTGGTTCTCTGTAAAATAGCGCGAATGCTGGCACAGCGCTTGCCGAGCAGCTCTACCAGTCTCTTTTGAAGTGACTCGTACGCCTTGGCCACGTCCACTTGTGCCTTCGGTAGCACCTGGCTTCATGGCGAAGACGAAGCCTGCGAGACCTTGTCCGATGGGAACTGCAGCCCGGTATCGCGGGTATCCAGAGTTGCCAGCGACTCCTGCATCTGATTGAGAAGGTTGTGTAGGGCGGGTGGCGCCGCCGATAGCCGCTCGAAGTTCTTGTTCTTCTTCTCTTTGGCCAGCGTACGCTGCCCAAGCGCAAACGGACTCAACGACGAAAGACCGGAATCCAGCAGCCTGGTTCCGTCGACCCAGTATCATGACGCCGTGATCAAGCTGCCTTTCACAGTCTCTGGTGAACTTCAGCTTCCTTCCCGAGAAACTCTGGTCGTGGAACACGGAGGTTGCTGATCTCTCAGCGGACGTGATGGACGCTGTCGGCGGCCAGACCGAAGAGCACACAGACCTTGCTGGAGTGAACACACAGCTCCAGGACGACTTCACAGCGCTGGTGGAGCAGCTTCGTGCTCCTCCGCCAAGTCTTCTGAGGACAAGGTGGCGCTGTCGCGGTATCCCGTGCCCACGTCGCCGCCGTCGCCGCTACTGTGAGACTCTTCAGCAGCTTCGGCACCACCCCACGGAGCGGAGGCCACCACAACGGCGACGAGTTCGTGTCTGCAGATTGACCGCACTCCCCGAGCGACGCAGCATCCTGGGCGAGCAAACGGCGGGAAGATCTGGAGTCCAGTCCACAATGCAACCGCGGTGCTGGCCGCCAGCCAGGCGGTGGAACAACTCAGCGCCACCCGACACGAACACCTTCTCCCACGCGGGCAGCAGCAGCACCAACACTCGACGCCGTCACGAATCGTAGGAGCTTTGTGGGGGTCACCGGCCAACGCGCTGGGGCAACTCGAGGCTTCCAGCCCGCCCCCACGTCGCCAATGTCCCAGAGGAGCGTGTTCCGGTTGCTGGACGGCGCCGCGTGGCTCTTGAACAGCGCGTGCGGGTCGCACTTGGCCACTGTCACCTCGATCTCCGTCTGGTGGTGCAGCTGTCCACGCTCAGCGCGTTCGTGTTCAGGTCCAGGTGCACGTTGACGTTCCCGTGGATCGTGGAGGCCCCAGCGTCGACACAGAGCCGCCCGACGCAGCGGACGCGTCTGTCGTACCGGACGCGCCTGCGGACACGGAGTGCGCGCCATGGCCCGCGTCCTGCGCGCTGCTGACGCCGCGAGAGTCGTGCTAGCTGCGGTGCCGTCCGCCCATTATTGCTGAGCTTGGCATGCTACTATTGCGAATTTTGTGTAATGTAATTTTCGGGAAAAGGCCAACTTCAACTTTTCGGATATGAGGCCAACTTCAACTTTTCGTTAGACGGCAGAGCCTACAGGTTCCAGCGATATAACTAACGTCCTCATGATACCACCAATTTGTTTGTTTACTCCTTATATCGCAACATGAACTGCTTTTGGTATCTTTCTAATGGCCATGAACTGCTGAGAAGCAAACGAGCGCATGTATTTGACCTTGTCCTGCCTCCTCCTGTGTCTAAACACACTGGTTTCCAACGCTAGAGCCCCAATTCGAACTGGTTCTCTGTAAAATAGCGCGAATGCTGGCACAGCGCTTGCCGAGCAGCTCTACCAGTCTCTTTTGAAGTGACTCGTACGCCTTGGCCACGTCCACTTGTGCCTTCGGTAGCACCTGGCTTCATGGCGAAGACGAAGCCTGCGAGACCTTGTCCGATGGGAACTGCAGCCCGGTATCGCGGGTATCCAGAGTTGCCAGCGACTCCTGCATCTGATTGAGAAGGTTGTGTAGGGCGGGTGGCGCCGCCGATAGCCGCTCGAAGTTCTTGTTCTTCTTCTCTTTGGCCAGCGTACGCTGCCCAAGCGCAAACGGACTCAACGACGAAAGACCGGAATCCAGCAGCCTGGTTCCGTCGACCCAGTATCATGACGCCGTGATCAAGCTGCCTTTCACAGTCTCTGGTGAACTTCAGCTTCCTTCCCGAGAAACTCTGGTCGTGGAACACGGAGGTTGCTGATCTCTCAGCGGACGTGATGGACGCTGTCGGCGGCCAGACCGAAGAGCACACAGACCTTGCTGGAGTGAACACACAGCTCCAGGACGACTTCGCAGCGCTGGTGGAGCAGCTTCGTGCTCCTCCGCCAAGTCTTCTGAGGACAAGGTGGCGCTGTCGCGGTATCCCGTGCCCACGTCGCCGCCGTCGCCGCTACTGTGAGACTCTTCAGCAGCTTCGGCACCACCCCACGGAGCGGAGGCCACCACAACGGCGACGAGTTCGTGTCTGCAGATTGACCGCACTCCCCGAGCGACGCAGCATCCTGGGCGAGCAAACGGCGGGAAGATCTGGAGTCCAGTCCACAATGCAACCGCGGTGCTGGCCGCCAGCCAGGCGGTGGAACAACTCAGCGCCACCCGACACGAACACCTTCTCCCACGCGGGCAGCAGCAGCACCAACACTCGACGCCGTCACGAATCGTAGGAGCTTTGTGGGGGTCACCGGCCAACGCGCTGGGGCAACTCGAGGCTTCCAGCCCGCCCCCACGTCGCCAATGTCCCAGAGGAGCGTGTTCCGGTTGCTGGACGGCGCCGCGTGGCTCTTGAACAGCGCGTGCGGGTCGCACTTGGCCACTGTCACCTCGATCTCCGTCTGGTGGTGCAGCTGTCCACGCTCAGCGCGTTCGTGTTCAGGTCCAGGTGCACGTTGACGTTCCCGTGGATCGTGGAGGCCCCAGCGTCGACACAGAGCCGCCCGACGCAGCGGACGCGTCTGTCGTACCGGACGCGCCTGCGGACACGGAGTGCGCGCCATGGCCCGCGTCCTGCGCGCTGCTGACGCCGCGAGAGTCGTGCTAGCTGCGGTGCCGTCCGCCCATTATTGCTGAGCTTGGCATGCTACTATTGCGAATTTTGTGTAATGTAATTTTCGGGAAAAGGCGGCCAACTTCAACTTTTCGGATATGAGGCCAACTTCAACTTTTCGTTAGACGGCAGAGCCTACAGGTTCCAGCGATACGTGATGCATGGAATTGAGACCATTAACACTGCGTGGATGCCTTCAAGCACAGTACTGCCAAGCTCGTACTACGAACAAACACACCCACTAAGCTCATCTAAGGCCCGCTTTTCTCTACTTTGCGATGTGGTTCTCAAAATGCAGACGCAAAGACGCCGTCTAAGCTGCTCGAGTGTCCTCTTAACACGACCCTCGAACTACTGCATCGACGCCGACGCTTGCAGGTACTGCGCTATAAACAGAGTAGTGGGTGGCGTCAATGAACGAGTTCATCGCTTCAGGCACCGACGGCTGTCTTTCAGAAGAGGACGGCGAGTGAGGCGCCTCTGCTGCGCTGAAGCATTCCGTTCAGTGCGGACACGTGAAGCATGCATTCCGAGCGTATAGTTAACTCAATAGCAAAGGTCGCTGGATCTTTTCTTGAAGCACACCTGCGACAAAAGACAAATGGTTGGCTCGCCGTGGGCCGAGCTCGAGGAGCTACTGATACCATATTCATCCTGGTGATCGCGAATCTTGGTACCGTATTGCCAGGCAGCGCGGCGTCGAAAGAATGTAAGCATTACTTGCTGCCAGCCCGGTGAGAATATGGTATGCTTGGGATCTTTGGTTTGCCACGAGCCAAGGAGAGGAGAAGAGCATGGCCTGCCTGATGCATGTACAGTAGGGTTGACAGCCAAAGCGTAGCCACTCAGAGCATCACCCCGATCCGTTTCGTTCCGGCGGTGCCTTGAGTGGGAGACGCACAAACTGCAGCCGACGCCAAGTCAGAACTTACGAGCCCGACGCCGAATTTATTTCGAACTTATTTCGTGGAACCGCATTGTTGAAGTTGCGTGCTATAGCCGTGCGAACGTGGCTCTCGAGTTGAAGATGGCTACACGAGTTGAACTGAACCATGAACTGAACCATGCTGTCGCAGCAGTGGTATGAGAGAGGGATCGGCCCACTTGGCGGCGCCCCTGTCGAGGCCTTCTCATTCTCCAATATCAGCAAGCCTCCCCACCCAGCACCCGCCCAGGCTCCCTCCCCATCCAGCCATGGCTCCGTCCGTCCGCCGCCTCGTGGCCCTGTTCGAGTCCCGCGCCGCCGTCCGCACCGCGACACGCGCCTCCGCAGCCGCAGCGACCAGCAGGACGAGGGTCTCCACCCTCATCGAGTCCTACAGCGCCTCGTCGACCATCGCGTCCAGCTCCGTCGAGGCGACCGACGTCGCACGCTCCTCCGCGGTCGCAGCAGTGGAGACGCTCGACCCCCGCTGGTCCATCCAGCTCCTCGACGCGGCGAGGTTTGCCGAGTTCCAGTACGGCTACTCCGGTTTCGAAGCTCCAGCCGTCGACGACCAAGACCAAGACCAAGGCCAAGGCTTCACGGCGCTGGAGCCGACTGAAGAGCTCCACGAAGTCACTGCTGCCGCCGCCGACGACGGAGACGACGAAGACTGCCTCCAACAAGCGCCTCCTGCTGAGCTGCCCGTCGGCCCTGTCGACGACGCCGACGTCAAGAGCTACAGCCAGCTCCTGCAGGAGGCCGACGACCTCCTCGACCGCGTCCACGACGCGGCTGCTGCTGACGCTGCGCCTGCAGTCGTTGAGCCCAAGCCTTCGGAGACCCAGCCGCACGTCCGAGCTGCTGCAGCTCCGCAAGCTACCAAGTCCCGCCTGTTGGACTTCAAGCAGAGCGCGGCGTTTGTCGGGCAGTGCGCGCAGGCAAGGCGGCGGCGCAGCGCGGCAGCAGCGAAGCCCCAACGTCCGCTCTGGAAGCTCTGAGCGACGTTACTCCCGAACGACATGCATGTGAACTGTGTACAGTAGTAGTAGTAGTGCGTGCATTTCCAGACCCAGGTTTGCAGTCGACCTCTGCTGCTTGACGGACGTGGTCTAGGCTGCACCTCATTACGTGCGCGCTTGAGACCTTCCTGTTCATCGAGCGGCGGGGTCGATGGTCAAGTTTTCGGCCGATCGATTGCATCCCGCGCCTGAGCTGCACCTCATCACGTGCTGGCTTAGGGTGCAGGATCAGCCTTCGAGAGGACTCGAGGCTTGACGCGCAGACCTGGATCCACATAAATTAACTAACGTCCTCATGATACCACCAATTTGTTTGTTTACTCCTTATATCGCAACATGAACTGCTTTTGGTATCTTTCTAATGGCCATGAACTGCTGAGAAGCAAACGAGCGCATGTATTTGACCTTGTCCTGCCTCCTCCTGTGTCTAAACACACTGGTTTCCAACGCTAGAGCCCCAATTCGAACTGGTTCTCTGTAAAATAGCGCGAATGCTGGCACAGCGCTTGCCGAGCAGCTCTACCAGTCTCTTTTGAAGTGACTCGTACGCCTTGGCCACGTCCACTTGTGCCTTCGGTAGCACCTGGCTTCATGGCGAAGACGAAGCCTGCGAGACCTTGTCCGATGGGAACTGCAGCCCGGTATCGCGGGTATCCAGAGTTGCCAGCGACTCCTGCATCTGATTGAGAAGGTTGTGTAGGGCGGGTGGCGCCGCCGATAGCCGCTCGAAGTTCTTGTTCTTCTTCTTTTTGGCCAGCGTACGCTGCCCAAGCGCAAACGGACTCAACGACGAAAGACCGGAATCCAGCAGCCTGGTTCCGTCGACCCAGTATCATGACGCCGTGATCAAGCTGCCTTTCACAGTCTCTGGTGAACTTCAGCTTCCTTCCCGAGAAACTCTGGTCGTGGAACACGGAGGTTGCTGATCTCTCAGCGGACGTGATGGACGCTGTCGGCGGCCAGACCGAAGAGCACACAGACCTTGCTGGAGTGAACACACAGCTCCAGGACGACTTCGCAGCGCTGGTGGAGCAGCTTCGTGCTCCTCCGCCAAGTCTTCTGAGGACAAGGTGGCGCTGTCGCCGTATCCCGTGCCCACGTCGCCGCCGTCGCCGCTACTGTGAGACTCTTCAGCAGCTTCGGCACCACCCCACGGAGCGGAGGCCACCACAACGGCGACGAGTTCGTGTCTGCAGATTGACCGCACTCCCCGAGCGACGCAGCATCCTGGGCGAGCAAACGGCGGGAAGATCTGGAGTCCAGTCCACAATGCAACCGCGGTGCTGGCCGCCAGCCAGGCGGTGGAACAACTCAGCGCCACCCGACACGAACACCTTCTCCCACGCGGGCAGCAGCAGCACCAACACTCGACGCCGTCACGAATCGTAGGAGCTTTGTGGGGGTCACCGGCCAACGCGCTGGGGCAACTCGAGGCTTCCAGCCCGCCCCCACGTCGCCAATGTCCCAGAGGAGCGTGTTCCGGTTGCTGGACGGCGCCGCGTGGCTCTTGAACAGCGCGTGCGGGTCGCACTTGGCCACTGTCACCTCGATCTCCGTCTGGTGGTGCAGCTGTCCACGCTCAGCGCGTTCGTGTTCAGGTCCAGGTGCACGTTGACGTTCCCGTGGATCGTGGAGGCCCCAGCGTCGACACAGAGCCGCCCGACGCAGCGGACGCGTCTGTCGTACCGGACGCGCCTGCGGACACGGAGTGCGCGCCATGGCCCGCGTCCTGCGCGCTGCTGACGCCGCGAGAGTCGTGCTAGCTGCGGTGCCGTCCGCCCATTATTGCTGAGCTTGGCATGCTACTATTGCGAATTTTGTGTAATGTAATTTTCGGGAAAAGGCCAACTTCAACTTTTCGGATATGAGGCCAACTTCAACTTTTCGTTAGACGGCAGGGCCTACAGGTTCCAGCGATACGTGATGCATGGAATTGAGACCATTAACACTGCGTGGATGCCTTCAAGCACAGTACTGCCAAGCTCGTACTACGAACAAACACACCCACTAAGCTCATCTAAGGCCCGCTTTTCTCTACTTTGCGATGTGGTTCTCAAAATGCAGACGCAAAGACGCCGTCTAAGCTGCTCGAGTGTCCTCTTAACACGACCCTCGAACTACTGCATCGACGCCGACGCTTGCAGGTACTGCGCTATAAACAGAGTAGTGGGTGGCGTCAATGAACGAGTTCATCGCTTCAGGCACCGACGGCTGTCTTTCAGAAGAGGACGGCGAGTGAGGCGCCTCTGCTGCGCTGAAGCATTCCGTTCAGTGCGGACACGTGAAGCATGCATTCCGAGCGTATAGTTAACTCAATAGCAAAGGTCGCTGGATCTTTTCTTGAAGCACACCTGCGACAAAAGACAAATGGTTGGCTCGCCGTGGGCCGAGCTCGAGGAGCTACTGATACCATATTCATCCTGGTGATCGCGAATCTTGGTACCGTATTGCCAGGCAGCGCGGCGTCGAAAGAATGTAAGCATTACTTGCTGCCAGCCCGGTGAGAATATGGTATGCTTGGGATCTTTGGTTTGCCACGAGCCAAGGAGAGGAGAAGAGCATGGCCTGCCTGATGCATGTACAGTAGGGTTGACAGCCAAAGCGTAGCCACTCAGAGCATCACCCCGATCCGTTTCGTTCCGGCGGTGCCTTGAGTGGGAGACGCACAAACTGCAGCCGACGCCAAGTCAGAACTTACGAGCCCGACGCCGAATTTATTTCGAACTTATTTCGTGGAACCGCATTGTTGAAGTTGCGTGCTATAGCCGTGCGAACGTGGCTCTCGAGTTGAAGATGGCTACACGAGTTGAACTGAACCATGAACTGAACCATGCTGTCGCAGCAGTGGTATGAGAGAGGGATCGGCCCACTTGGCGGCGCCCCTGTCGAGGCCTTCTCATTCTCCAATATCCTGCCTCGCCAGCAAGCCTCCCCACCCAGCACCCGCCCAGGCTCCCTCCCCATCCAGCCATGGCTCCGTCCGTCCGCCGCCTCGTGGCCCTGTTC